CTGCTTCAAAAGCAGTCTGTTTACATCAGAAAACTTCACGAGGCTCAACCGGAAGGTACGTTCCTTAAATTTCTAAACTAGAATGGGCAACATTTCGCCATCTTTCGATTGCGATATTCAGCGGCTGGTAATGAAGCCCAGAAACACATTGCCTGAACATAGATACGTAGTATCTTTTAGTTATTAACCCACAAATTGTCCACTTCTTAAGAAGTATGAGGTAATAATAATTTGTCATTTGCTGAGTGAAGATTTAAAGGAGAGTTTACGTAACTAGGTTAGTTGCCATATGAAACAACTGAGACAAAAAATTAATTAGAACAAAATAAAGAATAATCTCATCATTGTTCCATTCACGGCATTCCAGATTGGACAAGTCGAGGCTCACCTTCGATGGAAGTTGCAGCCTTCACCCAGATTCTAAGAACAGCAGGTGACAACATCATTTTTTTAATCAAACTGTAATTTTGGGATTCGAAGCCGGAAAAATCTCTCAAACCCAATCATAGAAAATTGCAAAATTGACACGTGAATATTATTTTCGAAGCATGCATCGCCTGTAAATTTTAACATACTGCATGGGATTGCCATATTATTAGACTGCTCTCTTTCTTTCACAATTTTTTCCTTTTAATGACTGACACTTCTGTTGGCTCGATATTACCGCCATATCAATCGAAATTGAAAGTACTCGAAAATTCGGCTTGCGTTAATCAAAAACAAAAACTACAATCTTTATTTGCATTTAAAACCATATCCACATAGATGGTATTAGTATAGGCAACAGCATGATTTGTAATGATATTTGGCATAAATACCACGGGTGATATTTCAAAATTGTTATACGTAATTTCACGATCAAATTACAGAAAGTTCTCATGTAGTGATATATAACAAACATGAGATAACGAAAATAAATTTTTGAGAGCGACAGAGTGAGAGAGAAAAGTATTCCTGTGATAACCAGTCGGTTTTCTTTCGAGCCATGGTCTGTGGAAAAAATGCGAAAATAGCAGGAAGAAAACAAAACAGTCTTTTAGTTTACTGATTTTTGGGCTAATTGTTGCGTTTTCGGCGTACCCAACTGTGCTTGTCGAAAAACATCGCTCAAAACATAATACACAGGTACGAACAAAGCTCCCACATACTGCGAACAAGACAAAGGAAAACATGAATTAGCAATTCAATTTAAAAAAACTCTTGATGCTCAGTTTTTCTTTCAGCGACAAAACAGTACCGCCGGCAGGTAGAAAGGCTGCCTGAAGGAAACTTATGATGTACAGCTTGAGTCTGTTTTCATTTGTGTCTTCACAAGGGACATCTATCCAAGCTAGTTAAGGAGGCTAAATTTCAAATAAAACGCAGACGAAACTTTGATGTAAATTTTCGCCTCTTTATCGCACTCCAATCTTGAAATGAGACGAGATGTATTAGACCAAAACCGTTGCGCAAATAACACGCTATTGTGTTTGATTTATCCCAGGAGTAGTCAATCGATAAAAATCGGTATCGTTAAAAATCGATAGCAATTAAGTGATTTTTATCGATTTATAACGGAAATAGGTGAAAATCGATAAACTAAATTGCCGTGTCAAATCGATATTATCGATTTTTCATGATTTTAACGATTTATAACAGTAGATCCGACATTGTTGTGTTTTGGCATAAGTACAGCTCAGAAAACACATCCACAGGTAACAAGTGATCAACAAACATAAAAATAAGAAGTGTCGAAACTACAGACACAAGATTCTCTCTAAAACCGTGACCCTTTTGTACATAATAACAGAAACGGTTCGGTTTAATTACATTCGCAGTTCTCACGGGCAAGTACCACGAGACAAAAGATTTCCCAGCCCGAATTTCAGACATCCTCTAGAGTCAAAGGGATGCCCGAAATTTAGACTAAAAGATTTCTCTTGAGAGCTTTTCACCGTTTTCTATTGCCAATCGATAAAATCACTTGATCGCTAACGATTTTTATCGATTTCGTTTTTTATCTATCCGCTACTCCGCAAAGTAACTACACGCGGAACTGAGGTTATTTTGAAAGGGCGACAGATCTAAATCGGGAAAAACTGGGAAAAATAAAAAACCTGGCCAATATCGGCCATCCGAGGAAGACTTCAAAGCAGGTTTTAAAGAAAAGATATGGTTTTTTTTAAACCTTTGTCTAAAAAAGTGATAGTAAATTGTTTGATCCTTCGACTCTCAATTGCAACTCAATTGTCAACAAATTAAATTCAATGTTTCCCTGAAATCAGTTTTCATTTTTGGATGAACAGAAGAATGTTTCTTCCGATAAAAATCGATGGAATCGCTAAAATCTAGATAAATCGATAAACGAAACGAATGTGTCATCGATTTCTACAGACTTACCGATTTTTATCGCTTAAGTCGCTTACTCCATCAGCAGGGACAGTAGCGCGTCACTGAGGGAGTATAAAGCGACTCGAAGTAATATCTGAAATTCATGCTGGTCTAGGAGAAAGCTCCTTCTCTACAGGCTAGTTTTCACTAGCGACGGAGTCGGAGTCGGAATCGTAGGCGGAGAGGACCTAGTGAAAATCTAGAATCGGAATCGCAAGCGGAGACATAAGCTTGACGGAAGCGGAGTCAGAAGAATCAGAACGTTTCACGAAAATGATTACGGTAAGCCATAGGTCTAATCAGCAAAACAAAAACTCTAAACATGCAGCACAGTTTTGGGCAGATTCTTTTGCCGTCATCTAACAACTAACGACTTTTATTGAATCTATCTTTAAAACGAAAAGCATACCAGTTATCTTTGTAATGGGAAAAAAATGTCCTGTGTCAGTTTTCATATATTTTACTTGTTTGTCCTTGTTGTCAGAAGAAAGGAAATAAAAAATTAAAATGGTTCCAGGCCAGGTTAAAGACAACTGCTAATCAATAAGAAAGCTCTTTTCTTTCGAGAATCCCTTGCGATAATTTTTCAACTCGAAGTCAATTTCTTAAGGACTCTAATTAGATAATTCTGATATTTGCTAATCAGGCTACAGTGTGTAAGTGAACTTGCGACTTCTGGTCAGTGAATTGTCCCCCTTCAGAACTCTTTCTTAGTTTATTCGGCGAACTTGAAAATTTGAGAAGATAATAAATATTGCAGAGTATTGTTTTATGTCCAGTAGCTGTATTTTACGGGTGAGGACAAAACATGGACCAGGGGTCCATGGACCCCCTCTTTGGACCGGGTCCATGGACCCCCTGTCATGGACCAGGTCCATGGACATTTTTTTTTATTTTTATTAGAAGGTTTTGCACCAGGTCCATGGACACTCCAAAAACAGAAATAGTGCCAAAAAAAGATTTGACGAGACGCTGTCGACCAATGCTCACGAGTGATCACAAATATTTAGTTGTGCTCACATGACGTACACTCTGCTTGCACATGTGCAGTCGCAAGACTGTTAAATTAAGGTAATTCAAAAGTTATCACCAAGAGAGGAATTACGCGCTCCAGTACAAATTAGAGTCGCATCACCCTTAGAAAAACAAGCTGGAGTTAAGAATTCATTGCTTTTAGAGCAATCATGACTGAGTCACATCGCAATTCTCCATAGTTGATGTAGCTTCAGTTTAAGCTACAATCCATGCCACTTCTTCTTCTTCAAGATCTGGATCTGTAAATCACTATCTGTGAGAATTTATAATCGTCCTGCTAAAAGCGCCAAGGAGCTGGGCCCAGCGTGACAAAACATTGCAGGAAAAAGTGACATTCATGGACCAAAAGAAAGTGGCTTAGAATTATTCAGATCCAGGATGCACTTTGGAGAAATTAAACAACCTAAAACCCTTTTAATCAGCCGCAATGAACAGCTTTACATTTTAAAAGAGGTAGAAAATCAATATGTGTGTCAAGACCTCTCAGTATGAAATAAGCAGCAAAAATTCACATTTGCTCAGTCAAAAGGTTTTCCTCCGAAGCATAATCTACCCATCAGAGAAAACAATTCATTGGAACAAGCAGCATTTTGGCATGAGGTACCGACCCCCACTTTTTTTTCACTATGTAAGCACAGTTAAACATTACTTATCAATCGAGCATTGTTTGTTGTTGTTGTTGTTGTTGTTTTTTTACCTTATTTTTTGCACTATTTCTGTTTTTGTTCATTATTTCATAATTTCTCATTATTAAAAAAAAACTGTCCATGGACCCGGTCCATGACAGGGGGTCCATGGACCCGGTCCATGAAAGTGGTCCATGGACCCGGTCCATGAAAGTGGTCCATGGACCCGGTCCAAAGTGGGGGTCCAAGGACCCCTGGTCCATCTTTTGTCCTCACTCGTATTTTACATGCATGAACATGCATGTAATTAAATCTTGCCATACGTATACCTATAATTTCCGTTATTTCTAGCAAGAAAGGAAATCACTTTTGAAGTCGTTACCCTCGGAGGGTCGCTACTTTTGGCATTTCTTAACACCTGTGAAATTTTATCGCTTCTTTCGAAGGGTCGCTATTTTCGGGAGGTCGTTACTTTGGGAACTTTACAGTATATTACCTTCATCGACTGGAAAATTTGGCTTCCATGAATCGCAGGAAACTGATCCAAGTGCTCGCAGTAATTCTTTTCTCTTTAACCTTTGGAATGCAATGCTACATCTTCATTTACAGTATTAAGAAAAGCACAATACAAGGTAAGAAGGCACACGAAGAAAATAAGAGGGCTCGCCGAAATGTAAACAGTATTAATATTTGGCGCGGCGGAAATATTACTGCAAGCATAGCAAAATTTCAGAAGCTCTTAATTCCATGCAGTGTTCACTAGACGATCCAGCTCTCTTTGACTTAGCATAACACAAAACATAACAAACAACTAGCAGGCGCTATTGGAATCGTGCCCCCCCTGATCTGATCGCATGAGGAGCTTTTCCATATTTGCATTTTGCTGTCAATTCGATTTATTCTATTGTTGAATCTCTACGCGGAGTATGCTTGGTATTGAAATGGAAACAGGTTGCAAATTAGAGTGGCATGAAGAGAGTAACATGTGTTTGCTTAGCTTTTACATCCCTGTTATTGCAGTGCTATTTCCTTTTTCTGCTTCAAAAGCAGTCTGTTTACATCAGAAAACTTCACGAGGCTCAACCGGAAGGTACGTTCGTTGAATTTCTAAACTTAAATGGGCTCGATATGGCCGCCACATCAATCGAAATTAAAAACACTCGAAAATTCGGCTTGCACTAATCCACAACGACAACTACAGTCTTTATTTGCATTTAAACCATATATACATAGATGGTATTATATACACATATGAAAAAGAAAAGATCTTTTTTGAGAGAGAAAAGAAAATGTCTCGTCAAGTATTTATGAGATTTCGGGAAATAAGCGTTAAGAGAACTCGACAGACTTCGGCGTAAGAACAACAAGGGGAAAACTAACTCTGCAAAATCGCTTGGCTAGCGGGAAAGGAACTCGTCACTATTCCAAGGTACTAGGATCTGCTACAACTGGAAACAGGACAGGACTCAAACTTGGACTTCAACAATTTAATCTTCAGCTCGTGAACATAAAAAATACAGTCAAGTAAATCCGCAATGTAAAATCGTACAAGCATGTTTCTCCGCAATGTAAATCGTACAAGCATGTAACTCCGCAATGTAAATAGAAAAACGGGAATAACAGCTAGTACTCTATTTATACTAACGGATCAACTTATTACAACATCACAAAACAAATATGGAAAGAAGGCTGAATAAAATCAGTTATAACATAGCTAGAAAATTCGCCTAATCAAATTCAATAGCGCGAGCGTGCTTCATATTCCTATTGAGCACGCTGATGACGTCAATAAACTATTCGTAATTCCTCGAGTTGTTGGGAGCTTAGCAATCCTGAGTCTCCCGAGTGCATCCATAACTCAGCAATAGACAATGAAGCGTTTACCATGTGTTTTATAAGGAAATTTAAGAGGAAAGGTTTGAATTTGTTAACCGATAGTAAGGAAAAGAGGTGAGTGTTGTTGTTGTCATCTCGGCGAGCTGTGCGGGCTATGGCGTGAGATCATTCTTTGCAAAGTTGTTTTCTCTCAATAACAATTTTTCGGTAAATTAAAAGTTTTCCGGCACCTAAATATGGATTTTGCAATCATTTTAGAGTACACTTTCTCTCAGTTTCAGGATAAAAACATAAGATTAACTGTGAGGAAAAAAAAATATAGTCACGTAATCATTAACGCGTACTGCTTAAAATTTTCAGTTAACTGCTGCATTGATCGCTTTGATAATGTTATAAAACAATTAGTTCATGCTGCAGCTGTGCGTATGTCGAGATATTGAGCACTTGGGAAGTTTGGAGAGCACTCAAAAGGCTAGAGTTGCACTCGGCTGCGCCTCGTGCAACTCTTACGCCTCTTTCGTGCTCTCCAAACTTCCCGCGTGCTCAATATCTCGACATACGCACGCTGCCGCATGAACTAATTGTTAACTGAACAATGAAAACAAATCTGGATAAAATCAGTTTAAAGTTCCTACGTTAAACTAAATAGCTCAAAATTAAATGTCAGTCCGGCAAGCACGTGAATTTAGGAAATTTACAAAGAAAGCTGTGTAAAAGAATTAGAATTTTCTTTGCTCAGGATCCCCTAAAATGTCAAAACTAAAAACTATGAACGGTTGGTATTTAAACAGGAGAAAGTTGTTGAGTGACTAAGCTGTATAATTATTCAGAAACTATCTGTTTAAAAGTAAACATTAAAGTAAAATGTGTAATTTTAAGAGAACTAAAACAACTCAATGCAAATTCAATGTAAATTACGGCTAACACAACTTCAAAGGGAATATTTAAAAGCTAGATATGAAATTCGAATCACATAAAGAATACATGAGAAATCTCTCCTTACATTATTACCCGCAGTTAGTTTTCTTTCGAGACATGGTTTGTGTAAAAAAATTGAAAAGAGCAAGACGAAAACAAAACAACTAAAACAGTCTTTGAATTTAATGGTTACTAGGCTAAGTACTGCGTGTTCCGCGTACCCAACTGTGCATTCGAAAAACTTCGCACAAAACATAATACACAGGAGCGAACTAAGGAAAAATAGATGCATGTCGAGAAACTTTGCACAAAACGTAATACAAAGGCACAAACAAAGCTCTCATATACTGCGAAGAAGATAAAGAAAAACATGCGACAATGTATTTTATAACATAACAAAAGTAAATAGCGCGCTGTGATTGGTCAGTTAGCCACTACCATTTGCCAGTGGGTGCACGCCAAGAAACTGAGCTAGCGCGGTAAAATTTAGGCAAATTCAACAAATCTCCTCTCCCGACGGGAAAATACACCGATGAAATGCACAGATGAAAAGTGGAAGTTGAAGAAAATACTAAGCTGTCGTTTTGAAGGAAAAAAGACAAAAGATCAAGCGACTAATTTGCCCTGGATGAATTAATCACTGTTTTCCTCGCGGCTAGAATCGGCTGAAGGAAAATCGAGCGAGCGAAGATTTTAAGGTACCTTTGTGTGTTTTTTATAGAAGAGAAAGTCTGTTTGAAATGTAAATTTATCAATTAGCATCATGTGTTATTGACTTTTTGGTCAAGCTGATGCTAAATTCAAGCAAATATTTTAGGAAACACGCTCAAATTACAGACAGCTTTGTTGCGAAGTTTTCATCGCATCGATTAAAAATTTTAGTTGAGTTTAAACGGGCACATTACGCTGGAATAAGCGAATTTCATTTGAGTACAGAAACATTTGGGTTTTCAAATAAATTTTTCAAAAAATAACTTCTGTGTGTATTATTTTGTTCCTCAGTGTTCATTCATAACAGTCGTTCAGAGAACGGTCGAAAAACAACAGCTTCAGCGCCGGCTGTGTGTCGGCGAATTTCAGTTTCAACTTTGACTTTCATAGCTTGATTTCCCCAGACAGATTTCGATACAAAGCTAGTTAATTTCTTTTTAAAATTAGTGTTACCTGTTATTCTAAAGGAATTACAGTCAAATTTTCTCATTTCTACTTTACGTTTATTTCAAAAATTGTCACAAATATAAGCTTGATAATTATTTCATTTATTTAGTTTTAGTTGGTGTTTATAGCTGCAGCTATAGTTTTCCCTCAAAGTTTTTACCCTAATATTAAGAGCAAGTAGACAGATGCCATTCAGAATAACAACGAAAAACGTTTTGCAATTTACCTGAAGACGGAGAACGGTTGATTCAGCGAAAGAAAAACTCAAAGGCAAGTTTTTGAAAAACATAGAACATGATTTGTTTACGCGCGGGCAGATGGCAGCATACATGAACTCGTACCGATGACTCAACCGAAGGCAAATGGAAAATAATGTTTTTCTCTTTTGATTATGTTATAAAAGAAATGGTAAACGTTGCAGCTGTGCAACCATGGAGTTATGGATGCACTTGGGAGGTTTGCTAAGCACGAAAGAAGCGTAAGAGTCGCACGAGGCGATAGCCGAGTGCGACTCTAGCTTCTTCTCAAGAAGCTAGAGTCGCACTCGGCTATCGCCTCGTGCGACTCTTACGCTTCTTTCGTGCTTAGCAACCTCCCGCGTGCATCCATAACTCCATGGTTGCACGCTGCACGTTTACCATTTCTTAAGTATATTTAACGACGAAACAGTACCGCCGGCAGCTGAACCTACCTTCATACAGGAAACTTATGACGTACAGCTTGTGTCTGTTTTCATTTGTTTTGAAATCGTGTAAGTTACTTGAAGATCTTCACAAGGGACATCTATCCAAGACATTTAAGGAGGCTTAATTTCAAGCAAAACGCAGACAAAACTTTGATTGCCAACAAGCCATCCGAGCGAAGACGCTCGGAAAATGGAATTTTCTCCCTAAGAAAAATACGCATGATTTGCTCGTTGGCACTCTATCGATAGGTATACTTAATTCAATACCTATTTTCACCTCTTTATCGCACTCCAATCTTGAAATTAGACGAGATGTGTTAAGCCAAAACCGTACCGTGGCGCAAAAAGCACGCTATTGGGTTTGATTTATCAAAGGAAAAAAATTTTACAACGTGAGACCTTACAGCCAGCATACTGCACGCGATTTAAAAGGGTCAAATAGAGGCTCATAGAACTGAAGTCTTAGCGTATTGTAAGCCAACTGTAAGCTGACATTTTGTATTCTCTATGTGTATACTAAGTTATCTCTAATTATAACATTTGGTCGATATGTCCTTTTTTATACTTTCATCTTTTTGGTGGATTTCTAAAGTGCACTGTCACAACTAAATTCTTTAAATTCATCCCTGGACTCTCGTTTAACAACACTTTTCAGTGTGTTCTTACGCTAGATCAAGATTATATAGCAGGTGTTTCAACACGAAAATTTGCATTTAAGGTGTTATGCTGTCTTATTTGAGATTTCAGACATTACTCAAGTCGCTTACTCCCTCAGCAGGGACAGTAGCGCGTTACCGAGGGGGTATAAAGCGACTCGAAGTAATGTTAGAAATTCATGCTGGTCTAGGAGAAAGCTCCCGCTTAGCCTGATGTGTACAGAAGCCCCCTCCCCAGGGGCGTCTGTACACAGGTTCACTGGCGACGGAGTCGGAGTCGGAATCGCAGGCGGAGACGTAAAATCTCTTAGGACCTTGTGAAAATCTAGAATCGGAGTCGCAAGCGGAGTCATAAGCTTAAAGGAATCGGTGCAGGAAGAATCAGAACGTGTCCATTTTTTCCGACTCTGCTTAATTGAATCCGTCGCTTCGTTCCCCTCGTGGCCTAGTGAGAACCAGACTGAGTCGGAAGCAGAAGCGGAAGGACAAACCATTAAAAAAATCCATGTTCTCACGCTTTGTGACTGGTTCAGTTCTTCCGCTTCTGCTTGCGACTCCAACGACTCAGTTTTTACTTGATCGTAAACTACAGAGTCATAAGCGGAATCAGAACGCTGTTTTCACTGGATCGTGAAGTTCTATGTAAAAATAATCATAACCAGAAGCCCAGAACGGAAAGGCTTTTGAGGCCCCCAAACCTTTAAAAAGGTTGCATGACTTAGAAACCATTCAAGCTATGACCGCCAAATTTAGGGAATTTTACTTAAATTTGTCTAGGAGCATTTGTACTAGAGTAGTCAACAATATTTACGTTACCATGGCAATCGAGGTTTTACCAGCATGGTTTTCAAATTCTGCATTATACACCTAATTTAGCATCATTTTATTAAACCTATTATAACTGTTGATGCCCAGGCTTTTTGGTGACTAATTTGAGAAAAAACAAACTAACTAACTAACTAACAAAAAAACATGAAAGTGTCAAAATCATTTCATTTTAAAATCATGAGGCCGAGTAAGATATGGCCGAGGTGGATAACACCCTCCTCGATCTGCTTAATTCTTCATATCCTACGAAAGCTGAATTCATTAATTGCTTTATTATTGTCTTCTTGCCGTTTTTGCCATGTTTTTAGCTATTATTTCGCCTAGTTCCAGAGAGTGTAATGTCCGCCATTTTTTTTCACAACCAAAAGAACTCAACCTTGTCCCCAGGTCTTCTCGGTAACGGTGCCTTAACCTGTAGCAGGCTGCATTTTTGCAGGAGCCGATTGCTCCTGAGTTTTGACGTCATTTCCTCGTTAAACACAAAATTCTTCCAAATTTGGTCATCAGTAACTGGTTATGGTGAATTATGCGTGTGCTTTTAGCCAATCAGAATTTGGGAAATATTTTGAATGAATAATATGGAGTATTATGTGATGCCCAGGGGGCACGAGGACGATCTGAGACACTCGCATCAGTATTTACGCGCGCTTTTCGAGCTAATTTTTTGAGTTTTCCTAGGAAAAGATTGTAATGGGAGAAAAGATCGTTGTGCCGTGTTTGGATGTAATAATGATCGCCTTTTTCCCAAGAAGTATACATTGAAGTTCTCTTTTTGCCCGAAAAGCGCGCGTAAATACTGACTGAGTGTCCCCTGATACTTCTTAAATCTAATAAATTCAATATGGCCGCCGTATCAGTAAAAAGTTCTATTACCTCTATGTGTTGAAAATGGAATACATTCAATTGATTCAAAATGGCAGATTTAGTAATGATTTGGAGGTAGCACGTCCACAAAGTGGTTCTTCGTCTACCTGATTCCTGGTCGAATTGGAATTTGGAAATGTTGGTTTTTGAGGAGAGGGGAAAACCGGAGTACCCGGAGGAAAACCTCTCGGAGCAAAGGAGGGAACCAACAACAAACTCAACCCACATATGGCGTCGACGCCGGGATTTGAACCCGGGCCACATTGGTGGGAGGCGAGCGCTCTCACCACTGCGCCATCCCTTGCTCCCCCAAAGATGATTTAAGATGATCCAGATCCAGATCCTTCTTTAATAACAAATGACGCCATCATAGCGTCACTAGCGATTGTCAAAGATTATTTTGAAATATGTTAGCCAACCTTATTAGTTGATTTGGGAAAAATGATGGCATTTGGGTTCTGCCAATCAAGGAATTCAACAATAATGTCGTCATTATCAAGCTGCATTACGTCACTGTGTCAATGAAATTATACCTAGATGCTGAAAATGATAAGTTCTCCGTAGTGGAGGACCAATAGTAAATTCTCGCATGTAATTATGTTTAAAAATTCTCGGGGTGGATTAATTGAAAAAAGAAGCTGTAATTTCAAACTGAAATGCTCAAGGAAATTAAGGCATGGGTGTTTTTCAATTTCCCTAAAAAAGTCAAGGGGTGGTCTATATTTTGAGGATTAAGGCCTATAGGTACAAAACTTGAGTAGAATAATGACTATCAAAAGTTTTTGCGATTCCGGGTAAAAAAAATATTTAAATTAGGTCACGTGACCTTTAACGGCCATTTTGCGCGAGAAGAACTTAAATTAGAAATGGCACCATTTTATAATAGCAGCCAATCAAAGAAATTGCAACCAAACATGTCCCTAGATGAACGAATAGACATCTGTGCCCGGGCTTTGTTGAATAATTTATTGCAAGTGTAAATCAATGGAATGTTGCACTAGTACCCAGTCCCCTTATCAAACGATTTTTGAATTTCGGTGCTGTCTAAAATATTAACCTAAAAGGCCCGGACACAGAAATGATGTACCCACTAGTCTCATAACTATGAGGATAACTGCAACTTATAGAAAGTAATTAAAAATGGTGCCATATCGCCAAAAAGATTTTTGTGCTAAAAATAGCCTTAACTATGATAGTTAACGTGACAATTAGTACTTATACCCAGGAAGTTTGTCTTTAAGTTATTTTGCGCTATATTGAAGGCTTAAGAAGTTAGACCACCCCCTCCTGCTTTTGAGGAATTAAATAGAAGACCCATGCCTTAATTTTCTTGAACGGAAAACGCGCTTGAGTGAGGAGAAAAAAATAAATAATTCTTTCAGTGTTTTCCCTCTTCAAGAAATCAGTCAAACTTTTTATGTCTAAAAACATGACAAATGGACGTCTAACTTGTCAACCTGTGAATAGTCTTGTATATCAAGAGCACAACGTTTTCCTCGCGAGTTTTCCATCAAATCGTCGGTTTTTGAACGAAATCGTGTAAGGCTGACCAACCTCGTCCCCAGGATTTTTCTCGCTTGGAAAGCGAGAAGACCCTGGGATCGAGGTTGACGGCTGACAGGCTCGATTACCAGCCTCTGACCGAGAGAGCGGCGGGAATCGAGCCCAAGACCATTTGCGAGCCTGAGAATCCACGGAAATGATGACGGTATGCCATAGGTTTCGTCAGCAAAACAAAAACTCTGAACTTACTGCACACTTTTTGGCAGATTCCTTTGCCGCCATCTTACACCTAATTTTGAATCTATCTTTAAAACGAATAACATAACAGTTTTCTTTGTCATAGGCAAAAATGTCAGACGTTTTCTTTGTTTTTTTTGTGCTTGTTGTCAGGAGAAAGGATCTCAATTGAACAAAAAGAAAATGGTCTTAGGCCAGGTTAGAGGTAATTGAAAATCCATCAAAGAGTTCTTTTCTTTTATTGTTTCCCTGAGAATCTCTTGAGATAATTTTTCAACTCAAGTCAATTTATGGGTCTCTTAAACTACGTTGATGGTTCAGATATTTGTTTATTCCACAGTGTGTAAGTGAACTCGCGACTTCTGGTCAGTGAATGTTCCCCCTTCCGATCTCTTTTCTTAGTTTACTCACGAACTTTATCAATTTGAGCTAAGATAATATCTGTTGTGTTTTACATGCATAATTGTATAATTAAATATTCCCATGCGTAAACATTTTAAGATAGCTTAAACGGCTGGAAAATTTGGCTGCCATGAATCGTTGGAAACTGATCCAAGTGTTCTCAATGATTCTTTTTTCTTTAACCTTTGGAATGCAATGCTACATCTTCATTTACAGTACAAGATATTCATTTAAGAAAAGCACAATTCAAGGTAAGAACTGTTGCTCGACCAGACGGCGGAGCAATGAAAATGTTAGGGCTCACAAAAATGTGTACAAAAGGTATCTTTGGCGTGCCGGAAATATAACTCAAGGACATAGCCGATAATATATTTTACAGAAGCTCTTAATTCCATGCAGTGTACACTAAACGATCCAGCTTCTTTGACTTCAACACGACAACACGTTCAAAGTGTGGCAGAAACCGATTTAAAGCCAGTATTATAGGCCTTGTGCACACGAATTCGGATATTTTTAAAACCGCATACATTGGAACCTCGATATAACAAACCTCGATATAACGAGGACCTCTGCATAACAAACGATTTTCTTTACCCCAATAATTATAGTAAAATATATGGAGAAGAACTCGACGTAGCGCACAAATTTTGTCTGTAAAGTGGCCCTTCGTTAGACCCATATCGAGTTTCCACTGTATAATTCATTTCACAGCCTTTTGTCCACATGAATCACTGAAACAACTTGTTTTCGTCCACGTTTTGAACAAGCCCAGATTTGTGAGGAAGAGGCATTATAGTTTCTATATAAAACAAATTAAACATGTGCAGATCCGTTCCGTATGCAAATGCAAACTTCGCTGGTTGCGAGTGATCATGATTGTGTACGTAGTCAGTATATTAGCTCGTCCGCTCAGCCGCCTTGTATAGTTATTGAGGGGTATATTTTCATCAGGCGGGTTCGTTTAGGGAGTTTTTAAATTTTCCTGGCAATCGAAATGGCATTAAAGAAGTATTAGAAATTCTACCTGCTGCCGTTTAATAACAATGCAAGTGCTTGAGTTTTCACTGGCTTCTTACTACTAAGTATATATTGTAAAGACTAGTTTCTCCGACCTCAATCTCTGAATAAGACCTCGACACGAAAGCCGGGGTCCGGGAACTTGAAGAAAAAGGGGCTTGAAATTCGTGACTGTAATTTTGAGCAAGATACTTGCGTCAAGTTAAGAAATTCTTTCAAGTGTATTAAGATTTACAACTCTTACCGTAACTATTGTTTTCAGGCTCTAAAAGAAATGGCTGTAACACACTTGTAGAATTAACCCATTGTCTTAGCGATTGTGCGACTCCGGATTCCGGCTGTATATATATTCAGCCTTTATGTATGGCTTATTCATCGATCTTAGCAGACTTCGTAAGGGGCTTAAGGAGGGCTTATTTTCGTGAACGGAGTGGCTTATATCTGACTTGGCATATAGCCTCAAACAATCTATAGCAGTGTTGATGAAGGTACATTTTGTATTTATGAATCAAATTCATTTCAAGCGTAAAAAGGCCAGGGGGCAGCTTATATCCGCAAGGCTTGTAATTGGAGTATCAGTTTTCCATTTTTGTTTACAAGTAGATGGGCCTGTAATTGTAACTGGGGAGAAAAAGGGAGAAGGTTTATAAGCGGTAGTACATGTATGGTATCTGAAAGAGGTAAAATATATATACTCATCTGCTGGTGAGAAAAGTACGGTAACTTAAGTTTTCTCAAACGCTAAAAGAATTCTTTCAATGTGTTTTGAACGCAAGTCGATCACATTTTCTAGATCCTGTCGTGCGGCTAGTTTAAGTGAACAACTTTTCTGTCTCATTATCACTGCCACTGATTCAGTTTCCGACTCAAAAATGAGGATATCTGGAACCTACCCTGTCCACCTATTTATCTAAGTTATTTATTTCCAGATGTAATCGTAGTCAATGAGGGGCAACCGAATACAGCTGTGAGTTTAAAAGTACAATCAAGTAAAGTACTTGCGCTACATGACGTTACTCAACAGCTCACCACGCCTGTTCTGGATAAGAACTGCACTGTCCCGGATGACTGGCTGTATCCGCTGTGTGCGTACAAAGTGGAGGTAATGAAAATAGTTCTCGTGTGGCACTGAGTTTTTGCGGTTTTTTAATCTTCCGCACTTTCGAGGACCGCAAAATTTTCGCCAAATTAAATATCTACTTAAAGGTCTACGTGTAATAAAGTGGCTTGAAGGTCTATATAACAGTTACAATATAGATAGCCGACTCAGGGAAATTGGACCAATTGTTGGTCTAGTTTTAGCGGGCACTTGGCTTTTTGCAAATCATGTTAGGAGGTGATAATTTATAATCTGGACTCGGTAAAACTGCTTCTAGGGATCACTAAGGCCGGGTTCAGACGCGGTATTTTTCATGTGCCGAACCTAATTGAATAAGTTCGACTTTGGAGCGACGCTGGCGCGTCATCTGATTCAGACGGCGCACCGTGTGTCGAGCCTAAGTTGAGTTCGACAAAAGTTCGACAGACTCTGTCGAACTTAACGCTTTTGGCGCACCAAACTAAAACTGCCGTACCAAACTGATTCAGACGCCGCTCTTTTGCCCTACTTAATTCATCAGTTAGATTCGGGGTCAGATAAAGGCTTTTAATCGGCCTTTGAATGATTTTTCATTGCTTTCAAAAATCCAGGTATATACAAATTGTGCAATGCAAAACGACGAGATAGAATTGTAAGTAGAAATATTTCATATTTGTGACAATGACCAAAAAAAAGAGCAAGAAATAAAAAAAAGTAATTCCAAGAAGGAAACTCACAGTATCATGCTCAGTCACAAAAATTTTTTAGACCGAAGCGATGACATGAAATGACCTACGACTAAATATAGCTAACCGTAAAAAAATAGTGCCACTCGCCCGAAATGTTAAAGAGAGTATCACCAAAGAAACGAGTTTGAGGGAAAGGCCGTTTAGATGTCAATTTGGAACGATTGTCCACACCTAATATAAGATAAATAAAATCTCATTGTTAGTTACATTTGCGACACCTGACTAGCTGACGGGCATCCTCGGAGAGACGGAGACCCGGGGGCGGTCAGTTGGGTTCGAAAACGGCGGCGAAAGTTTTCAAGAACAAGCGAGAGAGCCCCTGAGATGCTACTCCTAAAGAGCCAGTTCCGCGACTCATTCGAATGCTTGTCTGTGATTGGGCACAAGGCCAGTATCTATTGTGGTGCTTTCGTGATCTTCTTATACGAAGACGTTTACCCTCAAACTCGACTGTTAGCCGTTCCTGTTTGGCTCGTGCTAGAGAGCTTTCTTCGGCAAAAGTTTTAAGTGAAAATGGTCACAAGCTAAGAAACCAAAGCTAGAAAATCCATATTTGGCAAGATTTCCATATAAATATAACCTCTACATTTATTATGCATGCAGCAATTTCATACTATTTGACACAAGTAGTTGATATGAATAGAGTGGAAACACGCATGCATAATAAATGTATCGGGTTATACGGAAATTTTACCCCATAAATTAGCATGTTAGCAAAACAAAACGAAAAATCGTGTGCGTGGCCTTTTTACACCTCCTCGGGATACTTGTCAGGCAGGTGCAGGAGAAGTTTTTTCGCCCTTTTTTAAGTTTGTAAATTTGTTGTTAAATTTTTCTTGAGTTGTCGTTGATACAAAAGGATAGAACGAAACTGGTAGAGTAAACTTTCAGATTTGCATGAACAAACTAGAAGTACTCTCAATGGTGTTTATAAATTTACCTTGAATCATTCCAGTCTGATCTCTTCGGTTGGTGCATTTTTGTTTTGCTAACACGCTAATTCTTGCATTTCTTTGGTTTCTTGTGGCCCATTTTCACTGACAACTCGTCTCGAAGACAGCTCTCCTGCACGAGCCAGACAGGTACATGGCGAACAGCCGAGTTTTCAGGTAAACTCTTTCGTATAAGAAGATCACGAAAGCAGCACGATAGATGCTGCTCTTGAGCCCTATCGCAGACAAGCGTTCGAATAAGACGTGGAACTGGTTCGTTGGGAGCAGCATCCCGGGTGCTTTTTTTCGCCCGTTCTTGAAAACTTTCGCCGCCGAAATTGTCACTTTTTACTCACTCTACCCTCATGTTATGTCATCATCACCATCATCATCATCATCATCATCATCATCATCATCATCATCATCATCATCATCATCATCATCATCATCATTCTCGTCGTCGTCGTCGGTGTTGTTATTAGTAGCCATTAGTATTAATGCTGTTGTTATTGTTGTTTTTATCACTACTACTCGTATTAATTTATTTTATTTTTCAGTGGCTACAAAACTTTTGGAAAACAAACAGCAAGTGTTATGTAGACCGCCATGGGATGGACCCTTTTGATATTTGCTCTGTTTTAGAGTTCTTAAGTGAGGTGGGTAAATCACTGCATATCTAGACTTGCATGTCGGTCCAGTGACGACAGATGGTGAAACAGGTTGTTCTAGTACACTTGACCAGCGGAGTGTAAGGCAATTTTGAATCTCTCTCAATGGCAATGATTTCAGCGCCCAGTGGGCCCAAGTGGGTGAATGAGGATTTATTCTTTTCTGGGATGTGATTGTATTATCATTTCAGGATGCCATAACTTGAAGTCTAGCTGTCAGTGGAGGCTCAGAGTATGATTCATAATATCCAGTTTTAATCCTCGTTTATTGTTCCGTATTCCTGAACTAAAAATTTAGTTAGTATTTACAGTTTTTCTCAACACGGTTTTAGGTAAGTGACCATGTATCCTAAGAGTTGGTTAGCCGACTCACGGGCCACATAAACTGCGTAGGTTACTCATTCACTCACTTCAGGACTGAACTTAAAAGAACCTTGATCTTCAAAGAAAAATTTAAACCAACTTATGCTATGTTTAACTGATTTCTTACAGAGCTGCACACTTTATTTTTGTATGTCCCACTTCTTACGTTGTCTCACGCATGGTTATTCTTACCAGGTAGAGGCATGGTGTCCCATAATGCCTTGGAGAAAGCATGTATATTCCAACCCATCCGGCGATAAAGTCCGAAAGGAGCAGGTCATTGCGTACTTTTGTTTTACGTTCATTGGTTGGTTAAAAGTAGAAAAGCGAAAATTGATCAATCAGGCCAAAACTTGAAAAGATACACAAACTTTTTCCATTTATCTAAAAATCTAGATACGGCATAAAGGTTAAAGGCTTTCATGATGTAAAATACAGCTGTAGTTGTGTCATAAGTTTGAGGTATCAAAAGTACATACTAGACTTTCACTGATGAGTTTTATCGTCATATAACTTAGTGTTTCCTCTGACAGAAGGCTTTCAAAGCAAACACCTTAGTCTAAGCCTTTCAGCATGAAATAGCTAGTAAGGTTATTAACAAGAGCCAAAAGAGGAAAAGAGATAAGAAAATATACAATGTAATTATTCGTTTGGTAAGTACCTTAGAGGAGAACATTAAAACGCGTCACAAAATTTCGTTCTGCCCGTTCTGATTAGCTATTAATTACAATCATGTGTTATTATCTTGTTTGTAGGTTCCAATAAGAACCGAGCTTGACGACCTGTTTCAGAAAAACTTGAATCATAGCAAATATCTGTGGATGAGAGAACGTATAACAAGACTTTGGCCAGACTGGACGATGGCAGCTAAAACCCTTCAAGCAGAAAGCCCTACTTTGAGAAATCGACAAAGTAAAAAGGTAGATAACTAAGAAAACGCTTAGTTAAAATTGGTTGCCGCGATTTAAGTTGTGGCGGAGAGATCGCAGGAGCTAGGGGAAAAATTTGTTGCTCGAGAAGAAAGAGGAGTTGAAGTAGTAAAACTAGGAAGCCCAAGCAACGCGACGACGATGGCAGTAAAAACGTCGTTGAAAAATGAATTTGCGTCCTTTCAAACTTTATCGCCTCCTTTTGGATCCTTTCCATTCTACTCCTTCTCTGTTTTAGGCCATTTATCCTAAAGTTTAATTCTTGATTACTTTGTCCAGGTTAAAAGATAAAGGAAACTGATTCGTCCTTGTATGTTCACATACTCCATAAAACGTTGTATTAGGAGGTTGGCACGTGGTATTCGTGCAGTGGACGTCCATGAAACGTACGTACAGAAAAGCGTGATGCACGTTCAGAGCTGTTGTTTTACTCGTAAAAACAATTGTTTTTCCGAAGTTGCCGTCGTCGTCGTCATGGTTGCCTGGTGTTTCATCGACGTCATAAATATGCATTCTTAACGCCTCATGAATCAATGAGCCTGGACCATGAATAGCGGCCCAATACCGAGCTACTTTAAGCCTTTTTTACAAGGCGAACCTAAGTGCAAAATTTTTGATAAGAAAATGATTTGTCATTCTTACACATAGACATAGACACGAGTGTTTTACTGGAAAATATACCACTCGTAAAATTCATAAAAACTACATCCGGGACCCGAATGGGTTTATTTTCTTTAATATGACACGCGAGTTTATCGATGACGTAATTTCAGTAATTTCCCTCTATTATTTTATCAATGTCTTTTTGTCTATATAATGAAAAAAACCATTACACGGCGGCTTGAAGATATGAATTTTATTTTCTCGTGGCAAAAATAATATTTTACTCACTCGCTGCGCTCGTTCGTAAAATATTGTTTTGCCACTCGAAAATAAAATTCATATCTTCGCGCCACAGTGTAATATCCTTTATATATTAACAAAAACGTTTTAGAAACCTGTTTGTAATGGTCATCTCAATATTACGGAAACTAAAATTTTTGGTTAAGATATTGTTGCCCTAAAGGGGTGATTTTGATATCGTTTCCAGTATTAGTGTTTGCGTAGGATAAACTACCCATCATCCCATGGGTGTGCTGCAAGACATGCTTTGGTGCCTCCCCTTCTTTAATTTTTTAAAAGCGCCTCAAACCAGCTGCACCGACCATAACATCACCCTCTCTTAAAGGTAAATCTCCACATCTAAACACTGTATCTAATTCGTGAAAATCAAGTTTAGTCCGCACCTCTGAGCCTCTCGCTGCAACAAGCAAACTCCTTCCTCTCGATAAGCAAAACCCCTCTCGGACGGCATAAATCTTCGTAGATTTAGGCTACGGTAAAACGGGCCCAAAAACGGGCAACTTGTTTTGCAACCTTGCCACAAAACGAGATAAATATCGATGTTGCGCATTTTATCACCCCGTAATCGTACCTGTCTTGCAACAAATCAGGTTGTTACAAGTTGCCTGAATATTGACTTCTGATTGGATAAAATTACGCGGGAGTCACGCCATTCAAGGGAGTTACGTCACTTGCTGCAAAACAAGTTCTACTTGGGCCGGTAAAACGCGCAACATGTACAGATTTTGTAGCAAAAAGTAGAACTACTCTCCACTTCCTGCAAAAAATATTCGCAACCTTCAACACCCTGATTTGTTGCAAGACAGGTTTGAACGTGCCAAGTAAAACGCCCAGCATCTCTTTTCAATTCGTTTTGCAGTAATGTTGCAAAACAATTTGCACGTTTTTGTTACTCAGTTTACCGTACCTTCAGCAACATCATTCTAATAAATTCATACTCATAATGATAACAGATATTCCTTTTTATGGGGACCTATTCAATTCAAGTTGACTGGCTTGCCAATGCTTACAAAGGAGTGCCATTAGGAGAAATGGTTCAATGGAGTGATTTGATCGCATCTTTGTACGCCCTTGGACACGATATAACAATATCAGCGGAGCAGCCAAGTATGAAGAAGTATGTCTAGCTCTGTGGTGCAATTGAATTTTTGAAACTCTTTTGATTATCAACCATGAAACGATTAGAAAAAAAAACTGTACAACGCGAATCATCGAGTAAATGTTAAAGTTTTTCCAAATTCGCGTTGAAAAAAAAGAGCAAAGCCGGGTGTTTCGAAGGTGCTCTCTTTTTCAGTTCAGAGGGAGTACCGTCTGGCTCTCCTCCTTTTCAACGTGTATTATCAGGTATTTTGTGTGATAGGAAAGCTGGTAGCGGAAAGGTGGATCTAGCCTACGTCGCAGACGTAAATTTACCCGGATAGTAACGTCTGCACAGCAGCGCCGAGATCCTTGTTTCTTGGTCCTCCACGGACTCAAAGGACTACCGGAAATGCGTTTCAAATTTCCTTTCAACCTGATTGGCAAATCGACAATGGCATTTTTAACAGGCCAATCATGTCACGTACTCAAATCCTGGTACACAGGTGGGGACCTCGAACAAGGATTTCGGCGCTGTTTCGCAGACGGACTTAACCAGAGTCAACCGAGTGCAAGTTCATTCTCGGAGACTCCGGGTCAGTAAGTCGCGTTGGGAGAAATGACGCGATAAGAGTCGAAGACATTCTTTCCGCCATTTCTCCCCACTGGACTGTCTGCCCCTGGCTTTCCCTGGACTTTCGCAGCGCTCTTTCATTTCATTAGAATAATAATTTTTATTAGAATAAAACCTGATCGCAGTACAGATCAGCGATTACTAAAATCAAGAGTGTGTGAAAGCGGAACATCGCAATAAGTATAGACTGTAAGTAGTATAGCAGGGAGGTTTTGCTGCCTTTTTTGAAGTGGAACCTCATTATTTTGAAGAGAAAAACATACGCCGATAACGTCATAGAGTTTTTTAGTCACAAAACTAAATTGCATTTAGATAAGTTGATGTGATTATTGAAATTAGTTTTAAGTGGCTTAACTGGTTTGACAGGTTTGAGATCGATGAATGTCTTGCTTTTTGATAAGTTGACTAAAAACTAAAGAAAGTATTCATTATAGTTTATTCATGGTGTTGAAAGAATAAGCGCTTACTCACCTGAGACTTGAAATCACTGTGTCCTAATCTAATAATGCAAATTATTTTTTTCTACCGCTTTTATGGTCCATTGCTGACAACAGGTTTTTCTAGTTCCTCTACTTTCACCGATTCTTGAGGCGTAAATGAGTTTGAAGACAAACTAGCTCTTTCTAACACTAAACACATTTTTTACTTTCTGCCCTTCCGATTCTTCTCTTCCATAATTCAGATATAGCGCTCCTGTTTAATTTTCTTTTTACACTGGTATGAATGTAGTTTCACACTAATGAGATTCCACTATCAAAAATGGAGTAAAACATTCCTACTATGCCTCTGACATCATCGCTGAACGAAGACCCTTTCAAGTAGCGGAAAATTAATAGCTGTCCTCTGTTCGATTTTATTTGTTTTTCTCCAGCCTGTGTCTTTTACTGCTATCTCTGCTTATTTTAAAAGAAGCAATTCAAAAGTGTTCCCGGATTAGCGTTCACTCAGTATGTAGCCGAAATTGCAAACCTTGTGTTTTGTTTTAATCAGATTTAAGAGTTCTCCATTTTTTATCAGAACCAACATACCGCTCATCCTTTTGCAATAAAATTAATAACTGGATATAATAAAGTTTTTTTAAAAATACTTTTTCTTTTAAAAAACCTTTTCTTAATTTCTTTTCAGGATCTTAAACGCACCATCCGAAAAAGGCTGTGGCAGACGCTTACGACAAAAAGAATTTGACCTCATTTTCACTGATTACCTTGGCGCTTGGCTTCTAGGACAACATTTAGGTCCAACTGTTTCTCACTATCGGTTAGCAAAAGGACATTCTTTATAACAATATTTAATATGATAATATGTACTTTAAAACTGAGTATTGATAGCTTTAATTTCTTCCTATTTATCATGCGAACAGACCTTGTCATGGTTTTCGACGCCATCTTGACGAGTAGGTAAACGAGTGGGAAATTACAGTGTTTGTGTGAGAATCTAATGTCGAATAATTTCCTTAAAACGGCTGTTCTGAAAAAAATATCAGTTGTAAACTAAAGCTACTAAGCAATGGATTGCATTAAAACATTTTGGGGGTGTACCTGTGCTTAAATTTATCCAGAGGCTTGCTTGTATTTATATATTTTCCATATATTTGTCTGTAATTTTTCCCGGGACTTTCTTACAGACACTGTATAGAAAATTTTAAAAAGTGGTTCTAGGTCTTCTAGCGCATGTAACGCTCTTAATTTTTTTCAGTAGAATCCGTAGGAGTGAAGCTTTAGTTTACAGTTGATATTTTTTTCAGAACAGCTGTTCTACGGAAATTATTCGACATTAGATTCTCATACAAACACTGTAATTTCTCACGCATTTGCCTGCACGTCAAGATGGCGTCGAAAACCGTGACAAGGTCTATTGGCGTCTGACTGAAATACCAGTTTCGGATATCACGCCCTGTTCACACTATACCCGGATAACTTTTCCTGCTGCCACGATCAAGCTATCCGGTATGAACAGCGACGACACAGACCTGAAACAAGTCGTTCACACACGTCAAACATCGGTTGGCCGAAAGGGATTGGTGAACTAAATCCCAGTCCACACCTTTGGATGTTTACTTCCGTCTCAGTGGATTCTAGTCCTCCCTCGGCCTATTTATTCACTTCCTCGACAGTCCGAATAAGTGTTCGCACAACACCGGCCAAAGTGTGGTACAAAACCTCATCCGTTATGTGAGACTCCACTTTAGAGATCGTCGCGGCGCAGCCTCGCTTCTTTACAGAAATCGCGCCGAAATCACTGTTCTTATGTGTTAACCAGAGCCCTATCTGGTATGGTTTTCCATGGCGGCGCAAAAGCTATTCGCTATTGTGCGAACATAACCTTTAATAATGAAATTAGTACACGCCCGGGGCGCCTGTTTTACCTCCAAATTTTCCTTCATTTTTCCGCGCTTTTTTCGTTGATGAATTCACTTAACCAATAGTTTGATTCAAGATTGAATACGGACGCACTGCCATTGCGCCACTCAAACCATCCCTGCTTGCATGTTTCTCTCAAGATGGCGGACAAGATCATTTCTATCTGTCAGCTGCACCGTACGTCTTGTGTATCCACAAACAATTAGTCTAGTCCCATAAAATAATTTATCGTATCACAGCGTAGCCCTTACATTGTATCGCGATTTGTCTTTTTTGAGCGTGATTTAAGATACACTCATGCCCGATAATTGCGTATTTTCACTGGTCACTTGTCTGTTTTTCATTTCTGCATGTTTAGTTGTCGCCTACGGATTTTAGATTCATTTGGTACAGATCCGGAGTTTAACTACGCTGAATACAAACACGCAGCAAAGTTTAAAACTGGCTGGGGAAAACCTGATGTACACGTCCGACAGATGATGACAATGTTTCGTAAGTACAAGACAGACTTAAAGAGAGACTTGGGATGGGGAGTAGGTGTGTAAGTCAAGGAGGGGAGGAGGTCAGTAAAGATTCTAATTTGACCTTTTAGCGCGACAATGTAATAACTAGGAAGTAATCCGTGGATATTGTCAAATTTCACAAAAACATTTGGATTGTTTACCATTTACATGGTCAAGCCTGTCCGTTCCCCCTGTTTGGCCAACGGATTATTTATTATAAGTAAAATTCAGGACTACTAAATTTCATTCTCAGATCGCGTTTATTATTATTTTGCGCAAATTTCATTACCGAGAAATGTCCGTCGAAGCCTGAAACTGGTTTCAAAGATGAGTTTTCTTAGATAAATGACTGGGCACATTGTGGTAGGAAACTTGACATGTATACTCTAACAACTTTGATTTCAATTGCAGAACATTGTAACAGAGAAACTAATCTTAAATCCTCAATTTAAACTTGGATATCATCACACATTTTCCAGTGTACTATCTCTCTTTGATAACTTTTGATAACTTTTTTGATTATTATTTAAAACTTTTTTTTTAAATGAAAGCAATTAAATAGTTTTCCTTAAAAAAAAATTAACAAAGCCTTCTACCTACATATAAATCATGATGGTTTAGTATATTATTAATTTTCGTCATCCTTTTTAGCGCACAGCCCAGACAATCTATTCCTTGGTTTTGTCGTCGATAAGGCTTCAAACGAAGATGCCGAAGGTATACGAGATAAAGAAACGAAAAGCAACAAACCAATCGGAGTACTGTACGCAAAAGATGCTATGTATCTTCAGGTGAGCTTAGACGTGAACTTTACTTTTGGTGGACATTTCTCTTTTTAAGGGGCAAAAACTTGACAGACCTTAAGGTTTGATTATTTTTCAATGGGAAAATAAAGCACTTGACCTGCAAAAAGTATCTCTTGTTTCCTAAGACAGAATATGTTAGCTTTGGTCTCTAATGAGGACTAAAACGAACTAAAATTGTTGTGACCCATCCCGGATTGTGGCTTCTTACAGTACACGGCTGGCATCCATAGTGTGCTTAAACCCCTCTGATTTCTCTATAAAGCATTTATTTGTTTCCGGTTATGTTGCTGCGATGCTGTCGCACGCTGTAATAACCCATTAAACTTGTTGAGTTTATGTAATGATGAAAACATAAATTTCACTTTTTTTGAAACGCGCGGAATGAAGAAATAAACGTAACGAAGATCATTGTAGTTAAAGACGCCCATTGAGCAGATGCGAAAAGAAAACCTGAGAAAATTCAGGCTTTTCGGGATTCGAATCCTGATCTCTGTGATACTGCATGGTGCAGCGCCTAGCCAACGGAGCTACTGAACCAACGGGAGATGGTCATTTGATGCGATCGTAATATACCCGGTAAAGATGAAGAAGAAATGGTGAATACGTGAAATTCAGATGACTTCCTCAAAGTCTTCTTTTACAATTTCAGGGAAGAGGGCCATACCTTGACACATTGAACAAGTATTTGGAAATCCATGCAACAATCGCCAACGAGAAAAACGTAAGTTGATCCCTTTCTAGGTTTGAGGCTCTTTGTTTTGATTGCTTAGTGTTGTCTGTGTTGCGGGTTACAGTGACATTTCTCGAACCGGGACACTTGGACGAAGATTATCCAATCACGCCTTTTGAAGGCAAAAGATTCAGTCTTAAGGTTTTTGGCCGACGAAACAATAACATTCATAAATTTGAGAGTTGTTTCCTGAGAGGTCAGGTAAGTTCAAACAGCTTTAAAGTTTTTTAACGGTTGCATAGCTAGTCGAACCTTGAATTTTGTTGGTCAGTTTTCGAAAAAACACTTGAGAATCCTTTGTTTTCCCCTGGCGAGAAACGTTGTGATTCAGGAATCATCTTCATCGAAGTGACCCGGTTCGAGTAATCTCACTGCAATTAACTGAGAGCTCTCGTAGTGGGCTTTGTGGAATGAAACCAATTCCAAATCTCTGGATTGCAGTAGTCCTGTATGACTGTATAACTTATTGACGGTTTTGACAACCAAGACATCATATAGTAAATTGACGTTTTTCTAAATTTTACTTAAATTCGTCTTCGGCGTAGGCCACTGATTAAAAATTGGTGTTTCTTTCACTTGTAACATAATCCAGGTCATGTCAAATATAAGGCTTGTGTACCAGTTATGGAATCAGTCCTTTATTCGCTACTTTAGAAAGTCAAACGAGAAGAAAACTGAGCTCGAGTTACTACAGCTGTTTCGGATAACACCTGACCTGCGATGTCAAAAACGTCATTGGCTTTCGGGTTTTTCTGCGACGTCAATCAAATTCTGATCTCGCCTTCACATCTTACCGGACGTCTTAGGGAAAAAAGAAAAGTCGTGTTTGGTGATTTGTGATTGGTGGATTTCGATCTGTTTTGTGTGTTTCTAAGTTCGTTGCTTTTCATGACTTCAAAGTTCGGTCTCGTTTTTTTGAAAAGCAGAGTAAGATTTGCCTTAGTACTATTTTTTTAATCTTCTTTTCACTGAAACATGGCAAAAATAGATCGTTTCTATGGAGCTTCCAAATGCAGAAGAAACATAGATATGGGAGGGTGAAAACGAATCGGTACGTTCCCTCCAACATTAACTTTAATTTGCAGCTTCTGCTTGTTATTGCGACATTTATTTGACAAACACAGTGGATGCGACCGCAGTAACGGTTTGATTGACGTCACAGAAAAAAAAAGAACGTTTTTATCAACGGAGGTCGCATGTTATCCAAAACAGATGTAACTTCCGCAAATACTTCTGAAACTGTTTCTAGGGACAGGGGAAAAGATTGGCCAATAGCTGACTGGCGCGTCCCCAGTAACGATCCATAGAAATACATAGTAACGGTATTCCAATCCACTTCTTGTTTCTAAAGTTGCGAATGGTAAAGGCGATACGCATTCCTGAGTGACTGCCTAAAATGCATGCAGTTCTTGGTGCAAATGTGAAATCTTTAGTTTTCGACTGTTTTATTGACTTCATGTGACTGGTACTTGACGGGGATGCTAAGAAATTATCTCATTCTCAGTCTGTCGAGTTAATAGTAATGAGTTTTGACTTTCATTGAAATAAGTCAGGGAGATTAAGCTTCCTTAGGCTAAACAGCAGGTTTTCCGTACGTTTTGAAGCGAAAAATTAAGCATAAAAAAAACCCAATTACGACAGAGCAAGGAATTTAGTATTACAATGGAACATACATATACATACATACATACTTTATTGTTACCTCTCCAAAGGGGCTTTTCAGGAACATAACGAAGTCCTTGGTATAACGAACGATTTTCTTCAGCCAGGCCAAAATTACAGTAAAATGTATGGAACAGAAACTCGATTTAACGAACCTCGCTTTAACGTAATCCTCGATCGCTATAACGAACACAATCCACAAGGTTAGCGCAAACGTAAAATTTACTTCCATATAACGAATAAATGTCAGCATGTGATAAAAGATGAATGCCAAACAGACTAACAAGGATAAAATTTATGTGTACAGTAGTTTTAAGCAGTTTTGTTTGCCTGTTCTTGAGTTTCTAGTACCGTAGCTATGTATAGCTCGGTACTGAAAGGTTATTACAGTAATTCAGCTTGGTTATTTTTCAGATCCGGAAATGCTGGTTTTTGTTAATTGATTATTAACTTTACCTCGATATAACGAACATTTTGGTAGTTTTCCCGAAAATTCGTTAAATAGAGATGTTCGATATAACGAACAAATTTCCCAGTCCCTTGGCACTTCGTTAAATCGAGGTTCCACTGTAGTCGATTTTTTCGTTACGTAAAGTTACATCCAACATCGTACTCTGGCCTCTATTTAGTGATATCTCTGGCTACCTGCTAAGTCATATCCCAATACATTAACAGTGTGTTAGCGTAGTACTCTGACGAACTTACCGGCATACTTTCTTTTTATTTCAGTAAAATTTCTGTAATAATAATCTGGCCAATATTACAAAATACATGTAGCACATACCCGTCAGGGTTGCACACTAGTTCCCTAGCCGTCATTAAGTTATGAATTTTGCCTCTGAGTACGTCCAGGTTTAATTTTTAAAACGTTTTAACTTTGGCAGATTTCTAAAGATGCCATCAAGAAGTTTGTACCCAAGTACGTCGTCAATCACGGCATTATGAAAGGGGCAGACCTAAAAAAGCTTCTGAGAGAAAGCAAGGTATTAAAATGTGATAAAATCTTTTGGTCTTCATGCATAAGCTTCTTTCTTCAACCGACGATGTCAATTGAAAGGACTGCATTTTTCAATTCTGACGGGTATTTATTGGTCTGTCATTCCCGTATGAAGGACCTGGGCCACTCGAAGCTATTGCACAAGGAAGTGTATTCATTAATCCCAAGGTAGAGATTTAAATTTAGATTTATTAGATTCGCCAATTCTTGACAGAATAACGCAGCAGCGTATATCTAGTTATTACTACCAGCCGCGACAATCACCTCCGCCTTATGCATCATAGACACCAATTGCAATCATCTTGTCAAGTAGAGGCTTCGGTAAAAGAAATTGTGCACAGGAAGGTCCAGTTACTGAGGGCCCATGATTAAGCCCCTCCCCCTCCCCCTCCCCCCATATACGCCATAGGTATCAATAATCTTACTCATGTTTAGCTTCGATAAAGAAATTGTGTCTAGGATGGTAAAAACGTCAAATCCTCCGGCAGTCCTGAGATGTTGGAAAAACTGTGTGCATTTAGTGCATAATTTATAAAATGTATCTTTGCTTAATCAATGGTTTGATGTTGTGATGCTTTTTTTTTTTTTACCAGCTTAACCCTCCTCAGAATAGAGAGAACTCAGGATTTTTTCGCGGAAAGCCGACTTTTAGAGCAGTGAGTTGGCAAATTACTTATGCTTTTCATGTTATTTCTAAGGGTTGATGTCTAGTGTCGCGTGATTTTTACCTACGTAGCACTGTCGCAATTTGTAATAATCATCGCACTTTGTTATACCTGTTAATACCTGTCGCAATTTGTAATAAATCCATCGCACTTTGTAATACCTGTCGCAATTTGTAATAAACCGTGTCGCCCTTTGTAATAAAAAAGCTGTCGCAATTTGTAATAACAGTCCGTCGCACTTTGTAATAAACTAAGCCGTCGCAATTTGTAATAATTCCATCGCACTTTGTAATAATTTTTTGAGAGTGATTCACCTTACTTCTTCAACATTAATATAATTCCAAAATATGCATGGTACTTCATAAAAAAAGATGATGACGTCTGCTAGCACGTGACATCTCCGTAACATTTTCTTTGGTCAAACGCTATAAATTTTTCTTCCTTGATTAATCACGTGACCAACTAGAATAACTTTTATGAAAGACATGAAACTTCCTGTGACATATCACCAAAAAGATATGAATCATGTTTAAATCAAAAATACTTAAATAACAAAAGCAACATTTAACAACAGAAACTTCATGAACGACCTGGCATTCGTCGTCCAAATCCATGTTTGCTTGCCACATGACACGTGAAGTTTTTTTTTTTTTGGGGGGGGGTAATCCCATACATGGATGGGCTAGATAGGTGAGTACCGCCTGATAAGGTATGGTTTTTGAGGATCTCGAGCCTTTAATAGGGTATCATTTTTTACCTTGTTGGCTTTATGTCTTTCGTTTGTTCCTATGATAGGGTAACTCAAGTGGTACTGGATGGTTTATTCCATCCTTTCCATTTTGTGAAAAAAAAGTAATCCTGAACACGCTGGGAAGTAAGCAAGGTCTTACGAGTTGTATATAAGCAGGGAAGGATAATTTTTTACTATCCCCACGGTATTTGCTTTAGAGGACTCCTTATAGATGGAATGAGTACTCCTTTTGTTCCTATATGGGACCAAATCAAGAATAATGGACCAAATGGCAAACTGGCTCAGTGTAAGACCCCAAGTGAGTGTTACAAAAACAGATACATACAAAGGTATTGGCGAGCGACTAATTGGATTTTGTGTTTATGTTTCTGTTGTGGTTCGACGGTTTGCCACTGGTGACGTTCTTTGTTCATTTGCAGTAAACATTTTGAATCTTTCCAGGCGTCGTTTGAATAAGTTGGCCAAAATATGGAAGCCACTATTACTTCTTTAACATTGCGCGTTAGACAAGGACGGTGCACCACGCGTTGTGTCGACTTGTTATAAGATCTAACAAGGAAAGCTTGAACTTTCCTGGTGTCCTTACTCGAATGATGTAGGATGCATGATACGATTTGCGGAAATTAAATGCTTTTCAATAATGGCTCGTTTGTGTCTAGTGTGTCTAGATCCTGTACTCTGGCAATGGTCTGTCCACTGAGGCACATCCCCATATTGGCCATATAAGGAAGTACACCCGCCGGGAACCACTGAATGCAAACCACCTAGTACAATAGCAAGGTTTATGTATACAGCATTTCGTATAAGTCAGATAACTAATCAAAATTAATTTTAAAAAATGTTTAGGACTGTGAATAAAGTTAAATGGTTTGAATAAGCGGGGATGTTACGTGCTACTGCAGACGTCATCATCTTGTTTATGAAGTACCATGCATATTTTGGCATTTTATTAATATTGACGAAGTAAGTTTAATTACTCTCAAAAAGCTGCTACAAAGTGCGATGGAATTATTACAAATTGCGACAGCTTAGTTTATTACAAAGTGCTATGGACAGTTATTACAAATTGCGACAGCTTTTCTATTACAAAGTGCGACACGGTTTATTACAAATTGCGACAGTTCACATGTATATGTGGGTAAAATTTACGTTCCCATATTATGTAGAGGCAATGCATGAAAGATTATCGTTATCGTGCGTATCCAAAAACGCGTCAGTGGAAATCAACCTTGAGAAAGTTCGCAATTTGATTAACTTCTTCGACTTTCTTGTCACAGTTGACGTCACAGCACCCATATATGGAGACGTTTATCAAAAAGCCCCATGTGTACACAATAGACATCAATGATCTTGGTCTAGTGGAGGCTTCGATTAAGGAAATTGTGTCCAGGAAGGTAAAATATGAAACTAGCTATCATTAACAAAATCATTTATTAACTGTTAGTATCCAGAAGAAAACGATCATTTGCATTTGAATTTCTGTTTTTCTCTCTTGTCCATTTTAATGACTCCGTTTGGTCACGTGACTTCTCTTTCCTTTTTAAAGGACAATACCAAGGTTTTCCAAAACTGTCAGGATAGATATCTTCTCAAACATCTCCGCCTCTGCTCAAAATATCATCAATAATCAGGGTCATTGGTTATTGATGATAATAGTTCTTGTAGCTCTTAATTAGCAATCCGGAATCCAGCTAACGATTGGAGTCTGGAATCCACGTTCTACTGACAAAGCACCCGGAATCCAGTACCTGGAATCCAGATTCCACGGAGTGGAATCTTGTATCCCAGATTGCCTTGGATTCCCTCACATGCATGGGGCGAACTCAAGACAACTTTCACTGTGCGTAACACCAAACGTTGTGAATTTGTGACTTTCAACATTATCACCCAGTTCTCGTTTACTTAAGCTCGCTAATATATGAACACCAATGAGCTGTATGGCCTTTGAAAGTTCAAAAAAGGGACATACTACTAGAATTAATTAAAGCCTAGAAAAAGCTTACTTGCTGCCCATGGTGATTCCAAATTTCATGTCTTTGTACAATAGGTGACACCCTACCTTCCGTATGAATGGACAACAAATGGCATGCTTGAACGAGTAAATATGTTTACTGAAAAATTGGTAAGTTGAATTGATCGGTGTATTAACTTTTCTTAGATTTTGTAAGCGGAGGGATACAAAAAAAGGGCCATCGATGAAGAGGATCAACCAAGAGCTATACAGAACATAAATACTTGACGTGGAAAGTTTCTGTGTGTTCATGAGGCTTGATTTTTCTCTTGGTGGCCGACGCGGGAAATCCCGAGATGGCCGCATCCTGCCTTTCAAGGGTAACCAATTAGAACACAGGATTCGCTTCATCTTTCCCGCTCCTCGCTGATTCTGTTGTGTAATTAATAATTAACAATTATTCCACGAGTGCGCGTTGGCTATAATCATCTCATATCCAAACAAGCGCGACTGGGATAATTGTTTTAGTAAAGACGCCCACAAAATATGGAAAATTCTTCCCGACTTTCTTTGTAAAAACAAGCCATTTTCAGTTTGTTTTTAATTTTGAGGAGACGCTTATAGTTACCATATTTGGAGAGCATGGTATTATGGCTCATATACCATGATGGCTAAGCCAGTCAGAGCTCTAGAATTGCATTCTCCAATGATTCAGTTTTTAATGTTAGTGTTGGAGAGGGGTTTACAATAATAAGATGCCACTCTTTTATGGTGCATGGAGGAGTATTATATGTTGCGGTTCAATTTTATTCTTGGTTTAAACTTTATTTCCCTTAATTTTAAACTCATTATCACACATGACAATACCCAAAAACAAGGGGAAATAAAATTCTAAAATAGGCAAAAATTGAACGACAACATATGCAGTAAGACAACACCAGACTTTCCATGGATTGGGGGGACATATAATTGTGTTCAATAGTTATCTTTCAGCGCTTCCACCTTGTTTGAAGTTACCCTACATTTTCTTTCTTTTAGAATTTTTGTGAACATGATGAGCAGTGGCCGCCACTAAAGGAAATGCACATCGTACTCGGCTCTCAGGGCAGTTCTTGCAAAGACGCTTGTGGAGAAAATGGTAAGCTGTTTATGCAATTATCAACGGTCATTGAAGGCGATTGTATGATCAAGTTCAGATCATTTGGAATCAATGTTTTGCACTGCCCGAGATTTCTTCTTATTTTCTTTGTTGCAATGGGCACCTCTGTGATTTTTTCCTGCTTCTAAGTATTGTGGCTTCGAAATAGAAGAAAATGGATGCTTTCCTAACAATGACTGACCTACTAAGTGTCCTCTACTGAAATAATTTCCTGGTTATGTTTGCTTTGTGAATTGAATTATCTTGTCTCCTTTAGGTTTTCTGTGCGAGCCATCCTTTTTCAACAACATCAACACAGTCAAGGAATTTGAGAAGTAAGTAATGGTATAACCAGAATAAAGCCCAAAAAACCAACGTAAACAATTGTTCTCAATTTCTTTCGTATGTCCGTCCGTCCGTCCTTCCTTCCGTTCGTTCGTTCGTTCGTTCATTCCTTCCTTCCTTCCTTCCTTCCTTCCTTCCTTCCTTCCTTCCTTCACTCACTCACTCACTCACTCACTCACTCACTCACTCACTCACTCACTCACTCACTCACTCACTCACTCACTCACTCACTCACTCACTCACTCACTCACTCACTCACTCACTCACTCACTCACTCACTCACTCACTCACTCACTCACTCACTCACTCACTCACTCACTCACTCCTTCCTTCCTTCCTTCCTTCCTTCCTTCCTTCCTTCCTTCCTTCCTTCCTTCCCTCCTTCCTTCCTTCCTTCCTTCCTTCCTTCCTTCCTTCCTTCCTTCCTTCCTTCCTTCCTTCCTTCCTTCCTTCCTTCCTTCCTATATATAACACAGTCAAGGAATTTGAGAAGTAAGTAATGGTATAACCAGAATAAAGCCCAAAAAACCAACGTAAACAATTGTTCTCAATTTCTTTCGTATGTCCGTCCGTCCTTCCTTCCGTTCGTTCGTTCGTTCGTTCCTTCCTTCCTTCCTTCCTTCCTTCCTTCCTTCCTTCCTTCCTTCCTTCACTCACTCACTCACTCACTCACTCACTCACTCACTCACTCACTCACTCACTCACTCACTCACTCACTCACTCACTCACTCACTCACTCACTCACTCACTCACTCACTCACTCACTCACTCACTCACTCACTCACTCACTCACTCACTCACTCATCACTCACTCCCACTCCTTCCTTCCAATTTCTTTCGTATGTCCGTCCGTCCTTCCTTCCGTTCGTTCGTTCGTTCGTTCCACCTTCCTTCCTTCCTTCCTTCCTTCCTTCCTTCCTTCCTTCCTTCCTTCACTCACTCTCACTCACTCACTCACCACCACTCACTCACCTCCACTCACTCACTCCTCACTCACTCACTCACCACCACCACCTCACTCACTCACTCACTCACTTCCTTCCTCGCTCTCTCCTTCCTTCCTTCCTTCCTTCCTTCCTTCCTTCCTTCCTTCCTTCCTTCCCTCCCTCCTTCCTTCCTTCCTTCCTTCCTTCCTTCCTTCCTTCCTTCCTTCCTTCCTTCCTTCCTTCCTTCCTTCCTATATTCCTCCCTTCCTTCATTCATTCATTCATTCATTCATTCATTCATCCGTTCGTTTCCTCATTCGTTCGTTCGATCGTTCGTTCATTTATTCATTCTTGTTTTCTTTCATTCATTCAGTCAAACAGCCATTCAGTCAGCCAGCGGATTGTTCGTTCATTAATTCTTTTTTACATTTAATTGTCTCAGTTATTTATTGGTCTTGGAGAATGTTAAGATTGAGTTAAAATCCTTTAAACCTTAACGGCGAAAGGAGCTAAGAATATCACCGAGATGTATAAAACACAGTCAGTGATAATTTACATAGTCATGTAAAAAGAAACGTCCTTGTTTAAGATCATTCACGATACCTCATAATTCGTTTCCAAACAATTTTGAAAAGTGTGAAGTCTTATGCTCCTCAGCCGTAGAACCCGCTTTGCCCTTTATGATAATTTCTCTCAGGATGAATTCATTGGGACTGCTTTGAACTTCTTAAAAGATGGATAAATCGCTATCCACCTGATAACTACGGTTAAATAACGGGAGAGTGACTTACCCGGCGGATATTTGAACAACTGGTGCAAGTAGATTTTCATTAGAACCAAAAGGGGTCGCTGAATATAGGATCAACAAATCTAACTAGGCTTTTGTCAAGAGAAAATAATGCGAGTTATTCTCTATTGGTTTTTGTCTTTGACAATATTGCGCTTCTATCCCCAGTTGTTCAAAAGGTGGATAACACTATCCACTAGTTAAATCTCTGTCTAATGGCGCAATTGGTTTCCCTAACACTTATCCACTGGGAAGGGATTTATCCGTAAGATATCGCTATCCAGCTTTTGTAAAATTAGGGCCTGGTAGCAAATTCGAACAGTGCACGAACTGTTTAATTAACAATTAATGAATGAGGCTGAGTATCTTTTGAAGAATTATGGAGATCGAGGAGGGTGTTATCCTACGGCCTCGACGGATAACACCCTCCGAGATCTCCATAATTCTTCATATGATACGAAAGCCAAATTCAATAATTGTTTTATTATTCATTCAAAATAATTGCTAGTTTAAAAAACAAAGCTAAAACATGCTTACCTCAATCGATGTTAAGTTCACCTTCGATATAGTCAACGTTGAGGGTTTTTCAGCTCCGCAAATGTTCTTCAAATAGCAGATTTCGCCCTTCGAGTTGTGTTCTTGCTGTTCTTGCCATGTTTTTAGCTATAATTTCGCCTAGTTCTCACTCTTGAAACGAGTGAATTATCCGCCATTTTTTGTTTTCACAACCAAAACAACTCAACCTCGTCCCCAGGTCTTCTCGGTTAACGGTGCCTTAACCTGCAAGAACGCTGCATTGTTGACGCCATTTCCTCGTTAAGCACAAAATTCTTCCAAATTTGGTCATCATTAAATGGTTATGGTTAATTATGCGTGTGCTTTTAGCCAGTCAGAATCGGGGAAATATTTTCAACAAGAGAGAATGAGCTAGATCATTCTATCTTGTTTTGAATGAATAATAATTCTTTTTAATGCCTCTACTGATAAAATTGTCACACTTTGTTGCGACTGAAAAACTAGGCTAAATGAAATGCTCCACTTCTTCAACAGGATTGGAATAACTTGCAAAACTCATGCCCGGGAAGAAACTCTGGTGGAGCCTTCCTACAACCCTTCAGACCAGACTTGTACTATACAAGCTATGTCGCTAATATTCAGCTGCGTAGCAAAAGACTCACCACGCAGGCGCTTATGCCCGTGTCGTGACTATCAACCGGAGCAAGTTGCGTTCTGTAAAAACTGTAGATGATAGTTATGTTAAAGGGCAGTTTCACGGAGAACTTGGCTCTTTCTTAAAATGTAACTGAAGAGGCTAGAATGCTTCATTTAATCAGTAAATCGCTGTGATGGCTACGTTTAAAGCCGAAACATCTCTTCTGTGAACAAAACCGTCCACAGTGTTCCCTTTTTGGCGGTCACGGCAACCGTAACGAGTAGATGAGGTAGAGGAATGATGAAACAATTCACTACGAATTCCGACTTCTGTCCAATCAAACCAATCAGTCATTGCGTGGCCATGGTAGACAAGAAGCCTGACACCGAACAAGGAACCGTAAATTCACTATGAAAGGTGACGGAAACCATTACTGTTGAGATATCCGCCCATACCGAAGTCAGCCCTCTAAAGGCTGATTCACTTGAGACCCAGAGACTACCTTAACATGCATGCGATCACCACACTCATTCTCGAGTGTTTCATTAGGCTGAGAAGGCTTATCAGAATGCCGTCCAAAAACGATATAAAATAGTTAATTTAAATACATTATAATAACCTATTTCTAGTGAAACAGATGCAAATATGCCATATAAATATAGATAAATTAAAATAGGAAAATAACATTTGAACCATCTTTCTGTTTATTTACAAAAATCGTGTTATATCCAGTGACGGTTCTTAAATAGTAGAATTTTGACCAATGGTAATCTTGCAATAGGGTAGTGTCTGTCAAAACTGTGTTAAGAGGTAGGATACTGTACTTTAACAAGCTGACAGTAACCCGGCAAAATAAGCAGGTAAATGAATTTCGAAATGGTAGTTCAGACCGTTAAAGGGGTAGTGCCAGTCACTAGATTTGGTGCTACCCGTGCAGTGGACGCTCTCGTGAGCGAACACCCTCTTCGACGCGCAAAAAAGTGTCGCGTTCTTAATACTCTTTGAATTTGCTATTATTGTTTTCTACTTTTTTTTTAACTAAATAAATTCTTTTTTTTTTTTTCAAACTAGAGTATATTTAAATGTAGGCATTTTTTTTTCTGTTAACGTAGTTGTGTATGTCTTTATATTTATAACTAGTAAATAATTTGTATCATTTGGTCTCTAGATTATACGCTATTTTTATAGAGTTAATTCAATAAAGACTAAATCTGGCGAAAGTGTATCGGCTAGTTCTGATCCTCGATTATAAGAACCCCTAACTAACTGAGAAAATTTAGGACACTGGAAAATTACAATATAAAGATGGGGTCACAGTGCTTATTTTCACCGCACATGCCCGTAGTTCTAAGAGATTTTTCCTAGCTAGTTACGCGCAAAATGTACGAAATTTACAACCGTTCAATTCATATCAAAGGGCAAACATTATGAAACTTTCTAAACCTAGAGCTCGTTTGTTTGTGTGTTCTATAGTTTTTCGGGTAAAAATATAAGAAAAATTGACAGTTTTAACTTGATCACATACTCCCCTGTGACTTAAATGCTCCTCTGCGGCACGAGGGGCTGTGGTGTGCAGCTGTGGAGAAGCTTGAATAGAATGGAGTGCTACATAAGGGCCGCCTTATCATGTGGGAAGGTATTCTAGGTCAACACTCAACACTTCACGTTATCTTTTTTTTTTTTTTTGTTTATTTATTTATTGTTTATCAGTCCAGAGCATTTCCACTTTTGGAAATGTGCGAAACAATAGCGTGACATCACAGCATGGCGGATTAGAAATATCCTCGAGTGGATTCGAGTTGGCGTGGAAATCTGTTGTGGACAGTTCGAATAGAAGCTACCAGAGATGGGCCCGCTGTATCGCTATTTAGTCCATGCAAACAGATATTAAAGACACGTTTCTCTTTGCCTAAAAAAGAGTAATGAAAGGGTTCATACCTTCTTCTCATATTTTTTTTTTCATCGCGTATGCTCGACTACTTTTGACGCTTGACTGTCACCCATAAATGAAAACAAGCCTCGCGTCATGTGACTCCAAATTTGCATCGTGATTGGTTCGCAGATCAAAAACATTTCCAAAAGTGGAAACTTTCTGGACTGTTTATCGTTTTCTGATACTTTGTTGTTGAACATGTGACCTTTATTTATTTAGTTTAATTAATGTGGGCAGAGACGTTCGAACCGTGCAGCTGAGCTGAAGCTGGGGGTCCCTAAACAGATTTCTTACCGAATTTTTCCCCTACTGTTTTTTTACCGGTCTTCGTTCTTTTGAATACAGTTGAACCTCTCTCCACAACGGCCACTTCAGAGGACAGAAAAAGGTCAGGCCGTTGAAGAGAGGTGGCCGTCGTAGAGGGGCTTAAACAAGAGTCAATGCATGGACTGTCCGCCAAAAATTGACCTTTGTAGAGAGTTGGCCCGGGTTAGAAGAGGTTCGACTGTAGTTTGTAACTGAATGAATGATCGCAAATTAACTGATTTAAGTAAACACCTTCTTCTAATCCAAGTTGATGAATACGGAAACATGTATGCTGCAGTAATTTTTTTATTATTTTCAGTTAATTTTTGTTTTTGTAGATCTAGCCCGCCTCAGGTCAATTGCAATTTTTGCAAAACGCTACTTGTTCTTCTTGGTAATCTCGACATGGACATAAGCGCCTGCGTTCTGGATCTTTGGATACACAGCTAAATAAAAGAGACATTCCTTGTAATGTGCAAGCTTCATCCGCTGGAGCGTATGAAGGAGCATGAAGTCTGTTTTCCTTCGTTTGTTTATCACAGGTTATTCCAAACCTAGGCAAGACAAACTATATGTCAAATACAGTCAACCCCGTTAATACGGACATTTAGGGGGGCATAGAAAGTATCCGTATTAACGCCGGGGTGTCCGTATAAGACGGGTTGAATATATAGAAAAAGTAAGGGCTTTCTTCCCCCAAGGACAAAGCAAACTGTGTATAATAACGAGGTTTTCGTTTTAAGCGGGTGTCCGTAAACCGGGTTTAACTGTACCTCGATTCTTTTATAGAGCGATTTTCGTATGACCTTGAAATGAAAACGCGCGAACAAAACAGAAACAACTAGCGAACGGAAATAAAGCGATTTGATTGGTTTATCGAACGGATACAAACGCACCTGGCTTTTGGTTGGTTAAGCGAACGCTCGGCTGAAAAACTTCATGCCCGAAGAACTTTTTAGAAATCGCTTTGACGTCATACTGTAACATGATTGGTCAATCGAACAATGCCTTCTCCATATAAGGGTTTTCTTTGGCGGGAAAACGAAGAATCCATGTTTTGTTCTTTTCATCCATTGGCTGATAAAACAAATAACAAACATTTACCGAAACCATTTTTCAAGGACATACGAAAATCGCTCTATTACAAGAGTGACATGCTAACGAGGTGAATCGGGCCAAGTCAGGCTGCCGCAGGTGCAGTTGAACTTGTTCAGAGACAGACAAGAGGCATTTTTACTTGACAATGTCGCCTCTTCACTGACCATAACATTTTCCTAGCAGATAGGACCAGGTTTCTATCCACCTTATGGACAGAGACATAAAGAAAAGATCGCAATTGCTAATCAGTAACAACGCTGTAAACCCCAAAGGTCAGATTTATGCACTATTAGTTGGTGAATTTTATTCCTGACGAATACACGAGAAAAATGTATTTTTCAGTCAGTGACACAGGCGGCTCGGTAGACAAAATCCGATTTGACTACTACCAACAGTAGTCGAACCCATGACCTTCTGGCTACCAGTTCAGATGCTACACCAATGAGCTACAGGAGAAACGTGGAGGGCTAAGGACAGGTGAGTACGGTCATTCCCTCATTTTAGGTGTGGAAAAAAGGCTGACAGTCACTCACTTTTCAAACTTTTCCACTGTGTTAATGTGATTGAAGAAGGATGGCTCACATAGAAATCCTGAAAAAAAATCAACCAACAGACAATATGAATTTCAGTAATTAGAGTTAAACAATAAAAATAAAAGCGATGAAAAATGTTCGTAGTGCGCATGTTTTTGACTGAAAATTATTAAAGGAATTTTATTTGGTGTTCGGGATTTATTACAAAAATTCATTCGGTTCGGGAAATATCTATAGCTGAAGGGAAATATCATAACAAAAAATTTGACTTATTTTGCTTGGTGTTTTACTACGCATCAACACTGATCAAAAGATATCCTCTCCCGAAATGAGAGAATGATTTCTGTTGATTCATTCTCCTTGGTATTGTTAGGAAAATTTTGATCGAGGAGTTACGTTAGCACTCGTGGCATTTGCTACGATACATAATTGTAGTAAAGTTGTTGTAAGCGTTCTTGTTTATTAATCTTAGTAAGTTATTTCTCTACTCATGCTTTTAGCTTATAAGTTTAAATGATGATCTTTTCAATAGAAAGTTTCTCCTGACATGAATTCGGTGCGAGACAGGTGTCCCATTTTAGTACGCCTCTAAAGTAATACAAATTTGTTTAATTTAAGTTCCCCAAAAGGAACAAAGCCTTATTTACGTCTAAGAATTACACAATTTGACATTTTTGTCCTCAATTTCACCTTTTATCAGTATTTTCCAGGAAAAGACTAGCGTCTTTATTTTTGACCATTTTTAGAGTTATTTTCGCGCACTCTCAACCGAATTCATGTCAGTCGATAGTTTCTACTTAAAACAAAATATACTCTAATTAAAAAGAGTGAGATATCTCCTATTTTTCTAGGTGCTTGCTGGGTAAACATCTATTGATATAATTTCTACTTTTGACCACGTACGTATTTTTAATCAGGATGCTCGATTTTGCGAACACATCATCAGGTAATTTATGGAAAAGTTTAACCAAATCCTTTTCGACAAGAAGCTTAACACCTCTTGAATTTTCAACAACTGCTAAGAAACTTCTGAACTGTAATTTTAATACTTTTATCTAGTTGTTATTGTCAAAAATTCACGTCAAAATAAGTTCTTTATAGTTTTTATATCGTCGCTATCGTTATTATCCTTATTGTATACTGACTGGACAACTACAACTTCATAGAGAAAAGTCAAAAGTTAAAATCACCACTTCACATCGCGAAGGTTTAATGCAAGTTAGTCCGCTGTAATCAATCACAGAAGACTTACGTCAGCGCATTACCTCATTTCAAGCAGCTGGTTTTTCGGTTGATATAAGAACGGGAACAGCAATGGGCGGAATAGGCAGAGAGAATTGAGAGAGAATTGTAACCCACGATCAGCAAGTGAATAAACATTTTGAGTCAAAGAAGTTATATTGGTTTTGTAGAAAGGCTACAGCTAGTCCCCGTCGAAAAGTCTTTTTACATTAGTCATATACTGTGTATGTTGAAGTTAACTGTTTACCATTTACAAAAGGTTTGCGGAAAATCCGATTGAAAGGTAAATAAAAAATGGCATGGTGCCGGTCCAGCAGACCGGAATGAAATTGACCGTCTGGAGTTATTCTTTTTCCCCACTGTTTTGCCAAAACTGTGCATCGAACTGTTTGCCCATGTAAATAGTAAACTACCATTATGTCATACTATTCTTAGCGCATGTCTCTTTGCAGGAGTCGCCTTTGGAGCCTAACAGCAGATGCATTTCTTCGGTTGGTGGCCATTGTTCCCCATGCTCACAAAAGTCCTGGAAAAATGACATATCGTTCAGTAATCAAAACCACATAGTCACCTTATTCCGAAATGGTCGCACTATTAATCTTATCGCTAAAATTTGCGTTGACTAGCCCTATCTGACTCGATTGCATCTAAAGGATTTAAAAGAACTTATTCCTTGAAAAGGTACATTGAAGGCCAATTACAATGAAGATGACTCAATTTGCCACAATGTTGGAATAATTTGTACAGTAAATGTCACATTACTCTTCCCTTATAGTTACAGTGGTGTGTTCAGCGTTGGTGGTGGCCGTGCTGTAAACCCCTCAAACTTCGGATCGGTAGCACCGACATGGCACCTTGTCTTCGCATTGTTTCCTTTCAGGGGAAACTTTGTTACACTCTGTCTTTATCAAGGTATATAAGTGAGTATCGGCGACATACTACTACGGCCGGGTCCATGTGATTGGTGAGTTTCCCATTCAGCGGTTATTTGGAATCCTCCTCGATACTTCATGCTGAAGAAACTGGCTAAGCTTCGTCCGTGTGGGCTTCTTAGCTCGCGGCTTTAAACACCTTACTTGGCATGCGTAGCCATAGTTACATTGGTATCGTATTGCCACCTTAGCTACTTACCATCTTTTCAACGAAGGCGTTTAAACGTTCCAGCATGCCTCCTGGAGTCCATTCGTAAGGAAGAAATGGTTTTACCTTGGAAAAAAAAAACAAACAAACAAAAAGCATCAAGGGAAGAACATACAAAGATGGCCAGCAACAAGTTTTGGTCCTGCTAGATAATAAAGGTTTTGTGTTGGTAAAGGAGTCAAGTTCAAAGGTTTGCTCTACTGAGAACTACCTTACCTCTAACGATATAATCTCCTTTATAGTAGCTTCCACTAGATCAAGATTATTTACATCAATAGTGTAAACATGAGGCTTCCCAATGAATGTCTCCATATATGGGTGCTGTGACGTCACCTGAATAGGTGAATGAATGAATGACACTTTCAATAGGGTGCATAATAGGGAGGAGAAGTGTGACGTCAAGTTACCATGGTAGCCAAATTTTTGAATGACTGCAATAGGGCCGAATAGAATACTAAGATAATGAATTATTAAAATATGAAGTTATTTATTTAACAGTCAATTAATTCTAAAACTGTTAGGCGTGAATTTACTCATAATTAATAAAACAAGTAATCTATTTAAATTTCTTTGCAACAAGGTTGCAAGAAAAGTGTTTCCCTTTTTGCGGCCTTTATCCTCCGCGTAAAAAAGGTAATGCTACTGGGCCAACAATTTTTCACCCATTTTAAAATGGGTAAGTCAGAACTTCTATAAAGTGGTTGTTTATTCATTCTAAAGACCTTATTGGAGACAGTTGGTTGCCATGTTTACAAGGAATGGCAGGTCAGTTCATGACGTCAAAAGCTATTTTTGAGCAAAACCCCCTACTGGTAGTATTGTCAAATCAACGTTATATTGCTATAATATGGTAAACACTAGTCAATAACTTTACCAACCTCCCTAAATGTTGGTTTTGACTTGAAAAAGCCCGTGTTCGAGCGGCTGTGAGGAGGATCGAACTACAAAAAACATAGATATATAAATGTATAATCTGAAACTCCATTTGTACGTAGTGGGATAAGCTTATCCGTCAGCCTTTACGCTTGCACATTTCCCGTTATATAGACCTTATTTTACCTCTAAAACTTTGCATACCCCTTGTTTCCAATTTACCCTGGATACGAAAATAATGCTCATACAAAACATGGGCAGGGGGGTCGCAAAGAGCCGGAACAGAAGGTGTATTATGCCACTCGTGTCACTCGTTTCACTTTGTATAGCTGATTAAGATACCGTAAAGTTCAGCCCTCCAGGCTCAAACAACGTCGTAAAGAGTTTTAGTAGGACCTTGAAACGCTGGGGGGAAAGGCTTAGAACCGTTTCAAAACGAGCTTCATAGCAATGCTGATCAAGTGCTTTTGCTCACTTTTTTAATCTTCAAAACGTCGTAAAAATCGAATGAAGTCAAGTACATGCTAGAAGGTTGCTTATAAGCAGACTGAGCTTACTGTAATGCAAACTGGTAAGCCAGTTAAGAAAATCATACCTTTGGATTGATAAAAACACATGCTTGTGAGATAGCTTCGAGGGGCGCGGGTCCTTCATACGGAAAGCCCAGGCCAATAAATACCTGTCAAAAATATAATAAGTTTTCAAACAGAAATCAGTTACAATCCTTTTTCAAGCCACCCTCCGCACAAAGGCTAGTTGGCATATATCTGAAAGATGTAATTAACATGAAACATTCCCCATGAAAGGACGTGATGGTGATCTTGATGTAAGAAACATTTACGATTTTGCAATGAGGTAATTGGACAGTCATTGTGCTCCCATTTCAGTTCACCAGTGGACATTCACTTGTCACACCTTTTCTTAGCGCCATAATACATACTTTGGCTGTTCTCAAAAGCTTATGAAGGTCTCCTCCTTTCATTATTCCGTGATTGATAACGTAGTCTGGTACAAGTGCTTTATAGTTCTGACAAAAGAAAGGAAGTTATAGTTAAGCGTAAGATGGTAGGGAGAAGAGAAGTGTGACGTCACAGCAAGTCAAATTTGTGAAATTATGGGATTGTTTGGCAAATTCATAAAGAAGAAGATGAAAAAGCCCCCTTGCCAAAAATCAGCCAGTTATATATAGACGAGTGCAAATTGGTAGGGAGATATAGTTGTTTTATTTTTCATTCAAAATAATTCCTAGTTTAAAAAAAAGCTAAAACATGGTTACCTCCATGGATGTTGAGTTCATCTTCGATAGAGCATAATCAGCAAGTTTAGGAGATAAAGGGTTATTCGGCAGCTCCGCAAATATTCTTGACTCCAAATAGCAGATGTCGTCCGTCGACTTGTCGTCTTGTTGTTCTTGCCATGTTTTTAACAAATAGTTCGCCCATTTATTCCTCGTGAAAAGAGTGAAATGTTCCGCGATTTTTTTACTGACTACAAAAACAACACAACCTCGTCCAAAGGTCTTCTCGGTTAACTGTTCAATAATAGGGCAATTTGCTGCACGATAGACGTCATTTTTTCACATATCGCAAAATTCTTCCAAATTTGGTCGACAATAGGTGGTTATGATGAATTATGCGTGGGATTTTAGCCAATCAGAAACGGAGAAATATTTTGAATGAATAATAACTGTGCTTATATCTCCCCACCAGTTTGTACCCAAAAGCTCATTTTCAGCAAGTGGGCATTTTTTATCTTGTTCTGAATGGATACATGAATCCATCCCAAAATTTCAAAAATTTAGTTATTGTAACGTCTCTACCTCTCTTCCCTGTCAATCGACCATAACATGGATGTTCATAAGGATGTCTACTATTAAGTTAAACACAGATTGTACATGCCTTGGTCACCTAGCTAGTAATGATGTCCAGTCATTACAGGAAAACAGCCAATCAGAGCGCGCGTGCTATTGTAATTAATAAAAGTAATTATGGCTCTTGGTAGTAATTAGTATTGCCACGGTACCCTCATCCATAGCTCTATTGAAAACCAAATTTGGCTGTCCCAGGCATGCGAGACGCCACCAAGCCCCATAACACCTAGTCTGCTACACAGCCGTTTTTAGTGTCGTCACGCAACGCTCCTCTCCTCTAGTGGGGAGGAGCGTTGCGTGACGACACTAAAAACGGCTGTGTAGCAGACTACATAACACCCTACCGTCGTTAACATAACCTTACTTCAGTTCCATTCTCTGCGATCGTGCCGTGTATCTCTAGATACTTGCTGAGAACATCAATGTACTTTCTCCTTCCCTGGAGTAGATCAATTAAGCAAAAAACCAAAAAAAGTACTAGTAAGTTCACAAGTAATCAAAGGCACCAAAAGTGTTAGATATAACAGGGGCACCCAACGAGAATATAGTTCAAAACCACTTAAACATAGCATTGTTGAACGTATTTTAGAATTTAAACGGTAGATATAGGCATATTTTTATCCCCTAAAAATTTTTCATCTGTTCGGATTTCCTAGCTGAAAGTCTAGTGATCCGAAAATTATAGGGATCAAAACTTACCTTTTCAAAAATTTCATCCAGAAAAAAGGCTCCCGAAAATTCTAGGTGACCTTTTTGCGGTAAAAATCCGTTAAAAATGGGCAATTATACCATGTTTGGGAGGTTCGAAAATCCTAAGAGAGGCATGCAAGCAAGAAAGTTAACAACAAATGTTCCGAAAATTCTAGATCTCAAATCGTCTTCTGAACAGATATTTTCCATAAATTGTCGTTGGGTGCCCCTGATATAGACTAGTTTCAGTTAAGAGAGCTTTTTTTTTCTGAAAATTATATTTAACAATTATTCCATGAGTGCGCGTTGAATATGAGTTGGCTATCTAATAAGCGCGAGTGAAATAATTGTTTTATTAAAAACGACCACAAAATATTGAGAATTCTTGCCGACTTTATTTGTAAAAACTACCGATTTTCAGCTTCTTTTTAATTTCGAGCAGACGTGTACAGTTACCATATTTGGAGAGCATGGTATAATGCTCATATACCGTGAAGGATAAGCCAATCAGAGCTCTAGAATTGCATTATCCAATGATTCAGTTTCTGATAAATTAGTTTTATCCTCCACCCTCTTTAATTAAGAATACGGCTTTGCACTAGTAAAATACTATCGGCCATTGTGATAGAACGCACCATATTACATCATCAACACCGTACATTGGTAAAAAGTCGCTTACGACTAGCAAACTTACTCTTAGATATGAAGCTTTTTTGGCGTAAAGAAGACCAATCGGCTTGGAACTGCTTATATTGGTTGTTTGACTAAACGAATTCAATCTGTTTTCTTCTACTGCCAAGGCTTTGTCCACAACAAATCCAAGGAACAGATTGTCAGGGCTGTGCGCTAAAAAGAAACAGAAAATTTAGGCAATGATATAATAGGTTAAAAATTACTCCTTAATTTTTGCGCCGAATTCAGCGTTAGTTATAATTTCACATGTGCCAAGATGGCGCTACCCTGGTCCCAGAGGTTTTTCTTGATTTTTCTTCGCGAAAGAGATCAAGAGCAAACCGCGAAGCGGCGACAACGAGTCGCGAAAGCGACGAGGAGAGAGAGAAAAACCTCTGGTTACCTTGGCCTCGAATCTCACTTTCATGCTGACGACAGGGTCAGGATCTGACCCTCGGGCGTTGATTGGTTGATAGTTTTTCAAACGCGCAAACCAATTTGATTGGCTCGTTTAATTGTAACTACCGGGGGGACGCTGAGGATTTTCACACCTCATTTTGCCTCTCTCTACTAGGGAAGAAAATTGTTTGTATGCTGCACTCGCAATAACATTTGCACGGGACCAAGGCACGTAGAGGCACGCCATGGATGTTGTTCCTGAAAGAATATTCGAAGAAATTTTGACCTCGGTACTTAATGAGCGCTTTCCTAAGTCTCACTGAGCAACAAAAGAAAGCTTTGTTCGCTGCGTTGAGTCGAAAGGATGTGTTCACCATTTTATCAACCGGACATGGAAAGTATATTTCCTGTTACAATACTGTCATTCCATTAAATAAACTAACTTGTTTAGGGCAGCAAAATAAAAAATCTCCGAATACGGAATGAAAGTTTCCTTGTAGGAAAAAAAACATACAACTTTGTACAAGTGCGTAATCATTTTCGGTGCAGCTTGATTTTCCTGCGACGCCCAAAAAAGATCTAACCGACGCTATTTTTGGCATAGACCTATTCGGCTAACTCAATGTTGTACCCAATTCAAATCTCCCGGGGATAAGATTCTTTGTGTATTGCATTTGCATTATAATGTGGCATTCACATTTAAATGATATGGAAATTCCTGAAACAAAAAGTTTTATTCCCAAAGGGTTTGAATTGGGTACATTGAGTTAGCCGAATAGGTCTATTGGGCCAACAAAAACCTCTGAAAGTACATTCCGAACCTTAAGGGTTTGTTGTGCTGCATGACTCTTCCTAGCGTCGTTGTTCCACAAAAAAAGGAAATGGAGCCACCAAACCAAAATGCGAGCCAGATTGCCAGAATACATATTAATATTACTATTTTCAGGGGAATGCCCGCGAATCGACGCGAACGGCGCGCCCCGCAGAAGTAAACAATGTAATAAGCGCGATTGATAGACTCTTGCAAACTTTACAACTTCCCGCTGGCACACTGCCGACAGAACAGATGACAATGTTTCTGAAAAATCCTTGTTATTATACCCAAATAAATTCTGCAAATCCTGCAGCATTCGTTTGGAACAATGTCGGTTTCTTTATAAAGTGGTCTTCTTATTCCTGGACTCTTGTCGCCCATCGTTAACACATGCTTTAGCTTGACCCCGATTAACAAATCACTCTTTACCACCCAAGTGAAGATGGTTTGTTCATAACATAATTTCCCCAGGTCTACCCCCACTTAAAAAAATAGCGGCTGATAAGCACGTGTTTGCTAAGTTGCCATTGGTCACTCTTTTTATTAGCAATTTGACGCGTTTGACAGCTGTCGTCTGCATGAAAGTGAGATTCGAGGCCAAGGTAACCAGAGGTTTTTCTCTCTCTCCTCGTCGCTTACGCGACTCGTTGTCGCCGCTTCGCGGCTTGCTGTTGATCTCTTTCGCGAAGAAAAATCAAGAAAAACCTCTGGGACCAGGGTAAGATGGCGCTGGAGGTAGTATACTATGTTGTTTATACGCCGTTTTGGTGTATAGGTATAGGTAAATCATTGATATGGATAAAGGTTGAGTCTATGGTGTCACCCATTGTTATAACCTAGGGAAAAAGCGCCATCCTGCATACTAATTCGGTATAAGTTTACGAATGAGCGTCTCGCTACTACAGTAGGCTTTCCCAGACTTGCCTGGTAAGTAAGCTTAGAACCTCTATTTAAAAAATAGGAATAAGAGGAGCAATCACCCAGCAACGCGAGAAACGGCTTATGTCTTCTATTTAGCGCTAAAAAATCGGATATATATAAACAAAACCACACACGAGATACCGTTTTTTGCAAACTTCATTGAAAACCAATGACAAAAAGAGTGAAATGCACAGCGATTTGAAAGGAATGAAAAATTAATCGTCATCTTCTTCGCCCATGAGGTACTTGTAAGTTTGGCTCGAAATTTCTTATGTCGATGTCTATTTCTTTTCCTCTGTTTACCATAATTCTATCTCAAAGAAACAACTTACTAGACTTACTGACCGTTACTCAGTTAATGATGCGAGCTAACAAGCCCATGGTTGCATACCAATAAGTTCAGCTCTGCAGTAAATACCCCAAGGGAGAACTTTGACATATTATTATAAAAACACACACTCACACACACAAACACACACAAAAAAAACAATTAATAACTTAACAAGAATCGATTGAAACACGCGACTAATAAATTGATTCTCGCAATAAAAGCACAATTTTATTATTTTCCCTCCTCCTCCACAATTTTATTATTTTCCGTCCTCATTCTTGAATTCCCTCCTTCTCCACAATTTTAATCTTTCCCCACCTCCTCCTCATTCTTGAATTCCCTCCTTCTCAATTTGATTATTTTCCCTGCCAATTCTATTTTATTTTCCTCTTCCTCCACAATTTTTTTTATTTTCCCTCCTCAATCTCGCTTTCCCTCCTCCTCCACAATTTTTATATTTTCCACCCTCAATCTTGATTTCCCGCCTCCTCCACAATTTTATTATTTTCCCTCCTCCTCCTCCGCCTTCTCATTTAAACTATATATTTTTCCATCCACAAATACTTCGACCTCATATCGACCCTGCATCGACCCTAGACTCTTTTTCTTTTTTCAACACAGCTTCGTGGATAGTGAAACTATATACAACCACCACCACATTTCTATTGTTTCTATTATTCACAAAGCTTACCTTCTTTGACTATTTCAATAGAATCTCTAATCCAAACGGTGGGCCTATTAACTCTCATCGTTAACTGACTAACGGCGCTTGAAACGCTGATACTTCAATAGTAAGTCGCTTCTTTGAGATAGAATTATGGCAAACAGAGGAAAAGAAATCGACATAAGAAATTTCGAGTCAAACCTTACAAGTACCCCCAAATGGCTTATCAAAACGTGACAATTGCGAATAATTTAAAATAACTTTGCTTGCTTTCACTCTCTCCCAACCAAACTTGGCCTGAAAATACGAAACATCAGGCCAATCAAAATCGCTCATAGGATGACACCAAATGTCAAATTATGACGTCATAATTGCTGACGTCATTCATACGTAAATTTTAAACTTTTGAATCTCCCAATTTTTTTATCTCGTTTTTGAAAGAACTATTCAAGGGAAGTTGAAAGCTGAAAAATTTTTTCAGTATCTGAAATATGAGCTAAGATATGAAATTTTGAATTTGGATAAATTCGGAGCACAAAAACGGGGTACCCCGCTTTTAGAATAAGTCTTAATTTTAGAGTTTTATTGTCGAGTCACCCTTGCTGTTTAATTAATTAAGTTACACATAACACATCTTTACTGTCGAAAGCTAAAGGAAAAAGAAAACTTTGAAAAAAAGAAATTCCTAACTGCGCAAAAACCCGGAAAACAGTTTTGTGACGTCATAAAATGTCACGTGATCAATATTTTGGTTTGCTTAAGTTAGTGTTTTTGCATCAAAAAACTAAAATCTAAAATGATACGATTTTGGCCAACTATAAAATGTATGTGTCACCGGAAAATCAGCTCATTTTGCCAAAAACTGTGAATCGTTTTTTAAGGAAAAGTATGGTTCCGGGGGGGGGGGAGGGTGAAATCAAATTTCTTTGAAGTCTTATAAGTCGGGTTTTACGTGTCGTAGCCAGAAACGGTTTTCACTGTTTTACTCCTCTTCTAAAGCCCTTTCAAATGATGTAGTTTGACTTTGAAATTATAAACTGCATTTAACCCATTTTGGTGACGTCAGCCTTTGTGACGTCACAATTTAACATTTTGAGTCAAACAAAAACTTAACATCATTTGGTCAACAATTGTAGTCTATCTGGCAAGTTTGGTCGAGAAATGAAAAGAAATGTGAAAAATACGTAAATTTAGCCTTAATAAGCCCTTTGGTGGGTGGTTTGGCCCCGCAGTCATGGGCGAAGACGATGACGATAAATTTTTCATTCCCTTTAAATCGATGTGTATTACTCTTTTTGTCATTGGTTTTCAATAAAGTTTTTAAAACGGTATCTCGTGTGTGATTTTGTTTATATATCCGATTTTTCTTAGCGCTAAATAGAAGACAAGCCGTTTCTCGCGTTGCTAGATGATCGCTCCTCTTATTCCTATTTTTTGAATAGACGTTCTAAAGCTACTTACCGGGGAAGTCTAGGCAAGCCTATTGTTCCTTTTGTAGTAGAGAGACGCTCATTAGTAAACCTCTACCGAATTAGTCTGCAGGAAGGCACTTTGTCCCTAGGTTATAACAATGGGTGACGTCATAGGCTCGACCCTTATCCATATCAATGATTTACCTGTACCTATACTTATACCTATATCTATACCTATACACCAAAACGGCGTAAAAATAACATGGTATACTACTGTCGGATTTTTAAAATGTTATGAATAAAGATGTAAGGGGAAATTAAAGAGGCGCTTTAGAAAACCCAAACACTTGAAACAGCGTATCAAGAAGGATTTTAACATGTATTTTGTTAAAAAAAAAATTCAAAAAAAATTGAGAAGTTAAGTCAAAATTTACGGTGCGTGGAGTTCTCGATACGATAAACCAGCTGAGACGAACGCCTTTAACAAATTAAAGGCATTATCAAATCAGCAACGCAAAGTTACATTGACGTCACAGAAATGCTGAGCTTAAAAATCTTGTGTCTTTTGCTTACGAAACATAGTCATTATCTGTCGAAGATGTACATCCTGTCCTCCCCAATTACTTCTGAGTGATTTATCAAGAACTTTATACTCGGGGCAGTTGAATTCTGCGTCTGTACCAAATGAGTCCAAAATCCTTAAATTACACCTGACGGAAAAAAAGAACAAGGATCAGTTAAGTTAATTTATTGATAAATCAATTGCATGCATGGTAATCTCTATAGAAGAAAGGACACAAGCTGACATGCATAATACATTGTTAATTACAGTTTAATTCATTTTAAGATGAACTTTCTTCAAAATGCTTGTGCGTTCGAAGATTTTGCCACGGGAATTATCGATAAAAGAGCAGTCAACAGAAATCAATAGACCTTTTTAGTTTGTATGCCTTGTTTTCCCATTACAGAACAAGTGATGCTACCTCAGAAATCATACTGTTCCTTTAACAAGTAGACCGCAATTTTCGATGGTCTACACTCTTATGGACCATAGAAATGACGACATAAAATGTTCAAAACTCAAGTGGAACCACGAGCCGCTGGAGAATGGTTTCACTGCAAAGTTTTGAACATTTTGTGGCGTCATTTCTATGGTCTATAAGAGTGTAGAACATAGGAAATATTGTGGTCGATTTGGTTTTTACAATAACATTTATTCTTAGTTTCCTGCGAACAAAACAACCGGCTCTGTGTGACATGTTACGTCATTTTCATGGTTAATAATTTCGTAGACCATAGCTCTCGACCAATCAGCGCTCGAGGATTCGCTCAGTTATCGTAAAATTTAAATTTCACCCTATTGACATGTATATAAAGGTAGCTACTTTGCATACGTCTTTTTCATCAAATCCTCGGTAATTTTTTGAAGGAAATTATCTTATTTCAAGATTTTTTGCGTGGTAACGCATGGTAACGTTTATAACGGGTTTGAGTAACCACGAAGACGACAAAAACGTGAAAATAAAAAAAAAAAAGTAATGAGCAATTAAACAAAAACTGTAGTGCTGCACTTTTTTTGGTATATATTTTCCCCCATTGCACGCCAAACATTGCTAAACCTAATAGGAATAGATATTAATGCGATCGTCGTTTTAATCTCTAAAGGCCTCGTTTACAAATGTGTGTGCAGAAAAGTTGTCCCCGGTGAAGAATCACCCGCTTACCCGAGAAACTTGGGTGAGCCATCTTTTCATAAAATTCCTTACAAAACGTGTTGAACCGTTTACATGAGAAACAAAAAGTTTTCTCGGCAAGAAAGGTGACCCAACTAGTCGGGTAACCCTTTAGTGCTTACCTACTAAACTAAGCGTAATATAATCATTTAATAAGGAATAATTTTTTCTAGAAACTGCAAATGTTTAAAAACAAGGCTGTCAATACTCGGCGGGCGCATGGTGAGGTCATTGTTGACGTTCTCAGGAAAGCTCGGTTATAGCTTGAATAGTTTTTAAATTATTCAACTTCTTATTGAAGTGGGATGGGGGGGGGGGGGGGGTCTGAAAAACCCTCCCCTGGGTCTGAATAGGGATAACAATAATAATGGAAAAACTACCATGCTGTTTTATAGCACTAAGAGAATCTCCTGATTATACCTAAAGTGCGTCCTTGATGCTCCAAGTTTGTTACCAAGGCAATTTGTACCAATATAATCAGTATAAATCAAATCGAAAGGCTTATGTAAAAGCCGAGTTGCACACCGTCTTTTTTCGGACTTTGCATCAAGCAATCTGAAAAAAAAAAAAAGATGAATGATATAGAATGCCGGGCGGACAGCCATTCACCGAGTTCAATAATTGTAACTCGGAGAGTTTTAGTAAATGTAATTGTTCAGGATTATTTGTATTCCCCATTTACAGTTAAGTTTGCGCGTATTTCTGTGATTGACAGTTCAACATTAGAGTCCACGGATGTTAAAAAAGGTTTGTGGGTTTGTTGGACAAAAAAATAAAGTTGTAGTGACTTCATTTTGCATTCGTTGAAGGGGATTCTTCGCGGACATTGAGTGGAAACCCAAGGAAAAACACTACCATGGTCCTTCGAGCAGGATTTTGAAACAGAAAGTGGATTAAAAGCTGGAATTTTAGAGGAAAAACAATTTTCAAATCATCTTTGGATCAGGTTTGTGGAGCATTGGGCAGCGTTTGTTGTTGTTGTGCTTTTTTGGCAAGGTGACATGAATTTATCTGAGGAAATTTCGTGGTTTTTGAGTAGAAAATCAGTGTAAACGTGTCAGATAAAGAAGAAGGTTCAGTTGCGGAAGTGGAAAATTTGAAAGCTGGAAAACGTAAGTTGAAAGCGTCGATAACAAGCCAGCTAAATGAATTAGAAACTGGAAATTGGAACGTTTGGAAGGACTTAATGAAAAAACCATGTAAATCTTTGAAGAGTTAGGGGCGTTGTATCAGCAAGAGAAAAACCTAGAAATGCAGGTGAAAGTCGGGGATGAAGCGGACGAGTTAAAAAAAAAAAAAAAAAAAAAAAAAAAAAGAGAATTGAAAGTGAAGCTAACGCGAGGCCCTGCCAGGGAGGGCTCCCATGTCGCTCGTCTGAATTTTAAAACGTCTCGTGTCGGTGTTTATTAATGCTTCACGTCGCTGTCGGAAATTGAACGAAAATTCTTTGTCTTTGTCGGAATTTTAGAAAAGGGGGATAGCGATGGGTTTTAAAGAAACCATTACAGTTGAGCAATTTCTCAGTCAACCTTTCGTGTATAGAACACCTATACATCGCCATTCACAATTAAGGGTGTGTTCCTTTCGGTGAATCCAGAAACGGATTTGGATCTTAAAACGGATTTCACGTTCCTTTCGGCAAATCCAAATTCGGATTTTTGATCTGGTGAATCCTTTTTGAAAAAGGATTCACATTGGATTTGAAATCCGAAGAATCCGAATCCAGATTAACGGATTAGTCATCTACGCTGTTCCATTCACAGTGGATTCGAAATTAGTCAGATGCCAGCTGTACTTCCAGTTGAAGTATTCCCGTAGAGTTTCCTAATTGCTGCCATTTGCCGTAAAACATCTGAAAACACTAGAAGATTGCTCATGGTGGTACAGTAAATGTCATGTGCTGACCATTTGTCGCTAAAGATTGCTTAAAAACACAAATAAGTAAAAGGGACAAATAACTGCTATCTTTCTACAAACTCGCTCTTGGACGCGATAGGCACTCGATCGTGTTACATAGAAAACCGAGCTACGAAACTGGATCAAACTGAGCCGACAACCTTTAGATAATTTTCAACTTTAACACGCTACTTTTTTGATCTGTTTATGTTCCATCATCGTTATTCGAACTGCCGACCACAAAATTCTGCACGGTATAATCGCATAATTTGTCAAACAGTAGAAAACATGTCATTTCTTGAGAGGCTCAGTCTGTCATGCATATTGCACGCGTTTGCGAAAGGTTACCAAGGTCACAAATCTAATTTCGGATTTCACGTTCCTTTCGACCGCGAAATCCGGCAAATCTGGGATCAGAAATCCGTTTTTGGATTCGCTTAAAGGAACACTGTCAGCACACCCTAAGTGATCCACGTTCAACATTTTAAGACTAACTGACCTGATAAATCGTACGTGAAGGCCGGTTAACGGTGGTCTACGCTGTGCGGTGTTTAAGTTACCTGGGGCCCGTTTCTCGAAGCTCCCGGTAATTACCGGGCCCGTTAAGCTGTTTTGTTTTCCATTTTAGAAGGGAGTTTTAAAAGTTTTGAAAATTATACAGTAGAGTTATTAGCTAACGAAACAAAATGGACTTCATTAGAGGTCAGAACACACCCTACTTTTCTTGAGACTTTGATTTAAAAATATGATTCCGGGCCCGTTAAGTTACCGGGACTTTCGAGAAACGGGCCCCTGGTCCCTGGTCTCTCCACCGTCGTCATCGTCCGACAGAGGTCGACAAGAATATGAGAAGTTCAGAAACAAGCAAAGTATTCACCATTTTCACATAGACCATAATTCACCTTGTTAACCCCCCAAAACTTTGCATAAGCATTGTTTTCGATTTCTCTTGGGACGACTGTAATACCCTGGAGAATTTGGAAACATTGGTTATGCAAAATTCTGAGGGGGAAAACAAGGTGCGTCATAGCCTATATGAAAGTAGTGATTACAAGAGATGTAAAGCGAGCGTAAATTAACCTATTTGACGGACAACCTAGTCCCAAGGTCTCCCAGGAGTTGTGCGGGGTTGCGTAAATGAAGACTACGCGACGGGCCAACGCGACGCGCTCAGGAGGGTCTACTGAAACTCCCCGACGAGAGACAACCTCTGAAGCGCAAGGAAAATTGACGAAAATTACTTCTTCTAGGCATTCAGACTGGTGATAAATTAGCCAAACCACCGTTCTTTGTCGCATATTCTCGGCTTTGCCGTCACTGTCGCAATTTGGCAGCGGGAGGTTGTCGCTTGTCGCCATTTCATTTTAGGCTCTGTCGCTACTTTTTGGGTCATGTCGCTTGTCGGAATTTACCCTGGCAGGGCCTCTAACGCCGCTCGTCGTATGTTGACGTCAGTTTATTTTTCACGCAACACCTCGCCGGTGGGTACACATGTTTATTCAGTTAGTTCACTTAATTCTAACACCAAATTGACTAACAAAAATGGTGAAAGTGGGATAGAAAACTTAGAAACAGTTCGCATCCCAACATTTAGTGGGAGCAAAACTGAATTTCAGAAGTGAAACACAACATTCACGAGTTGCGTGGATGCAATTGCAACTGCGTTGTCTGCTCAGTTCAAAATGTTAAGACTGTTTGTCAGGTGAAGCATTAGAAACAATTGAAAGTTTAGGATATTCTGAGGCTGCGTATGAAGCGGTGAAAGCGACATTAGTGAGGAAATATGGAGGAAAATAGACGGGAAATCCGGTGCCATGTAGAACAGTTGCTTGAAATGAAACCTTTAAGAGAAGAAAAGGCCTAAGAATTGGAAACGTTTGCAAACGTAGTAAAGCGGGCAGTAATCATCAATTTGCAGGAGAACAATAGAGAGGCGGTTTTAGAAGAAAGAACACTTTACACTATTATTCAATAGATAAACTGCCTGAGAAACTAATGGATCAATACTATCGATGGGTTAAGGAAAATCAGAAGGTTTAGTCCGTAATTATACTTAAATATTGGACCATCACAGAAGCTGAATATCAGATGCAAGCCACAGAACTTAAACACGGTTTGAAGTCAGGAAACCTCCCTTGAAAGTCATGCCAATCAGGCGGGAGAAGGGGTAGATCCTATGGAACTAACCAAGTTGATGGTAAGAAGAAAGAGGCTTATGTGGTGTATGGTGACAGTCACGCCATCTGGAAGTGCGATTTTTTAAGAAAAGAAGTATTCAGGAGAAATAGGATACTGCAAAGAAGCTAGGACTCTGTAACAGGTATTGGGGTGATTATCATCTTGGCGAGGAATGTCCCAGAAGCAGAGTGTGTAATATCAACGGATGTAAGGATAGGCATAACCGACTGTTACATGGAGACCAAACAGGAAACCTATCTAAGCCTTGTTCACAGGGAACTCAGTCTTAATCAGCCCATATTCAGTGAGCGGGAAGAAACCAACAAAGCCAGGAAATCCAAACAGCTCTCATAAATGGCACTTCAAGGAGCGGAAACACCACGGGAGGATGCTAACACCAGCCCGGGAGATATCCTTTTCTGGATATATGATGACGTCACTGATAATTGCATCCTTCAAAATCAACAATTTGTTTAAATTTTACTCATTTCCAGTAGCTCTCGACCAAATTTACTTTGTTTTGGTTTTGATCTCAACCAATCACAACGCACGATACCTATATCCAAAAAAGGATATCTCCCTGACTGAACGCTAATTCAATTTCGCTCAAGATACTAAAGGAAAAAAAGATGGCGCTACGAACTGTTCGTGTAATTCTAAAGCATGGTAAGAAGCGCTTACTCGTGAATTGTTTCTTTTTAGATGAGGGTAGGATGCCACATACGTGGATGAAGATGTAGTTGAGGAACTCGGTGTCAAAGGAGAGATTAATAGTTAATAACTGTAAACGTTACCAACAATTAGCAAGTTAGTTTTCCCTCAATGATATTAAACATTAGATTAGAGAGTGTAGATGGACGAGTGCACACCGAGATTGATGCACAGACTTGGGAAAAGATTTGTGGTGGGATGAAAGCTGTTGATTGCATTTGGGTCGAGAAAAAGGGCCTGTGGAGCCATTTGCAGGACATACCATTTTCGAAGTTGGCCAGAAGGGGGAGGATTGATGTGTTGCTTGGGACAGATAACTATCATTTGATTTACCCTAAGAAAGAAGTGATTGGTGGAGTCGGAGATGTAACATTGCAGATAAGCAGAGCACTCGAGATTCCCATGGGTAAAGCCACGTTTTAGGTGGACAGCGCAAATGTCGGGCGTTTGGGTTCAAGGATAGAGCCGAAACTACAAACAGCTGTCTCCACTGGGTGGAAAAATTACGACGATTCAAGTCCAAATCAGTGAGGGTACATTCCAACTAAACTTAACCCTGCTGATAAGTTAATAGTTAATATGGGACAACTGCTGGTGGCGTGGACCCTTGTTTCTACATGAGGGTGAAGAGGAGCCGTGGCCAGAAAGGAAGTAAGGAAAAGCTCCAGAAGCTTACAAGGAAGTAAAATCAGTGAAAAGAGGACGGATCGAGGCAGTGTATCCAGGACAGGATGGACTAATCAGAATGGTAGACGAGAGGACTGGTAGAAGTGTGAAGCGCAGACCAATAACGGGACTCTCACCGTTGGAAGCTGAAGGGCTCTCAATGAGCACCCTTGTGACGCTAGTCATTCATACTTTCTCATAGACTTTGAACAGTTTCTGGAAACACTTGAATTGTGTTCTTTCATTTTGGTTTCTAGTTTCATTGAATTAGCATTGGATTTCTTTAATTATCACACGCATGACGATTTCGACATTGCTGATCCTAGCAGTACGCAGGACGCATGTCATACATGAACCTTCTTCTGTCCCAGCTCGTCACGAGTCCTTCGTAGCTCAGTGGTTAGAGCATCCGACCGGTGGACGGAAGGTCCTAAGTTCAGTTCCTATCGGGAACTCAGTTTTTTCTTTGTCTTGTGCTCGTGACATGTTACATCATTACATTACATCATTTCTCATTAGAATTTATTAGTTTTTTTCCTTTAATTTTCAGCTCTCCGATCAGCCTGGATATTCCCTTTCTTATAGCAAACGTTAGTTGTAACTAACACGTAGTTCAATCTTTTTTATTTTAAAATTCCTACTCGCTAGAACCAAAAACTCATCAGGGGTTGAAACGTGTAAGTCACGTTCAATTCTCGTGAATATTCACTTTTACCATATTTGGAAACCTTGGTGACAGATATCTATTTTCAACACAATGGCTGCCGTGTGATCACCATGCAGATGTTTTAAGACAAGAGTTCTGCTTTTCAGGCTTAAAAATACACCGTTAAAAGACAAAAAAGTGGAAAGAGAAAGTTTAAAAGAATGCTCAGCTTTCTTTTTGGGGAGGAAGGGAAGCTTTTCATCAAGAAACCGTCCTTCGAGGAATTCAACCTTGTTTTCTTCAAGCCGGATCTCTGGTCTGTTTTGAAATGCAACTAAGGCAGTGAAGTTTTTGCTGAATTTTCAGGTACATTTTGCACTGTATGGCCAAGACAATTACGTTTTGGAAAGGGAATTTATGTATTTTTAAATGTTTCGTAGACGTTTTATAAATTTTTCTCTTCGGCGCTAAAGAAAAATTACAAAATGTGCCCCTATTTGAGATGGGTTTTGTCAAGAGCCACACGTGCTCAGCCGATTTCACTTGCGTGAACGGATCCACGATCGGGATAGTGTTTTCCGAATTGCTTTAAAGGATTAACTTTTTGGATTTTGAATAAAAATTTTCAAGAGACGGCTTCTCTGTCTACTGTTTTGAGTTTGTTCAAGTATAAAATTAGTTCAAAAAACGATCGTGACTACAACATCCAAGCTGAATTTAAGCTCAAATGCTTCTCAAATTGATTACACGCATCACTTTTTGCGACGATGTCAGGTTCAGGTTTTCGACACTTTTCGATACGCAGTTAATCAATTTTATTCGGAAATATTTTTCACTGTTTATTCTAGACTTTTAAAGTAAGAATTTTAAAAGCCTATTTGCATTATAAGTTTACCGTGCAGAGGGTCAACGATTTATCGTTTTTTGAAGTGACAACTTCAAGAAGTTGCGAGGACGTCAAAGGGCTTCATAACGTTACGTTTGGCCCGGGTGGTAAGGCAACAATATCCTGCTCAGTGTTTAGGTAAGATTCCTGGTTTCAACCTTTGAAACCTTTCGGGAGTTTTTCCCCCGTTTGTCGGCCATTTTTTTAAGCGGGCGCGGGAACCTGAAGTAACCTGAAGTAACCAAAACATTAATTTTAGCTTAGCCCACTGGTCGTTATACTTTTTTATGCTCAATGTGCTGAAGTACCTGTTTATTGTATCTTGCTCGGCTGATAAAGTGATGTTATGTCCAAGGACGTACACTGAAGCTATCAGATCACTCCACTGCACCATCTCCCCTAGAGACACCCCATCATACGCTTTTTCCAGCCATTGTTTATAGAACGCAAAGGCTCCCATGAATAGTAAAATCTAGCCAGGGAACCGGTAAAATTAGAGGAGATGGAATAAACCTTCTGTTTGTCTTTCTTTAGAATAAAGCTTAAATAATTCTTGTGAGTTAATATCGAAACAAAATTGTTCAACCTCAAACATGGATGCTGATTATATCTTTTAACAGGCTGATCCAAGACAAATAATTTTTACAAGAAAAAGATATTGCCAAGAAAATTTTTATGGGCCGAGAGAGATGAAAAAATTCTAGATTTCATTGCCATTCAAGATTGTTGGAGTTTTTATAATAATTTCCATTCGATTTTTTTGTATTTTCGGGAGTGAGGTTTTGCACATTTCACTCAGATCTGGCTATCAATTGCCTTCACTGAGCGTTTCATGTCTACCTTTGTAAATAGATTAATGTATTTAAACAAAACCTTAGTACGTAGAACTCCGGTAACTCGAACTCTGAGGGGAGACGAAAAGCAGTTTGAGTTAGCGGGGAAATGGAGTTATCGGGCTGAAGTTCAGTGAAATGTTTGATCAAGGGAAAGGAAATGTAGTTCGAGTTAGAGGGGAATTCGAGTTATCCGATCGAGTTCAAGGTATCGAGGTTATACTGTAGTTAGGATTCTATGATTAGTGTATTCATGACAGTTGTAACATAAGATATGTATCTTTACCTTGTGTGCAATAAAGACCATTATTATCATCATTATTATTATTACAGTACAACCTCCATGTGCGACCAAATCTCGTATGCGACCACCTTCCATAAGCGACCGCCTATCCGAAGCACCAAAATTTTCCCAGTCAAAGCCTTACAGTTGCAACTTTTACTAAACGACCACCTCCTGTAAGCGACCGCGACCTCTTTTTAGGCCTGACAGTGAATGATTTTCCATCGTTTTTAACCTTTTGTAAGCGACCACCTGATGCATTCTCTGTTCTTTAATTTCGCTGTGTGCACTATGTTAATTAGAATCTACTACGAACTTTAGTGACAACATGGAACTTCACATATCCCAACTTAGATAATGCATGCAATAAATTATCTTCCATAAAGTAGATGTGCCTGGACTTCTTCTCAGAGGAGACCCCCGCGGTTCAATTATTGTAAACGACCACCTCCCGTAAGCGACCACTCCGTCTTTGCATTTTGGGTGGTCGCTTACGGGAGGTTCTACTGCATTATTATTATTATTATTATTATTATTATTATTAATAACCTCCAAAAACGTTGTCCAAGAATAACCAAACGAATAAAAATCATACATATGTCCTCGCTATTGGTACATATTTAAAACCATTCCATTAAGTCTATAACATTTTTTTCAGGAAATGTTGGGAAGGCTTTCGTCGTTGTTCCTGACGTAGCGTGCAAAGACCCGAACTTTTTTCGATATCTATGATTTTCTGTAATAATAATGAAGATAAAGATAACAAAACTGATAATGACAATGACAATGATAATGCAATGACGATGACGACGACGTCGATGGTCACGATGATGATGATTAAAATGACAAAGATAATGAATACAAAAACCAATGTGAATCACACCTCTTTAAAGCGTGCACTAGTGAGGTTTCACTTTATTCGTCAAACATACGTTTTTTCTCTGTCGATTTCCAAAGCTTGGTTTTTGCTGTTCAAGCTTCTTAGCTGCAGCCCTCCATTCTGGCCAAAGTCTTGAAATACGGTCTCTCATGAACTGGTATTTACTTTCGTTCAATTTGTGCATCAATTCTGTGAGATCGTCTCGGACATAAAGCTGTGAAGTAAAAGTCATCTATTTTAGTTTTTTACCAGGTTGAAGTGGAATGATACAATTTCCTGCCTTCTAATCAGGAAAGAAAAGCCACTAGCACGCTTTTTTTTTTCAGGAAAATGATCAGGCAGTTAAAACACGCTAGTTTTTACACCACTAGACGGGGTGTTTCGTAAAAGCAAAGCATCAGTTCTATGTTTATTTATATTTTTACGTTTTGTACGTTCATGTTTTCTTCTTGGAATAAAGAAGTTTAAGACAAATTGTCCTGACTGTCATACCGACTCTCGTTGCGGTTCTAACAAATAAAACATGAAGTTAAAAGAGCGTTCATACTGCACTGGCGAAGATATCACTGGTAATTGTTTTTAAGACTGAAGTAAATGATTATTAAATCTCCAAACCAGTTTATTACTGTGCTTTTTAAAAGGGTAGAAATGTCTTCGCCAAGGTAACGTTGGACACCATTTCTCCACCTTAAAAAGTAAGAAAAAAGAATTTCAAAATGAAAATTAAATAAAGCCACAGGACCATTCAATATATTAAGAAACCTTACTATTTTTCAAAAGGTTTGGCTGACAATGAAGGGATAGCCTAAAGTAAAGCAGAAATATCTTATACTCTGGGAGAAGTACTCTGCGCATGTTTTTCATTTCTTTGCTTCAAATTTCTTCCCTGTAGAGGAACAGAAGCAATAATGGATCCCTCGTCATTCAATTCAAGTTGCTCTCGCAGTTTCCAGCACTGTAAGGCACTCTTCTTATAAGAGGGCCTCTAATCTTTGGAGAATTCACCATGGGCTCTCGAAGACTCTATAATCTCATTTCCTGCATAACCGAAGTCTGTCTGAACTAGGGGAGCTAGAACAAGATGGTAGGCCTATGGCCATTATCTTCCAAACTTTGCAACCTGTCCTTATAGAATAATATGCATGTGTAACGTCGATGTATCACCCACCCCATAGTAGTGTAGCCCAGCTACAAATTTAGGTGAACGGCCATTAAAGGAATGCGAGGCACAATTTGTACATTACACAAATCACTTTTAAATTAAATCACCTCACTGAAATAGATCAGCAGATTGCAGTTATCCTTTGGATCTACACCATGCTGGTTTACGTAACACTCTCTGTTTTTTGACCACATTTGTTTCATCCACTATAAATAAAGAGAAATAGAAAGGTCAGCGCGAGAAAGTTTGGTGACTCTTATATTGTACCTTTGGCCTAGATTTGTTAATTAGATTGGTAAACCATTTAGACATAAGAGGACGGTTAGATTTAGAATGTGTTGATGTCTAAGCTGGCTGCTCATTCCGTAAACTTGCAATAGGCCATTTGTACGATGAAATAGAATAGAATAGAATGGAATGGAATGGAATGGAATGGAAGGGAAGGGAAGGGAAGGGAAGGGAAGGGAAGGGAATGGAATGGAATGGAATAGAATAGAATAGAATAGAATAATACTTTATTTAAACACGGTACAGTTTATCAGGAGTATGGCGTTATGTTTTGAAATAGTAAAACCCAAATACAGTTCGTGTTTCTTTTCATATTTAAATGTGGAAATCCCAGCCAGGATTAAAACAGCAGAAGGTCTGATTTGCACAAGAAAGCAAAAAACTGAAGCATTCTGGTAGAATTAGTAAAATAGCGTCATCGAGCAAATAGCCAGTTGGACGCTTATGCACATGCTTCTGAATGTATATGAACTGTGTACTACTGACTGATCATGGAAGGCTGGGCTTATAAATTATAACTGCTTCCGAATCTTTTCGAATGATTGTAAAACCATGCATTTTTAAAATGCGCATTATTTAGTTTTGGGAAAGATATATGAACATAGTCGCTTGACTAAGCGAAAGTATATGCTGCCATGACAACTTTGGTCTCCTTATCAATGAGCTCGTTGTGAGCCAACGGCCAGCAAGCAACTGATGGTGTGGAGCCTTAAGGGCACTGGTGGAAAAACTCAAACCTGGTGGCTATCTACTTCATCCTGCTTTATCTCCAGTCGCCTTGACCATGTCTTTCCGCTTGGCACAGATAACTCAGGACTAGAGAGTGACGCTGACGACGCTGCGAAACATTTCCTCGCCTTCATCCGATTCTATAGCAAGTTAATCCACAACCATCCCCCAATCTTTTAAGCCCTGTGGCAATGCGAGAGTGACGAAGTAGCAGGTGGAGGTTGACTGGAAGGTGTAGTCTCAGAACCTGTACACCAACGGCCCATGACATTAGGGTCGCTTTCTACTGAACCGAGGCAGTGGTGGAGTTTGGACCCCACTTGGTGTTTGAGGAGAAGTCCTCGTTAGGAATCTCTCTATTAACTTCCATGGCCTAAGAAAGGGATTAGAGAAGTTGCCCTAAACATGCGCGTCTTCGCCTTACCCAGGCCTGCTTACCCGGGCAGGCGGAGATGCAGTTTATGCCGTCGAAATTTCAAGATAAAATATCATTGACTACCGACTCATGGTATGCGTTGAAGCTCACAGAAAGACCTAAAGCTGATAACCTGTGAGACAGACAACAATTGTTGTAACAGATCTCGGCGGGTACAACATTCTAACCCAGTTTTGGAAGGTCAGCTGACGATAGTCACAGTATTTAAACCTGGTTACAAGTTTTTCTGGATTGGTCGTCACAGTGAAGAACTTCGTGAAGTAGGAATGGGATTTTCTGTGAGAATAGATCTCATCAACTTTATAAAAACCTTCTCAAAGGATTCAGTGATGGCCTCATACTACGACACCATTATCAGTGCATATGCGCCGACAATGACGACACAGCAACCGCTGGCATCTAATCGATTATGTTATCGTCAGCAGAAGAGATGGGCTGTGCAGCGCAGACTGCTGGATTGACCGGACTCATCATCTCAAAACTCAACACGTCACATCCTGCCCAGATGGCGCCCACATGCTAAAAATACCAACAAGCGGCTTTATGTCAGAAAGTTAGAAAGGCATTACGTTCGAGAGAGATACGGTATACGATACCGCATTCCCTCAACTTGGCAGAAATACACGCAAACATAAAAACTGGTTTGATGAGAACAATGAAGAAGTCCAAAAGCTGCTTGACGAGAAACGCCACACTTCACATCAACAAGATAGCAGTTCTGCTTCCTATAAAGCAGCCTAATATTCCACCAAAAAAGGTGCAATCCAAGCTCAGAGAGACACCGGACTCCTGGCTCAGCAAAATCGCAGATGGGATTCAATATGAAGCTGACAACAACAACACTTAACGCTTCTCTGATGCCCTGAAGACTTCTATTGGCCCCAATCCCCTGGAACATAACGCTGAAGGGACAGCTCTGGTCACTGATAAGAATGCCATCCTGGAAAAATGGCTCAAATTTTCAACAGTGTCCTAACTATGCCCTTTTAATTTCTATCAATTTTGAAGTCATATTTATGCTTGTATTCCTCAAGTCGAGATCACCAAATCCTTATCAAAGCCTCCAGTAAAATCGGACTTTTAGAAAGTGATCATAATCCACCCCAGCTAAAGCCTTCAAGGCAGGAGGGCCATTCTCATTACAAAAAACTAGCCGAACATTTTCAGTCCGTCTGACAGAAGGAGGTCAAGGTTGCCTTTGTTGAAATCTCTACAAGATAAAGGGAAATGAACAGTCATGCGATAATCACTGAGGGATTTTCACCTAATAATCGCTGACAAGATCGTGTTAAGCGTCTTCTTCAACTGCCTTACTCAGCACTTGGAGGACGGCCATCTCCCAGAAAGTCACTGTGGCGTATGAAGGGCCGTGAACTGTGGACATGGTGTTTGTTACACGGTTACTCCAGGAACAGCGTCAAGAACAGAATAAAGATTTCTACATAACAATTGTAGATCTGACAAAAGCCTTTGACACTGTTAGCTGCGAGGGCCTGTGGAAGATCATGGCAACGTTTGGCTGTCTAGATAAGTTCATGAGCATGGTGCGTAAGTTTCACGACGGCATGCTTTCTTGAGTACTAGACTAACTTCAGACTAGTCTGAAGCATTTTCATTCACTAACTGAGTAAAGCAAGCCTTAGGATGTGTCCTTGCTCCCACACTCTTCAACATGATGTTCACAGCCATGTTGACGGATGCCGTCTACAATGTCGAAGAAAAAAAGTCATAGTGGTATCTATATGGAAACCTATACAACTTGCGTAGGCTACAGGTATAAGTGATCAAGGCCAACGAAGTTACAGTGCGTCACTTCCTGTTCGCAGATGACTGTGCGCCTAACACTGCCACCAAAACCTATAAGCAATTGAGAATAGATTGTTTTTCTACTGCTTGCGATAACCTTGGGGGGTACAATCAGTGCCAAAAAAACTGACGTTCTACACCAGTCTGCCACACAGACGACGCGTGTGGTATACCAGCCAACACTGTCAAAGAGGAAATTTCCAAGACCGCTGACAGAGGTTGACGTACCTAGTCAGCACACTTTCCAAATCTGCCCAAATGGACGACGAGGTCAATTCACGCATTGCCAAGTTCAGCCCAGTTTACGGACGACTTAGTGACACGGTTTGGCAAAAGAGAGGCAGCTGAAAAAACTCACGAGCAAGGCAGCGGTTCTGTCTTCATTACTGTATGCCTGTGAACCATGCTCATTATACGAGCGTCACGTCCAAGAGATTAACCGATTTTACCATAAATGCCTAAGAAAACAGTTGAAGATAACCTGTGCGACGAAGTCCCTGACACTGATTTTTTCTAGCTCGCACGCCATGCACTCTGCTCTAGAGAGCCCAGGCTAGGTGGGCTTGCTATCATAGAACAATGGGACACACTCTTACCCAAAAAGATTGTCCTTAGGCGAATTAGTCAAGGAGAAACTTTCCCATTGTGCACAGAAGAAGCGCTACGAGGACTGTCTCAATCAGTCGCTGGGCATTTGGTTTTGCTGTGAAACCTGGGAGACTCTGGCACTTGACCTACCAACCTGGCGTAGAAAAATTAATGAAGTCGCTGTCCTATTCGAGAAGAAGAGCAGAAGCGTAGAGGAAACTTCAGCTATGCAAGCGCAAAGTCATCTCCTTGCCATCTGCCCAAGAAATTCACCAGTGTCCAGAATACGACAGAGCAGTCCGCACCCGTATTGGATAGTCCAGCCACAGCTCCACACTGCACCAGTCCTTTCGCCTCGTGCCATCGTCGATCGAAATTGATGAACAACAACATATACCTTAGTTAAGACAATTTGGGATGCGTTGGATTGATGGTATTCCGGAATAAGAATAGGCAAATATTGCGACAATTTCAAAGGTTATTGATAACATTTTTTTAAATCATTATTCTAACATTTTTTTTTTATCATTATGATTATGATTATGATTATTATTTTTAGGACGGTGCATGCCAGCATATCAGATTCATCTGGAAAAGAAATTATTAATTCTGTTAAATTGAAAAGTAAGATTACCGGTCGCACGATACAGCACCCCAATCCAGTGTAATTCCTGCATGACTGAAAAAATGTTGCCGGTGAAAAAGGTTGGCGTTTCAAAGCGAGATGTCGGGCTATCTTTTTTCTTTACTTAATTTTGATTTGTTTTTCGCCTCACTGCTTCAAGAACCAGTTTAGATCAGTGGATCTGCGGATCGATGGATCGGTAGTAAATACCACATCCTGCTCCTAACAGACTTCTTTGCCTCTACTAAACATTTTTTGGCTCGTTTTACAGAATTGGTTAAAGGCACCTTTTACCATATATAGTGTAGTTACCTCAATTTTGTATTTACAAAGTGGATACAACCAGTCATCAGGTATAGAGCAGTTATGTAGCGGAACATGTGCCCTGTTCTGAAACAGTATTGGTAGGTTGTTTGTTCTTTCATTGGGAACAAAGCCGATTTCTTCTGCAAACAAAAGAGAATAATGACTGAGGTCTGGTGCTACTTCTTTAAGAGTTCAAGGACAATTTCAACATTCAATTTTAGCACAACAACAACACAAAACTTGAGGCATTTGTACTTTCTCATCAAAATATTTTTCCTTTCACCTTTTTATATCCTATGCATTTCTTTTTACGCCTTTCCCACTAAGACAATAACGGATTTACTCCGATCTTTCTGGCGTTGATCTTGGGGCTTCGGCACGTGTTCCTTCCCCACGAATGACGGAAGGAACTCGTGACCAAACCTTACGAAATTGACTGGGATGCTAACCCTATTTTTGCTCAAATCGGGTCTTCTCTTTGGCGGGCATTAATTTGTCATGCTAATCTGTATTGTAATTGATATACAAGCTAAATCGAGGAATCACCAAACGTTAAGTTTAATAACAGTAAAATATCAGTAAGGCCTAGGCCAAACGTCGAACTTTTCATGAGACGAACCAAACTTAGTGCGTTAAGTTCATGAAAAGTTCGACCTCTGGATCGGTTAATTAAGTTCGTCTGAATGAGTTTGGATCGTCCAACACATTCTGCGTCTGCCTCAGACGGATAGAACGCCTGAAGATCGTCTCCGGGACAAACGTCGATCTTCACTGTTTTCACATGCGACGAACAAATGAATAAATTAATAAGTTTGTGTGATATTTATATGTATATTTAGCCATGTTCGGCCGGCTACAATTGCTTTTTTGTATGATTCATTTGATTGGTTACCATGGCTCCAAAGGTCCGTTCTCAAACTACCTAATATGAAATAAACCGTGCTTACGGTTTGATAAGGCTCCGGAGACGGACCTCTGGTCACACAAGCAAGCAACCTCATTTCCAAGCGAGAAATCAGTTCAGAATTTGAACTGGGTCGCCGATTGGTTACTCCCACGTCCGCAGGGAATTAACGCTGTAACAGTGAACTTGGTTGGCTGCATTGAAAAACTTCACCGCATGAGATTACAAAACCGGTTGCGATGTTCATAACAAACAATAAAATCCCGGGTTGTAATTCGGAGATCTCGACTTTCATGTTTACTTTTGGAAGTGTGGCAAAGAAATCTCTGGCTAAACTTCCAAACAATTTAAGCGAACATCCAACAACTGAATCAACGTTGCTCAAGGAAGAAGCTTTGTTTGAATGACGTACTTTGAATGAATGTGATGATTTCCTGCTATGTTTCGTCTTAATTGCTGGACTCAGTTCTGCATTCTCACGGATAGTACCCTGGGTGTAAAAGGTTTTTCTTTTTTCCTAATTTCTGATAGTTCGCGGCGCGGTTCATTTGCTAAAAAATGCAGCAGAATGACGTTTTGCTTGGCATAGCCGTTTTGCCTGGCAATATTTATTATAACATAACAAAAGTAAACTGCGCGCTCTGATTGGTCAGTTAGCCACTCCCATTTGCCGTGGGTGCACGCCAAAAAACTGAGCTAGCGCGGTAAAATTTAGGCAAATTCAACAAATCTCTCCGGACGGTAAAATACACCGATGAAATGCACAGATGAAAAGTGGAATTTGAATAAAATACTAAGCTGACGTTTTGAAGGAAAAAAAGACAAAAGATCAAGCGACAAATTTGCCCTGGATGAATTAATCGCTGTTTTCCTCGCCGCTAGAATCGGCTGAAGGAAATTCTAGCGAGCGACGATTTAAGGTAGATTTTGTGTGTATTTTATAGAAGAGAAAGTCTGTTTGAAATGTAAGTTTATCAATTAGCATTGTGTTATTGACTTTTTGGTCAAGCTGATGCTAAATTCAAGCAAATGTTTTAGGAAACACGCTCAAATTAGAGACAGCTTTGTTGTGAAGTTTTGATCGCATCGATTAAAAATTTTAGTTGAGTTTAAACGGGCACATTACGCTAGAATAAGCAAATTTCATTTGAGTACAGAAACATTTGGGTTCTCAAATAAGTTTTTCCAAAAAAAACTTCTGTGTGTATTAGTTTGTTCCTCAGTGTTCATTCATAACAGTCGTTTAGAGAACGGTCGAAAAACGACAGCTTCAGCGCCGGCGAATTTCAGTTGCAAGTTTGACTTTCATAGCTGGATTTCCCCAGACAGATTTCGATACAAAGCGAGTTAATTTCTTTTTAAAATTAGTGTTACCTGTTATTCTAAAGGAATTACAGTCAAATTTTCTCATTTCTACTTTACGTTTATTTCAAGAATTGTCACATAAATAAGCTTGATAATTATTTCATTTACTTTAGTTTTTAGCTTACTTTTTAGAGTCTTTTTAGTTGGCATGGTGTTTATAGCTGCAGCTATAGTTTTCCCTCAGAGTTTTTACCCCAATATTAAGAGCAAGTAGGCAGATGTCATTCAGAATAACAACGAAAAACGTTTTGCAATTTACCTGAAGACGGAGAACGGTTGATTCAGCGAAAGAAAAACTCAAAGAGGCGGACAGATGGCAGCATACATGAACTCGGACCGATGACTCAACCGAAGGCAAATGGAAAATGATGTTTTTCTCTTTTGATTATGTTATAAAAGAAATGGTAAACGTTGCAGCTGTGCAACCATGGAGTTATGGATGCGCCTGGGAGGTTTGCTAAGCACTCAAGAAGCTCGGAGTCGCACTCGGCCGGACTCTTAGGCTTCTTTCGTGCTTAGCAACCTCCCGCGTGCATCCATAACTCCATGGTTGCACGCTGCACGTTTGCCATTTCTTAATTTTGACCTGGTACAGTAATACAAGTGTCGCAGACTAAGATATATTCATGGGCAAAGTTTAAAGAAAATGGATTTCCCGACCCGAAACGAAGACAATTACAATCTGTACTTTTTATAACCCTGTTTTTGTTCTGGAATTACAAGACTCACAGTGGTACAGTTTGTTACAGTATTTTCTTGTCTTATCAATTTGCAAACTTCAAACTCCTTTTTTAAGAACCTGCTTGATTTCTTCCGTTTTTGGGGCTAAAAAGGTTGTTATATATTCAGTATAGTTGTGAGTATTAGGATGGCAAATTTCCGTCAGAAAGTTCTTAAACCTCTAGATTCTTGCACGCAGGTATTGTCTGAATGATAATCTTCCCAATCTTGTACTTCTTACAACTATTCCTGCTGCTGCCAGAAAATAGGTAACCCTCTGCAACATGTACATTGGAAACACGAGCACATATTTCTTAGGAACGAGAAAAAATAAGGTTGGGTTTACAGGCTGATCCAACGTGTTAACGCGCCTATGAGACCGCCAATACCGTTAGTACTGTCTATTCCTGAACTATAAAAAGTCAAAGGCTGACTAACTTATACATATAATAATTATGTAGATGAAAATGATATGAAACTTTAGCATTTCAGAACAATGGATTGATGAGTAAAATAAAACAGCCGAATAAAAATTGGATAAATGACCATAATTTCAATAAAGATTTAACAATTCAAATACTGGAAAAAAAAAATTTCGCAAAACAAATGTCCCTTTCAATTGTCAACAACCCTGACTACTAGGTTCAAGTATCCCTTGCCGTGACTCATCGAGTAGTCTTCGTCGACACATCTTGCCTCGTCGAGTCATCGTCTCGTTAAGTCGACCTCGTCGAGTCAACTTCACCGAGTCATCCTCGTCGAGTCATCGCCTCGTTGAGTCGTCGTCGTCGAGTCAACCGTGTCTCAGCGCGTCATCCTCGTGTAGTTATGGTGCCTCATCGAGTCATCCTCGCAGAGTCATCGAGTCCTCGTCCAGTCCTGGAGTGAAAATCGAGTCGTCCTCGTCGAGTGTTGAAGAACCGCTTGAAAATTCGAGTGCCTATTTATTTATTTTTGAGCGTCGGTAGAAAGATGACTCCGTTCCCAGAAACGGTGAGTGATCCCAAGTAAGTCCATTAGGATCCTCAAGACTTTAATAGAGATCGGCGAAGTCGGTCATTTGAAATGACCGATTGCGCAATGTAAAACAAAAGACGTGTTGACAAGAAGACGATCCTCTCTAAATCATAACGACTGAATGTTTCATTTTATTCTCAAGTCATCGCTTGACAGCTTAACAAAATTAATTAGAAATTTGATTCATTGAACTCAATGGAAACACAGAAAAAAAATTCGAGGGACCTTTCAAAGCAAGGCGCGACAAACGGCGAATAAAACGCGTGGGAACAATTTGCGTGTGAGCTGCAAATCGTGTGTCATATAATATTTGGCTAAAAGCGAAGCAAACTAAATGGTAACAATTATTCCGAAAACAAATCTTACATAGAATTCTTTAGTCAGTTTGCGAAGGTTTAGGCAACATTTTTTAGTACAATATTTATTTTTCCAACGGAAGGCCTTTTTGTTACAAGAGAAATGTATTCGTTGCCTGAACGACTATAAACTGCGAGCAGTCAGCTTTTATTTTTCTTTACAAAGTTACCCAAGGCATAAACCATGCAGACGAGCGGCCGCGAACGGCTAAACGAGGGCGTCTCGACCTTCACTGATTTCACTGAAAATCTTTGGCCGAAAAACGGAAAGCGGGGGCATGGAAAGTCTCTGGCACCCAGGGTAAATTCTCTATTGTAAAGTCGTTGTTTACAATCTCGCTAGCTGGAATAAGAACTAAACAGATCAGATTTTAAGAGAAAAGGCGGGCTGCAAACAGGCTAGAAAGACTTTCTTAAATGTTTGAAATAAACACGACTTAGAATCTCGTAATATGGTGAGACGTGACCTTAGAGTTTGCTTGAACAACAGGGGTTTTCCTTCTTTTCTTTGTCGCTCGTTGGTCACTATGCCACGCATGGAAAGTTTTAAAATTGTATTTTTTCTGCCGCACTAAGACTTACATTTAGCGCTCATGTCAATGGTCTATGCAAAAAAAAAAAAAAAAGGCTGGCTGCAAGCAGTCTAGAAAGACTCTCTTAAATGTTTGAAATAAACACGACTTATAAACTCGTGATAATGTGAAACGTGATCTTAGAGTTTGCTTGATCAACAGGGGTTTTCTTTGTCGCGCGTTGGTCACTATGCCGCGGGTGGAGCGTTCTAAACTTAACTGAGCAAATCTTATTTTTTCCGCACATGCCGCGCGTGGAGCGTTCTAAACTTAACTGAGCAAATCTTATTTTTTCCGCACTAAGACATACATTTAGAGGTCAAGAAGATGGTCCATGTATATTGGGTAACTATTTTCTAAAAATAAAGATTTCAGCTTCTTTTGTTTTCACTCAAGATCATTTTTTAGGCGCTGATGCAGTCCATTAAGTTTTTCTTGGAATAAGTGAGTTTTTGAACTGGAGCGCCATTTTTTTCTGTAGTCATTAAAGTATAATGCCTGTCAAGATAATTGCAGACACAAGCCTAAAAATGATCAAAGTTAAGAAAAAGGGTTTGCTTAATATTAGATTTCAAAAGTTTCAACCTTTTTAAATCTTTATGATATGAGTTTTCATATGAGTGAAAAGCTTTTAGACACATAAACGTGTAAAGTTCATATTTTGCTTATCAAGGGCTCTGGAGCATCTAAAGGTCGGTAGTTGTTAAAATGATAATACTAGGTTCTGACTTCATAAATACATGACTTGCAATTAAATGAGTCTCAATACCAAGGAAAACTATTACTTGTTCATTCCCCTGCAGTTTAAGGCAAAACGGAATAAAATCCAGCCATATCCTAAATGCACAGAAAAAGATACAAAACTCAGCAGCAAGAGATATTAGCGGACTAAAGACCGCCCTCAATTCAAGCCATTATTAATAACAACCCTTTATGATCCAGCGCTACTGCAAACAACAATATTTTCTAAATAGGGCATGCTTCAGATGTCAGTAAGAGAAGTATATTATCAAGGACCCATTCCCAAAACCTACTCACTTAAGATGACTATCAGATACGACATAGATCAATCTACAATATAACATAAAATTTTTGGCGATCGGAGTAAATGTCACGTGGTTATAATGCCACGACCTTTTGAGGTCTGAGTCGAAAATCTGCTGTTGCCGGCATTTTTTCGTGAAAGTCTCTCGGCTACACATAGTGCGCATTAGTGCCTTACGCTGAACAGAGTTTCACCAAAATCGCAAAGACCCAATTCGAGAATTTCAGCGGTTTCCAAATTTAGGTCATAATTTATGCGAAAATGATAAGCAAACTTTACACGATTATATCTAATAAACTATGAGATTCATCCCTTTATTTTGGGCATCGTTATAACAGATCGGTCCTGGCAAGTCAGCAAAAAGCTTTAGGGCCTTGTAAATGCGCGCGATTTAGATTTCGAAGATTTTTAGCGTTTTGGCTGAGTTTGTGCTTTGGGAGTTGTCTATTGTTTCTAGTCTGTCATGATACAGCATTCTTGTTCAGCGCGCGTGCAATGACCACGCTTGGCTGCCTTCCGAATGCTCACCGAGATATGATAATTTTGGTACGGTGAGACAGGCGATCGCGTGATACATATATAGATGTTTAACTCACGATGCTACACAATCTCTTCTCCGTGAACTTCCTCTCTCGCCCGAATAGCATTCAACACCCCGGCCATTTTCTTTTTAGAGTTTTTAATTCTCGGGATGACGTATACACTCAGCTTGCTGGAGACGTTACGTGACGGGAATCCCTTCTATCTTCTTGTACTAAATTATCATATCTCGGTGAGCATTCGGAAGTCAGCCAAGCACGGTGATTGCACGCGTGCTGAACAAGAATGCTGTATCATGACAGACTAGAAACAAAAGAAAACTTCCAAAGCACAAACTCAGCCAAAACGCTAAAAATCTTCAATGTTTACGCAAGTTTGGGCTTATAGAAGATAATGTCACAGTTTTTCAATGACCTTGAAATTCAGAATCCGGGTAGTTAGTTAATCAATTGTGGCCCTGAAAAATTTTGAAGGAAAAAAAACTACGAATTTTTAAGAAAATGCTTTTTTCGTGAGAAGAACTTTTAAACGCTGACAAAGGTCAACAAATAGCTAAAACTATAATTTCTATATGTTTGCATTGCTCGAAATCGAGCGCATTTACAAGGCCCTAAAGTTTTGTGCTGACTTGCAAGAACCCATCTGCTATAAAGATCCCAATAATAAAGGGATAAATTTCATAGTTTATTAGATATAATCGTGTAAAGTTTGCTTATCATTTTCGCATAAATTATGACCTAAATTTGGAAACCGCTGAATTTCTCGCATTGGGTCTTTGCGATTTTGGTGAAACTTTGCTCAACGCAAGGCAGTAATGCGCACTATACGTAGCCGAGCGATTTTCACGAAAAAATGCCGACAACAGCAGATTTTCGACTCAGACCTCAAAGGGGCGTGGCATTCTAACCATGTGACACTTACTCCGATCGCCAAACGTTTTGTGTTATATTGTAGATTGGTCTATATGTTATCCATTCTATGTGTTAGACTTACGATAAAAGTAAAGGTGGGGATACCAGAGCGCTTCAAAGTAGGATGGTACCCCCCCCCCCCCAAAAAAAAAAAACTGGGTCGAGTTCACCTTAAGACGATATTACGACGCATAAACAAAGACCGCAGGCAATCGCATGCCTAAAAAGCGGGCTCAATTTACACTGGACTCCGTGTCATCGCTACAGATCAGTAGCATTGCATCGGCCGGTCACAAAAGGCAAAATCTCGCTTAGCCTTGAAGCATTTAAGTTTGAAAGAGAAAATATATTTTAAAAAAAGATAATTCGTTCTTCCGTTTTATTTCCTGATCATTGCAAGGCGTAAAATTTACTATGAGCAAAAGCTTTATTTTAATTTTTATAATGAAAAGGGTTGTATTTTCATCTGCTTTTTACTACATGATCTTGATCACGTTCTGAGCTTTCAAAAGGATTACCACTGTCAGTAGTAGCATATGACAAGGTTGACACCTTATCACATTACGTTTTTTGGCCAGGGAAATTATTAGGATTTGGACAAGTGAAGTGAAATTATTCCCTAATTTCACGAGTACACCATTTGATTACCTATTAATATCATGGGTGACGAATTACGTTAGCAATCTGGAATTTTTTACATGTTTATCCTGGATCGTATCGATCGAGAACTCCACTCTCTCAAATGTTTAGACCTTAAATTTGGCTTATAAAGTTCAGAATTTTTCAGACTATTTTGGCAAAATACCTGCTGGAATCCTTCTTTATGTTCTCTTGTGTGTTCAGGTTTTTTAAAGCGTCTTTTTGTGCCCTGACATCTTCATTCACGGCATTTTAAAACTTCGTCGCCATCTTGACATACGTACGACAGACGTACAGAAGGTTGCCATGGCAATTTTGTAATTTCACATGTGAAATGACAAATTAACGCTGAAATTTCGCGCCAAAATTAAGGAGTAATTCGTCACCTATGATATTAATTTACTAGTTAAATTTCCACAGCAGGAAATTCTCTGGTCACGTTTTGAAAACAAAGCATTCGTAGCAACTAAGAAATCATGCTGATCGCAAAGAATATCGCTTGCGGCAAAAAACAAAATGGCAAGTTAGTTTCTAAAATTGTTCAAAACGGATAGGAACACGCCATGCACTCTTTTTATTTTATAAGGATATATTTTATAAGGATATCGAGGTTGAAATTTGCAAAAATTTAAGAATATTTTAAGAATAAACTCCAGGCAGAGATTTTGAAAAGGATATTGTTTTCGGGTCTTTTGTGTGTTAACAGTCTCTAAATATCTTTCAAATATACCTTTTTAACTGATTCTTTTCTCTAGACGGCAAAGTAAACAAAACGAAAAAACCTGCACTAACCTTAATTGATCATGATGCCCTAATGTATTCTGAAACGAAAATGTCATAAGCTATAATTTAAGAATAATTACAGGAATATTCTCAGCGTAAGATCGACAGAAGAATTAGAATATTCAGCCTGGGCCCGAAAAACAGGGAAAACGAGGGCAGCACTTGCATACTCATGATTGCATCTTTTTTCGTTTCCAGGTTTAAGCTGGTCCTCTTCTGTTCCAATGCATAGGTGGCTCTTAAAAGGAACGTATTTGCAGTAGTTTTCAAACATACAAGGCTACTGAGAAAAAAAATTACTGATAGAGGAAGGTGAAAAGTGAGACGCTTTCCGATACTGAACTTTGGAAAGGATCACGGACTGAAAAGAATGGCAGCCCTGGCAAGCTAAAAATGATCATGAAGAGATGCTGTAAAAAAACTAAAAGCATGTGGTCTGTAAAAAAAGTAGATTTTGCACACGACGACAACAACAAGCTGTCTTCGGAAAACCAGAAATTATTGATTTTTCAAAAACAGACTGTCAAGGAACTTTACACATTGTCATGTATTCCAAGAGATGATTGAGTGATCATTCTTTACTTTCGTCAGACATTATTTAGGCCTGTTTCAAACGTCGTGCTACTGCCGTGCTAAGCTGGCTCAACTGTAGTTCGACTGCAGCACGACACTAGCACGACTTGGTTTCAGACGTCGAATTTAATTCAGTCGAATAGAACGGAAATTTTCGAAAACAAAACACCAAAATAAAGAAACGGTTTAGCAAACTTTTAAATGTATTCTAATGTATTTATAATTTACAAATTGAGTTCCGCACAGCAGTAGCGCGACGTTTGAAACGAAGTTTAGTAACGTACACTTAATGTTGGTAAGATTTACTAACGTGATGATAGTAAGATGATTTTGAAAAAGATGTTGGAAATTTCCATCATCTTTTTTTTTTTTATTTTGGCAAATGACGTTGGAAATTTCCATGGTCATTTTGCATTGCGTGAAAAATGTTCATGAAAGAACATGAAATTTTTCATGAAAAATGTGAAAGATGTTCATGTTTTTCTACAATTTTAGCCTCTAATCATCAAATTTGTGCCATGATTCCCAGTATTAGATTATCTTACTTGGCTTTAGAACGTGTTTAGATGGGGTCAGTGCATTTAAATAGGCGTTAGAACTTGTCGTTCATAGAGACGATTGTTCACGTTTTAGGGGTGTAGAATGCAGGTAAATTCGAGATCTTGCAAGACTGCGAGATCTTGGTTTCAAAATTCGAGCCCGAGACTTTACTTCTAAAAAATCTGAGCCTGAGATTCTAATCGCCGAAAATTTCGAATTCGAGACATTGCTACAGATAAAGCTTTATAAAATGAGTGAAAACTCCACTGGAAGCTAGCGAAAGCCCACCAGTATACTGCTTTATTTTGTTTTACCGCCTTGTTCGATAAGCTGTACCCTGGACTGTACGAGTCAAATTTTTCAGAGTTCATAAGTAAAGACAATACAGAAACAAAAAGCGACAAATCTGAGACTTGATCCGAGACCCGTCAGCCAAAAATAATTCGAAACTCCGAGAGGCAAAACGAAGCCGAAAAAGAGACTTCGAGACCCATCAAAAACACTTCCGACATTTCGAGAACGGGCCAAAATTTTCCGAGGCCCACGTTACTCGAGGTACCACTCTATGCCCTTTGCTTTGGCTCTCGATCAGGGATATGCCAAAAGATTGTTTTAAAGATCCGACTCTACAGCTTTAACAAGGCCCGAGCCCAGACTCTGTATAGAAGAACAAAGAATTAACGGACATGTTCAACAAATTTACCTGTTACTGATCTATCTTCCAGTTTGTAGACAAAAATCCCACATTGTATCATAAGGTAAATGACTAAAATCCATACTGCCAGATTGGCAATCAGACGTCTTCTACTTCTCATTTTATCTTGTTAAATTTGTTGCTGCCCAGAACAAGTTAATCAAATATGGAGTCAAAATTAAATTCAAGGCTTCGCAAGATACTTTTAAATCATGGTTGATTTTCCTAGGTAACAACTAGAAAGATTGACAAGATATTCAGGGATGTTGGACCGCACGTCAGTGGCCGTCTCAGAGACTCTAGAACTATATTCAATTCAATTATTCACACTTTTATAAAAATATTTACATTATATATAGTAAGGTAGGAATACACTAATAAAGGAGAAGAAGAATGAAAAAAAGAAAATTAATGGCTTGAATAGAAGTGTACGGTGGTCAGAGGACATAATCAGTTCAAGTTTAATTAATAAGGGATAGAAAAACAAAAAAGGACAGTAAATGTTGTTTTTTGTTAATTTTCTAAGTCTGGAATTTTCAGGGGAAAAATACTTCTGACGGTACGGTATCAGTCGTCTCAGCATCATGTAAACTTGGCTTAGGTAGAGGCTTTAGTTTTCTTGAAGTTGATAGACATTTGATTGCAAGGAACCAAATATCCCACGTTCGATATTTTTTTTTGTGAAAGATTAAGAACCCCAGGTGCCCCAACCTTATTATCATAACCTGTGAGCCACAGTACACTTCTCTGCTAATTTGTCATCATGATCATTATCATCGCAGTCAGTCATTCGCTTCAACTAAGGCTGTTCTAGGGTTCAGTACAGTTTAATAATTCTTCTCCGGTTGAGATCGATGTCCCTCCATTTCATGATTCTCTTTCAGCAACGTCTTTGAACCTTAATCCATGCCTCCCTTGGTTATGCATTCCCAATTCCTAAACAGAGTTGACAGTATAACAGCTTCTTTGATAGTCTGTTATTATCCATCCTATGCGTGTGACCCAGCCATTCGACTTGTCGGAGATTATTCTCAATGAGAATATCAGCCATTGATGGTAGTCCTGCTCTGCAGCGAATTTCCACATTCGTCATCTTGTCCTTCCTGGATATGTTCATTCGCTGCGTTCATCATGACTCTTATATACCTCATCACATAAGCATGGAGGTTCTTTATTTGACTCTGATCTCACGCTGACTGCTCCACCTTGGTTTTCCTAGTAAATACGTTGTAGGACCGGCTCCCCCAATCTACTCTTTGATAAATACCTGGTAAAGTCACTTAGGCTATAAAGGGAGGGTCTCAGCTCCTCAGGGAATGTTCGTTTGAACGTTTTCAGGAATAAGAAAAAATCTTCAAATCTATTTAAAATACGCTATTACTTCTCTGATAACTTAAAAGACACAGGCATTTAAAAAAACCGCCTTTGTGGTCGTTTTTTTCTCCTCGCCGTGTCAATGTCCATTTCAAGTCAGACCGAAGAGATGGGAAAGTTGAATAAATATACGTGCAATTCACGCCCACTATACTGACGAAAGCCTCATCTCCAGCTCTAGCTAACACACAAGCTTGTACATGCAGAGAAATACTCGCCTGATCCGTACTGAACTGGAGATAGTCAGAGAGGATATTACATGCCCGCACGTGGATACGAATTTGATCTTCGAGTGTTCAAATCGATATCTCACTCCTTCGCGATATCGACATGAACACGAGAAGATTAAAATTCGTATCCACAAGCGGACATGTAATATTCTGTTTATTATTGGACATCGATGAAGTACCAGGAGAACGATTTCTTGGACTAATCGTTGAATGATCAATCTACATGTCATAAAACATAGATCTTACGCACAATTTTAATTTGGATTAGAGAAAATAAGTAGGGTTGATCTGTATTCTGAATGTTATAGCAATAAGACATACGAAATTTCATTTAAAAAGGCAACGTAATTGTCCTTTAAAACGTGTAAATAATTTATCGAAAAAAAACAGGCAAAGGATAAAACGCCTAGCTCATGTGCCGTGGATAAAATATGTGCAAAATTTTAAAAATATTAACGTGCACCAAAAAGTTCAAGATCTTGTCTTAGTTGCCGAGGTATGGTGTGTTAACTTTTTCTTTTTCTTTTTTTTTTGGCAATTTTCTCACTTTATTATGTGCTTGAATAAAAATGCACAATATTAAAAGACCTGAATTATTCAGAGTCACCTTCACATTCAGCATCACCAGTTTACTCTTGGCTTCCACTGTTGCCGTCACTTTCAATTATGTATCGCTTTTTTTCGCTTTCGGCCCCCGTTCTGGACTTGTGATTGCATTTTTAGTCGGTGCCAGATTGAAATTGAAAACACCTCCAGTGACATAATTTCCTTGAAATATTGTTTCGAGTGTGTTTTCAGCGGCTGAAGTCGATGAGTGTGCCTCAGTAAAATGACTTTGTACGACATTATGCTGTACTGCTGGCAGTACGGCATTCGTCGTTCAGACAAAATCTTCGAAATGTTCTCCATTTGTCTTTCTCCTAACGAGCTGTAATTATTAATTGATTGTAGATTTTTATGGCCAGTTATTTGAACGATCTGATTCGGTAGCACATCATTATCTTGTAGTTTTTGAAGTAGTGTGTTTTCCTTCCACTGTGATTTGTTTTCACAGAGATTCCCGCCGTTTCGGTCACTTCTTTCATTAAGCTGTTGAGCTTGTTAATGCCCATTGGCTGAGATTTAAACCATTTTGAGCCTTCTGACTTTAATTCGCCTTCAGTCTTGAAGTAATTTACTGCCAAGTAGAACGGTGAGTCTGGCTTCAACATGTTTTCTGGGCGCTTATCTTTGTAGGCTTTGTATAAAACCTGAAGGGGTTTCGTTCAGCTGACTCGGCGGTTTTGTTTTGATACATACGCGGCTTCACTTGACGTTATTTCCTCGGGTTTTTTTCCAGTTGTAGTCTTTGTTTGCCGTTCACCAGAGTATTCAAGGTATTGTTTTCCTTCCCTCTCTGATTTAAGAACGACGTCTGCCCATCGCAGTTCTCTCTGCTCTTTTCATCCACGTAAACGAAAATGTAGCGTGTTGTTCAACCAAACAGTGCTTACAAGAGCTTGTGGCGAACTCAATTCAAGCACCCTCTTGCTAAGAAAAAATATCGATCTGTTCGTCGCTTCAAGCTGTGGTTGCTTTGGGTTTATTACCCTTCCCTTGTCGCTTCAGTTCTTTCGGTTTTGCTTTAAGGGCGTCTGACGTGTCTTTTGAAAATCGTTGTCTTTGATAATAGATTTGCCTGCATAACAGCAGATAACAGGCACGACGTAGGTGGCACTCAACACTCGACAAAATTCCCCTATGCGAAGAAGGTTCGCGCTTTTCGTCTTTTTTTGTTCTTGCAGCGAATATGAATTTGCTTAGATAGTTGTTAAGGTCAACTGCTGTAATCTCTTCAATGCTTCTCCTCTCGCCGTGTTCTGTTAGAAACTGCTTGACAAAATTTATATCGTACAGTATCTTTCTCTTTGTGTTGGCAGTTTCCCCCGTTTCGGTCAAATTATCAACTTCGCTATCTGTCATCGGAACAAACCTTCCATCAATCCCCTCGTTTTGCACGTCGTCGAAAATATTGATGTCGAAACTTGGTAGTTGATTTGAAAATCCATCTTGTTTTTCAAGATGACTGATTTGTGAATGAAAAAGCCGTGAACGCTCGCGATGGTGTGATGGGGATTTCCAATTGGCTGAGACTGAAGTAGTCATGACAACCGTGATATCTTCACATGTGAAAGGTAAAAATTCTGTCTTCACTGGATACCAAATTTTCGTCACTGGAAGAATCCTGGTATTTCATTGGTGTCTATATAATAATAACAAACTGACAGTAACCCGGCAAAATTAGCAGGTGAATGAATTGCGAAATGGTAGTTCAGACTGTGAAAGGGGTAGTGCCAGTCACCAGATTTGGTGCTACAGTGGATGCTGTCGTAAGCGGACACCCTCAGGACGCCTAAAGTCAGTCCGTAACTGGAGCTGGCCGAGAGCTTGCTTGGGAGTTGAGAAAAACGGGGTTCTGTGAAGGCGGCCGTAAGCAGAGCTTGTCGTTTACGAGATTAACCGTCAGGAGAGCTTCCGCTGTACTCAGATGTCAAACTTAATGCTCTTCAGTTTATACATCAAAAGAAAAGTACAGGATCAAGGCTATGCTTTTGCACGTTGTCACGGTTGTTATTTTTCCTGTCTGGTACCAACAGACCTTTTTGGCTTGTATGTTTCGCTTTTTTCATTGAAGGCCACGTGACCTTACCCACGAGAATCGGTCCTTTCAAATGTTGTGCTATCCACGTGCATTATGCGTGCATAACCAGTTAAGACAAAAGGCAAATTCCCTTAAGAAAGTCACGTGGTCTGAATAAAATCTACAAGAGCGAAAAACAAAAAAAAAAAAAAAACCGTGAGAATACTGATACATAAACGACTTTTATCAGTTCATTTCCTAAAACAACATTTGAACTACTGGAATTTTTTTATTGTGTTTGAGCTTAAAAACAATAAAAAATTCCAGCAGGCAAATGCGACAGCTATACGCGTATGCTGAAAATGAATCCACCCTAAGTTACTATACTAGCAAGTAAGTAAAACCTCAAGACGGGTAATTACGAGTAATGGAATAAAACATTTTCTAAAAAGGTGATCCTTTGTCTATGTTACTAGGAACCAACATTAATACCCCTCATGAATTTGGGTTTGCTTACGCCTTCGGGTAGGAAATGTCTTTTTGCTCGAGGAGTATATTTTAAACATAAAGTACTTCAAGGCATGTTGATCCCTTAAAGATGTCCGGTTAATACTCTTTTGAATTTGCTATTATGTTTTCCATTTTTTTAACTAAAAATATTTATTTCTTTTTCAATTTAAAGTATATTTATTTCTAGGAATATTTTTCTATTAACGTAGTTGTTTAAGTATTTATATTATACTAGTGAATAATTTTTGTCCTTTGGTCCCTAGATTAAAAGTTATTTTTATGGAGTTAATTCAATAAAGACTAAATCTGGCGAAAGTGTATCGGCTGTTTCTGATCCTCGATTACCCCTCAAAATACATATAACTGATGAGTTATCGGTGATGTCGGTAATTAATCCCCGTGAGTTTAAAGCTTTTAATTTTGCGTTTAGGACACTGGAAAATTACAATTTAAAGATGGGGTCACATTGCTTATTTTCACCCTGCATGCACGTAGTTTTAAGAGATTTTTAGTTACGTGCAAAATATACGAAACTTACAACCGTCCAATTCTGATCAAAGGGAAAACACCATGAATCTTACTAAATCTGGAGCCCGTTTGTTTGTGTGTTCTATAATTTTTCGGGAAAAAAAAATGTAAGAAAAATAGACAGTTTTAACACGATCACATACTCCTCTGTGACTACAAATGCTCCTCTGCGGCTCGAGCGCTGTGGTGCAGCTGGGCATGCTACAGCTTATATAGAATGGAGTGCTATATAAGGGCCGCCTTATCATGTGGTCAACACTTCACGTTGTCTTTTTGTTTGTTTGTTTGTTTATTTATTTTTTTTGTTTATCAGTCCAGAGCATTTCCACTCTTAGAAATACGCGAAACAATAGCGTGACGTCACAGTATCGCGGATTAAAAATATTTTCGAGTGGATCGGTCGAAACGGCGTGGAAATAAATCTGTTGTCGACAGGACGAATAGAAGATACCGGAGATCGGCCCGCTCTATTGCACTATTGCTATTCAGTCTATGCAAACAGATATTAGAGACACGTCTCTCTTTTCGTGCAAACGTTTTATTCCAGCGAGTAATGAAAGGTTGATAACTTCTGTTCAGTTATGTTATATATTTTTTCGTCGCGTATGCTCGACTACTCTTGACGCTTGACTATCACACAATAAATTTCATGAAGCAATCATCGCGTGATGTGCACCGTAATTGGGTAATTGCTTGTTTTGGTTCGCATGTCAACCTTTATTTATTTAGTTTAATTAACGAGGACATGTGGACTGTTCGAACCGTGCAGCGATCTTATGATGGGCTTTTCAGAACTGAAGCTGAGGGTTAATTTTCCTACCCAGATTTCTTACCGAATTTTTCCCCTACCGTTTCCTTACAGGTCTCCGTTCCTTTGAATACAGTTGAACCTCTCCACAACGGTCACTATGGGAACAGAAAAAAGTCAGGCCGTTGAAAAGAGGTGGCCGTTGTAGAGGGGCTTAAACAAGAGTCAATGCATGGCTTGTCCGCCAAATAGTGGCCTTTGTGGAGAAATGGCCCGGGTTAGAAGAAGTTGGACTGTATTTTGTAACTGAATGGATGATCGAGAATTTACTGATTTAAGTATAAATGCCTTCTTCTAATTCCTAATTGAAAAACCTGGAGACATATATGCTGCAGTTAATTTTTGGTTTTCATTTGTTTTGGGTTAGTAATGTATGCTAATTAATTTGAATCAAAGGAAAAATATTAACTAAAATAGAAAACAAAAAAACTACAACATATATGAATGAGTCCGCAAAACTCTCCTCCAGTGTAGTTCTAGCCCTCCTCAAGTCAATTGCAATTTTTGCAAAACGCTACTTGTTCATCTTGGTAATCCCGGCATGGACATAACCGCATGCGTTCTGGATCTTTGGATACACAGCTAAATAAAAGTGACATTGCTTGTAATGTGCAAGCTTTATCCGCTGGAGCGTGTGAAGGAGCATGAAGTCTGTTCTCCTTCGTCTGTTTATCACAGGTTATTCCAAACCTAAGCAAGACAAACTATATGTCAAATACAGTCAAATCTGTTAATACGGACGCCGAGTGGGGCATAGAAGCGCCCGTATTAACAGGGTGTCCGTATTAAGTGAGTTGAATTTAGAGAAAAAGTAAGGACTTTCTTTCCCCACGGACAAAGCAAACGTTCCGTAATAATGGGGGGTCCGTAAACCGGGTTTGCCTCATACCTCGATTCTTTGGTATCGTCACAAGAGTGACATGTTAACGAGGTGAATCGGGCCAAGTCAGGCTGCCGCAGGTGCAGTTGAACTTGTTCATAGACAGACAAGAGGCATTTTTACTTGACGATGTCGACTGTTCACTGACCATAAGATTTTCCGAGATGGACCACATCTCTATCCACCTTAGGCACTCAGACATAAAGAAAAGATCGCAATTGTCAAACAGCAACAACGCTCCAAACCCCAAAGGTCAGATTTATACGCTATTTGTTGGTGAATTTTATGCCTGATGAATACGCGAGAAAAGTGTATTTTTCAGTGAGTCACAAGCGGCTCGGTATGCAAAACGTACAGTGTGTCCCAAAAGTTCGTTCCTCTTCTCTATCTTTGTCTGTATTTCATTACGATTGAACTTGGTAAGCAAATCATTCTGTCAAAAGTTGTGTCTTTCAATCTAATTCACTATTTTCACACTTGTTGTGCCATCTTTTGACTTGAATATTCGATATGTATACTTCCGCGCCAAAGGTGCGCTTGCGCGAGCATATTTTCAATCCACATATTTTTTGTATTTTATAGCCCGAATTGCTCGAACTACTTCCTTGTTTTCTTGCGAATATCATGAAAGATAAACCCCCATAACGCAAACACGTTCAGCTACGTGAGAGCATAAGCATGTATACTTCGATTTACTGGCTTATCTGTTGTAGACACTGCGCTAAAAAACTGGCAAAGTCCGAATGTTGGCTGGTAAAATGATCATAGAGAAATGAGGTTTTGAAGGCAAGAAACGAAGAGGAAGACCAGGAGTCTTAAATAAAGCAGCTAAAATAGTTTTAAAAAAGGCTAGATACCAAATAGGAGACTCGACGAGGAAACTCTCACAAAGTTGGCAAGCCAAGTCGAGAAAGGGTCATGAAAAGCGAATGTTTAAAGTTAGAGGTCCCTGGGATGACAAAGAAAAACCTCTGTTTAGTCTACCAAGTAACGCCCAGCTCGTCTCAAATTTGTAAAGAAGTACAAAATCCTTGCTGAGGAAGGGGCCCGGGTTGATTATACTTTTTTCGATAAATGACCGAAATATGTTTTTTTTTCAGCTGCCTAAACTAAACAAATATTGTTTGGGGGTTGAACTGGCTCCTGCGCACCAGGTGATAAAAAAGCTCAAGATGGATCATCTGTGGGTCTACACGCTGTATCCCACTGGATGCCGCAACGGCTATAGAAAGTGATAAAAAAACAAAAAAGGGGCATGCCAATAACTGAAATTCTGAATACATGTATTCGATAGGGAAATAAACATCTTCTAGAAATTTCATGTAAAAATAAAGTTTTGATCAAAAGTTATAGTGCATGAAATTAGAGGAACGATCTTTTCGGACACCGTGTAAGTACTCCTAACGTACAGGAGTCGAACTCTTAACCTTCTGGTTACTAGCTCAGATGCTACACCAATGAGCTACAGGAAAATCGTGGAGGGCTAAGGACAGGTAAGTAAGGCCAATCCCTCATTCTAGGTATGGAAAAAAGGCTGACAGCCACTCACTTTTCAAACTTTTCCACTGAGTTAATGTAATTGAAGAAGGATGGCTCACATAGAAATCCTGAAAAAATCACACAACGAATATCAATGGTTTGTCATATCCTGTGCATGTTGAAAAGTTAGTTGTTTACCATTTACAAAAAGGTTGAGGAAAACCGATTGAAAACTAAATAAAAAATGGTTTTCTGTGCCGGTCCAGCGAGCGGAATTAATTTGACCGTCTGGAGTTTTTCTCAGTTTTCCTCGCTATTTTGCCCAAACTGTCCATCGACCTGTTTGCCAATGTAAACGGTCAACGACCATAATGTCATACCATTCTTCGCACATGTATCTTTACAGGAGTCGCCTTTGGAGCCTAACAGCAGATGCATTTCTTCCGTTGGTGGCCATTGTTCCCCATGCTCACAAAAGTCCTGGAAAAAATGACATATCGTTCAGTAATGAAAAGCCTATAGTCACCTTATTCCGAAATGCTCGCTCCTTGAATCTTATCGCTTTAATTTGTGTTGACTAGCCCCGTGATTTGACTCGATTGCTTCTAAAGGATTTAAAAGATGAATTAACTTATACCTTGAAAAGAGACATTGAGGACCAATTACAATGAAGATGACTAAATTTGCCACTATGCTGGAATAAGTTGTACAGTAAATGTGACATTACTCTTCCCTTATAGTTACAGTGGTGTGTTCCGCGTTGTTGGTGGCCGTGCTGTGAACCCCTCAAACTTCGGATCGGTAGCATCGACATGGCACCTTTTCTTCGCATTGTTTCCTATCAGGGGAAACTTTGCTACACTCTCTCTTTACCCAGGTATATTTAACAATTATTCCTCGAGCCCGAATGGGCTCTGAGTCAATAGCCCATGAGGCCTGGGCTATTGACTCAGAGGCCATGAGGGCGAGAGGAATAATTATTTCAGTCAGGAGCCTATAAGTAAAATCGAGAGAAAACAATTTTAGCTACATAGCAAAACGCAATTCAGCCGCTATTGTTTTGGTTTTCAAAGGCGGCGCTTTTCGCTACTAGTGGGTTATAACATATAGCCTAGTAGTAGCTCAACCAATCAGAACGCAGCATTGATAATAGACCAATAGTTGGATTATGCAAAAAGTGAGTATCGGCGACAAACTACTACTGGCTGGTACATGTGATTGGTGAGTTTCCCATCCAGCGGGTAGTTGGGAATCCTAGTCGATGCTTCATGCTGAAGAAACTGGGTTAAGCTTCCGTGTGGGCTTCCTAGCTTGCGGATTTAATAGTGAAGATAATATTAATAATAATAATAATAATAATATACATTTACACAGCGCCTTTCTCTTAGTGATCCAAAGCGCTTTACAATCAGTACTAATAGTAATAAACCTAATGAAATATTACAATGACATATTTGTTAAAAACAAATCATAAATCATAAATAAATAAAATAAAATTACAGCTGAAAAGCACGCTTAAAAAGAAATGTTTTGATTTTTGATTTGAACGAGCCCAGCTCACAACATGTGCGTATACTGACTAGCATGGAATTCCATATCTTATGAGCTGCGGGTGAAAGAGCTCTATAACCACAGGTTTTAAGGTTGTATTTAGTTTGCACTAGGAGTCCTTGATCTGCAGAACGCAGAGTTCTTATTGGTCTTTAACGAACTAACAGTTCTTCCATACAAGGCGGTACTACATCATTAGGTGACTTAAATGTAAGAAGTAAAAGTTTAAAATCAATTCTTTCCGGAATAGGCAACTAATTATAATGAAGAGACCTAAGAAGTTCATGTTTCCTAATACCAGTCAAAAGACGTGCGGCAGAATTTTGCACAAGCTGAAGTTTGTTAATATGATGGTCCTGTCGAAGCCCAGATCAGAGAGAGTTATAGTAGTCCAGTTTTGACGTAATAAATGCAAGTATTAAAATCTTGCAGTGAGTAAACGATATATATTTCCTAATTTTAGCGATATCGCACAGTTAAGCAGGCCGGTTGCAGACTGCTTTCACTTGTTTGTCCATTGATAGAAATTCATCGAACCAGATCCCTATATATGTTCTTTGCGGCATGTGAAACATGTATCACGTCACGGCCAACTGTAACAGACTCCAGTGGAGGACGAGGATGATGGCAAGCGTTGAGCACAAGGAGTTCAGTCTTGTTATTGTTCAGCATTAACTTGTCTGATGTCATCCAGTTGGTCATATCGCAGATGCATGACTGAACACGAGACAGACCTTACTTACTTACTTACACACCTGCGTTGCCATAGTTACATTGGTATCGTATTGCCACCCAAGCTACTAACCATCTTTTCAACAAAGGCGTTTAAACGTTCCAGCATGCCTCCTGGAGTCCATTCGTAAGGAAGAAATGGTTTTACCTTGAAAAAATAAACAAACAAACAAAAAGCATCAAGGGAAGAGCATACAAAGATAGCCAGCAACAAGTTTTGGTTCTGCTAGATAATAAAGGTTTTGTGTCTGTAAAGGAGTGAAGTTCAAAGGTTTGCTCTACCTAGAACTGCCTTACCTTTAAAGATATAATTTCTTTTATAGTAGCTTCCACTAGATCAAGATTATTTACATCAATAGTGTAAACATGAGGCTTCCCAATGAATGTTTCCATATATGGGTGCTGTGACGTCAACTGAATAGATGAATGAATCAATGACACTTTTAATAGGATGCATAATTGCAGTCAAAGACTTTAGTCTCCCTCACGGCCCTATAATCGAAACTAAATTAAAGCGGAATACTAAAGTCCTTCAATATCAAATACTAGAATACTAAGATAATAAATTATTAAAAAAAGAAGTTATTTACTTAACACTCAGTTAATTCTAAAACTGTTAGGCGTGAATTTACACATAATTAATAAAACAAGTATATTTTATTACAATTTCTTTGCAACAAGGTTGCAAGAAAATTGTCTCCGTTTTTCTGGCCTTAATCCTCCGCGTAAAAAAGGGAGTGTTACAGCGCCCAAATGTTTTCCCCCATTTTTAAAATGATTAAGTCAGGACTTCTTTAAAGTGGTTGTTTATTCATTCCAAAGAAATTGGAGACAGTTAGTTGCCATTTTACGAGATATGGGGCCTCATCAGCCTAGTCCCCAGGCGTTTTCGGCTTAGTCATTCCTGGACTATTCCATGAACTGTGACGTCACCGAGAGATACTCGCCCGCTCTCTCCCACACTTCGACAACGGATCAAGAGAGAATGCCTAGGGACTAGGCTGTGACGTCATTACTGAGTTTATGACGTCAAGAACTATTTTGAAGGTAAACTTCTTACTGGGAATATTGTCAAATCATCGTTATTTTGCTATATGGTGAACACCAGCCAATAACTGTACCAACCTCCCTAAATGTTGGTTTTGACTTGAAAAAGTCCGTGTTCGAGCGGCTGTGAGGAGGATCGAACTACAAAAAGGATAGATATATACATGTATAATATTGAACAATTATTCCACGAGTGCCCGTTGGATATGATAATCTCATATCTTCTGCGGGATCGGAAGATTATAATTATCCCAATCGTGTCACTCGTTCCACTTTGTATAATTGATTAAAATATCTTAAAATTCAGCCCTCTTGGCTTAAACAACGTTGTAAAGCGTTTTAGGAGGGCTTAAAAGTGATTGGGGGGAGGTGGGGGAGGTGGCTTATAACCGTTTCAAATTAAACCAAGCGTCATAGTCTATTATCTATAGCAATGCTGATTAAAATACTTTTTTAAATTGACTCACTTTTTTAAGCTTGAAAACGTTGTAGAAATCGAATTCAGTTAAGTACATGCAAGAAGGTTGCTTATATCGGGGGGGGGGTTGGGGCCTTATAAAGTTTAATGTAATGCACACTGGTAATAAGCTAAAGCAAATCATACTCCTGGATTGATGAAAACGCATCCTTGTGAGATGGCTTCGAGGGGCGCGGGTCCTTCATACGGAAAGCCCAGGCCAATGAATACCTGTCAAAAATATAATAATTTGACCAAAAGAAATCAGCTACAATCCTTTGTTCACCCCCGTCGGAACTCAAGTTAACTCAAGGGCTAGTTAGAAAATATCTAAAAGGTGTGTAATTAATTAAATGTGAAACATTCCCCAAAAAAGGACGTGATGCTTCTCATGACGTAGGAAACATTTACGATTTAGTTTGCACTGAGGTAATTGGACAATCATTGTGTTCCCATTTCATTTCATTAGTTGACATTCAAGTGTCACACCCTTTTTTAGCGCCATCACACATACTTTGGCTGTTCTCAAAAGCTTTTGAAGATCTCCTCCTTTCATAATTCCGTGATTGATAACGTAGTCTGGTACAAGTGCTTTATAGTTCTGACAAAAGAAAGGAAATTATAGTTAAGCATAAGATGGTATGGAGAAGAGAAGGGTGACGTCACAGCAAGTCAGATATGTGATATTTTAAGATTGGTTGGCAAGTTCAGAAAGAAGATAAGAAGATGAAAAAAGCCCCCTTGCCAAAAATCAGCCTGTTATATATATTAGTGAAAATTGGTGGGGAGATATAAGCACCTTTATTCTCTAATAACTCCGTGCAAATCCTTCTAAAATGGGCTTGGATCGTAACGCTTATGATCCAGGCCTATTTTGGAAGGATTTTTATGCAATTTATATGGACTCATCGGGGCATAACGGTGATTATCTCCCAACCAATTTGCACCCACAGGCTCATTTGTAGCAAGTGGACATTTCTCATCTTGTTCTAAATGGATATGTGAACGCATACGAAAATTCCAAAAAGTTAGTTATTGTGACGTCTCCACTTCTCTTCACTGTAATAAACCACTTATTAACCGAGGGTAAAACCTCAGACCGAGACCCTTGATGTATTGACCGAGCGATAACGAGGTCAATACATCAAGGCCGAGGACTGAGCTTTCCCCGTAATGACCGATCGGACGAGATTATTAAGTTATTTATTATATGTCCTTTTCATTATGGACTTGATCCTGCGATCGATTAAAACCAATAACTGGTCAGAGGATAACTTTAAAAAACACGTCGCCTCAATGAGTTGTACACTTGAGCCCGCGATACAGTCATGTGAAACTGGTCAGTGGATATCCTTTTTGACAGCTGTCAATTGACAATAACATGAATGTCCCATAAGAATGTCCACTATCAAGTTAAATGAAGATTGTATACGCCTTAGACCAGTCCGGAATATCCCTAAATTTAAGGACAGGGCCAGCTGGTCACGCGACACTTTTCAACCAATGAGAAGGCGCGCTTGTGTTTATCAACAAACAAATCAAAACATCGCCCCAGTGCTCAAAAATTATCAAAACAACGGACGGAGTCGACGGACAGAATTAAAGATGAGCTTACAGTACTCGTCTAGGTTTCACATTTAATATTTCAAAGAAAACATTTCATGTAAGAGAATAAGAGCATTATTCATTGCAAGGAATCATTGGGGTGTTCGAACTGATTCCGGACCGATCGCAGTGGTCGTGGCTTCACTGGCATGGCTTGCAAGATTTTTGATAGAAACAAACTGGTCCCGTGTAAAAATAGCCTTACAGAGAGTGTGAAAATTTGTTGAGATCATACAAAACAGGATTGGTACTACCTATTAGCTTCTACAGGACAAGAATCAAAGAACCAGTCATCATAACAACAATAAAATAAAAAGTAGTTCAAATTTATTAATTTTTCTTGTTTGTTTTTTGGTGTTGTTTCGTGTTGACTTCACGCATCTGGTGCTTTCCTTGCTTGCTGTAGTACCTGCAATGTTTTAATTTGATCCCAGATTCAGTGCATGTTCAATGAGTAGCGAAATACATCATTTACACTTGAAATTTGCCTTCCTTCTTTGATTATTTTTTAACAGTGGATGAACATTTGGAGAATCCAGCAACATTAAATCTTTCCAGATTTGGTGAATTTCAGAAACAAAGCGGTTAGTATCTTCCTTGCGCTTATGATCTTCAATTTCATCCCCAAAAATTCGGCAAAGTGAGGCGAGATGTTGGACGTGAATATCCATAAGACTAATAAAGTTGTTTTGGCCTTGAAAAGAAAAAAGGCACAGGCTCGTACTAATCCGAAAAAAAGTAATAACACGGCTCTGTGAGAAACCCGGGAATGGAAAACGTACGTGTTTTCATGGACCTCGGAATTCAAAATTGGTCTACCAAAATTCTAGGTTGTCTACCATCCCCACATTCAACATGATAAAAGTTAATCGATATGACAATCAAGGAAAAATATCTAGAACTTCGTAAAAAAAATCTGTGAATCGAAAAAATAATAGATACTTGTTCACCTACCTTGAAAACCGACCAAAATCTCGCACATACATCGCGTTGTTTAAAAGAAGAAATAAGCCACAAAATGTGCTGAATATTTCACGAGACACTTCCAATATGGCTTCCGATACGCTGTCCTCTAAAAAAAATTGTGTATGCCTCATGAAAAGTCTTAAAAATATGCCTGAGAGCCTCGAAACGATGACTGATTCTGTCCGACTCCGTCCGCTGTTTTGAAAATATTTTATCACAGCGGCGATGTTTTGATTTGTTTGTTGATAAACACAAGCGCGCCTTCTCATTGGTTGAAAAGTGTCGCATGACCAGTCGGCCCTGTCCTTAAATTTAGGGATATTCCGGACTGTAGACAACTAGCTAGTAATGCCCGGTCATTACAAGAAACTAATGCTCGCTTAACAGCCAATCAGAGGGCGCGTACTATTGTAGCCATATGATAAAAGTAATTATGGCTCTTGGTAGTAATTAGTATTGCCACGATACCCTAATTCAAAGTTCTAATAAAAAAAAAAATCCTGGCTGAGACATATAATAAAGTCTCTCATTTTTTTATGTCTCATTATCATTGCTTTAAGGTGGCCCGAACTTATTTATGTGGGTGTGCTGGTTAGGTTTTTGAATCGCGTTTTTCAGTGGCAACCATCAAAACGAGTTCTATGATTTTTGGCATCCTTAATGAAAAATGGTGGTGCCTTTTTTTAGCTTTATTTTCATCGTAGGTATAAAACCTGTGAGATATTGGCATTGATTTAAAACTGCATTTTGCCAAAAATTTAAATTACTTCGAAATCCCAGCTCTCAGAATGTTGCGCTAACCTACTTGTGAAGGTTAACGCACAAATAGCAATAGAATGATTTTGCTTAACCCGTGAAATTGGTAGTAGAATACGCACTATTATGCACTTATTCCGTTGTCTTCTTGCATTTAGTACATACACACTCAGTGATCTTGGTGATTTAAGCAATCTGATTGGTTCGCTATCTCGGACTATTCAACAATATTCACCTCCTAGCGAGTGGATAATGTGTGAGGTCGGTGTTTTTCCCATTTTTTTAAAGAACGATCTTTTAAAAGTCGACAAAATCCTAGGGATGACTTTTTTTAAGGCGAGAAAAGACTTGGAAGGATTCAATACGGCGTTTTTCAATCAATTTACTGTAGCTGAGTTTTGTGCTCGATGGATTGTTTACAACTCCCGTGTATTCGCGTAGAAGAAGCCGTTTCGTGAACTCAGCGTTTTATAACAAGAAAATTTTGGCTCAAAAATCGAAGTTTATTTGTGACAAACAAATTGAAAAGGATATGTTTGCAGAAATTCTGCATTTCAAGTAAACAGGAAAAAGAATGATACAGGAAGACGAAGTCTTACCTCGAGCAACCGAACCTCCATTTTTGCCAGCACTTCATGCGAAAAACGACACAACAAACACCTTTGGCTATAAACTTGGCGAGTCAACAGAAAACAACAACGCTCTACTTTTCTTCTCAGGTAAGGAAACAGTTCAAACTTTTAGCGGTTCCATTTAAGCCATTACGCTGTTGTTTGCGAAATGATAAACTTGTGAATTGTCATGTTTGAAAATTCTGCAACGATCTATTTTTAAACTTACGCGTGATTTGATCTGTCAATCAAATCATACTTTTTGATGGTTTCCTCTCTGACTTTGTTGAGATCACTTCGTGTGTATATACTAAAACAATTATTCTTTTTGATCTCGGAGAACAGTGGCTTTGGGAATATTTATGTCTCCGCTTTCGCGGGTCGGTAAATATTTAGCCACTATTCACCTCGATTTCAAAGAATAATTGTTAATTACCTCTGGCTATTTTGCGGTATTTGTTAGTATTTGTTTCACAGTTCAAGGAAAATCACTCTAAAGCTTTGGGTAAGAATAACGTTTCAGATAGGAGATTGTCTTTTGGCACTCTTAAACAATTTGGCGGCGTTAACCTTTACAAATGTGTTAGCGTAGCATTATGGTTAAATTTGACTAGTGCTCTGTGCAGCGAGTTGTATAGTCACTATTGACTTCAAACTTGCAGATCGATAAAAAACTAAAGAGCTCTGAGGCTATTTCCTGAAGTTAGGGAAGAATCTGTCTTGGGATTTTAAAGTTATTTAAATTGTTTGGTAAAAATGCGGTTCTAAATCAATGCGGATATCTCTCACGTTTTTATATTTACAAGAAAATAAATATCATTTTCTTCAAATTCCACCATTCTTTATTAAGGATTCCAAAAATCATAGAAATCGTTTAGATCGTTGCTGTTAAAAAACGCGATAAAAAAACACACACACACAATCACCGCGCACATACGGCGTAGGAGAATCCCCCTAATCACTGGATGAAAGACACCCCAAGCCCCATAACACCGTACCGTACCGTCTTTAATAAACCTACCTCACTTCCTTTCCCTGCGATTGTACCATGTATCTCTAGATACTTGCTGAGAACATCAATGTACTTTCTCCTCCCCTGGCGTAGATTAAGCAAAAACCAAAAAAGTTCCAGTAAGTTTGTTATCGAAAGGACCAAAAAAGTTAACTGTAAATTAGCTTCAGTTAAGAGAACAATATTTTCTTCCGAAAATAATATATTAATATTATCGTCTCCCCCTTTTCAATTAATAATAGAGCTTTGTACTAGTGAAATACCTTGGAGTGTTACCAAAAGGAAGTTAGCAAACTTTCGCTTATGAATTGCAAACTTACGTTTAGGTATGAAGCTTTTTTGGCATAAAGAAGCCCAATCGGCTTGGCAGTGCTCGAATTAGTTGTATGATTAAACGACTTTATTCTGTTTTCTTCTATTGCCAAAGCTTTGTCCACAACAAATCCAAGAAACAGATTGTCAGGGCTATGCGCTGGTAAGAGAAAATTTGTCCAGCGTTAGTTATAATTTCACGTGTTCCAAGATAGTGTCGGATTTTTAAAATGTAATGACTAAAGATGGAAGGGGAAAAAGACGCTTAAGAAAACCTAAACAATTGCGAATGAAGGAGAAAATCAAGAGGGACTTTTAAAAGTATTTTGTTAGAAAAAAATCAGAAAATTGAGAACTCAAGCCAAAACCAAAAGTGCGGTTCATTGCGTGGAGTTCTCGATACGATAAAGGAGACACATGCCGTTAACAAATTAAAGGGACTTATCAAATAAGCAACTTAACGTTACTTTGACGAAACGCTGAACCCCGATTAAAAATCTTGTTTCTTTTGCTTACGAAACATAGTCATTATCTGTCGAAGATGTACATCCCGTCCTCCCCAAGCACTTCTGAGCGATTTATCAAGACCTTCATACTCGGCGTAGTTGAATTCTGCGTCTGTACCAAATGAGTCCAAAATCCTTAAATTACACCTCACGGATAAAAAAAAACAAGGATCAGTTAATTTATTGATAAATCAATAAATCAATTGCATGCTTGTAACCTCTAATACAGTCAAAGTACACATAGAAGAAAGGACACAAGCTGACATTCTATAATGCATTGGTAATTACAGTTTAATTCATTTTAAGATGAACTTTTTTTAAAGCGCTTGTACTTTTTAAGATTTTGCTGTCTGAATTATCAATAAACGAGCAGTCAGCAAGACCTTTTTAGTTTGTATGTTTTGTTTTCCCATTTCAGAACATGCGATGTTACCTCCGAGAACTGTTCCTCTTACTCCCTATAAACGGGTTCGATTCCTCTGGAAATACCCATAAGGCATAGCGAGTCTGATGTATGCTTAGTCTATGAAAAGACAAAAGGCGGGGGGTGGGGGGGAAGCTACTTCCCATACATTCTCTTAAATGAAATCCAAACGATGTTCTCACAACTTGCAAAGCGATCAGCAAAGGTCTTGCCAGCGGATTTGTGTACTGATCATGCGCATTACATCAAAATCCATAGATCAACGGTCTTGAGAAGAAACGAAAACATGGCGGTCGAAGGCGGGACTGTTTCTCACTATTATATTTTGGTAATTCGCAAATGTTTTGATTTTATGTCGCTTTTCAGACATAGTGCGTGGTTTCCTTTTTCTATTAAACAATTTCCCTCTGCCGGGTTTGGAATATGCAACATATAGCTCCGTACAGCTGATAAGAACCGCCAAAGAGCTAGAGTTGAGCTATCAAGCAGTGTTTTGCTGCAAACCTTAGGAAAGTTAAAGTCGCTTCAAGGTACAGAGCTTTCAGTAGTAGTTGTGATTTGTTTATTAGGATCGTTTTGAATTTTAACTTTGGATTCAAGGTGTTGACTGATCGTAATAAACAAAGTGAAATGTTATGAAGTGTGAATGTTTATTCAGTTATGATTGTAGAGCTGTAAGCTCATATTTATAAAGCTCTCTGAATATACTTGGTTCCGATAAATTTGACAATTTCTCCAGTAATTTTTATCATCATCAAGTTATCAATCCTTACCCGGCAAAAGCGATGTAACCTATAAGTCGATCGAGCGCATTGTTGTTGGTTAAGATCTAACACGGTTTCCCCCGCAATTTCAGTACCGAAAGACAAATACTGTACGATAAGCAAGAAAAACAAAGATGCATGATATTATTTTTTCCAATTTTTATTTTTTTAGTAAGCATTTCTGATTTCCTCTGCGGGTTCGCTTCTTGCTTAAAAAAAAGTCTAAAAATATCTACTGTGGGAAAAGTACTGCAATTTTCTGCTGACCACCACGTGGAGTGACCGCTTTTCAAGTTGTGAGAACATCGTTTCTCGGTCCCAGACCTCGTCTCTCCCCCTGACAAAAGGCAAATTTCCTTGCGAACTTCCCGTGTTCTTAATTGGGAAAACAAAACTTAAGCTGAAAAGTTCTATTGATCAGGCTAACTAGGCGTAACATAGGTGACATAACCTACTAGTTGTGGTAAAGAGTATCGGTTTTATTTTTAAAAAAATACTAGATTCATTGATAGAATCTATTTCAATCTATGGGGGTAAGTTCGACCTAGCGATCTTGTATCAGTTATAATAAATTTGATAAAGTAATGCTAAACTAAGCGTCATATAATTATTTAATAAGGAATATAGAACTAAAACCTTTTTTTATATATAGAAACTGCATTTTTTTAAAAAAAATAAGGCTGTCATTACTCAGGTGCCATGGTAAGATCAATATTGACGCACACGCCGGAATGTTCTCAAGAAAAGTCGGTCATAACTTGAATAGTTTTGAAGTTATTCAACTTAGTGAAGACGAAGGGAGGGGGCTGTAAAACCCTCCCCTGGGTCTGAATAGGGTTAATCAAACAAAACTGTGATTGCTGTTTCATTGTAACAAGAGAGAATCTCCTAATTATACCTAAAGTGCGTCCTTGATGCTCCAAGGTCCTCATTAAGATAAAATGTACCAACGTAATCAGTATAAATCAAATCGAAAGGCTTATGTACAAGCCGACTTGCGCAAAACCTTTTTTTGGAATTTGCATCAAGCAATCTGAAAGAAAAATAATAATAATGATATAGAATGCTAGGCGGACAGCCATTTACCGAGTTCAATAACAATAACTCGCAGAGTTTGGGTGAATGCAATCATTCAGCATTATTTGTATTCCCCATTCACAGTTAAGTTCGGGCGTATTTCTGTGAATGACAGTTTAACATATTGAGGGTCCCCGGATGTTAATAGAGTTTTGTGGGGTTGTTGGAAAAAATAAAGTTATGGTGACTTCACTTTACATTCGTTGAATGGATTCTTTACAGACATCACCTGGCAAAGAAAAACATTGTCTTGATCCTTCGATCCGGATTTTGAAGCAGAAAGTGGAATAGAAGCTGCAATTTTGGAGGAAAAACTATTTTCAAGTCATCTTTGGATGAGGTTTGTGGTGTGTTGGGCAGCGTTAGTTGTCGTTGCGCTTTTTGGGCAAGTTGACAAGAATTGGGAAATTTCGTGGATTTTGAGTAGAAAATCAGTGTAAACATTTCAGATAAAGAAAAAGGTTCGGCTGGGGATACTTCAATGAAAGTGGAAAATTTGAAAGCTGGAAAACGTAAGTTGAAAGCGTCGATGACAAGACAGCTGAATACATAGGCCATTTCCGATCGAGTTCCAAAAAGTCTCACTTTCAAAGCGAGACTAAGTGTGAAGCCATTGATATGAAAATGATTTTTAATTATCATGCAAATAAAACTCATTTTCACAACAAAGGTTTCGCACTTAGCCTCGTTTTGAAAGTGTGATTTTTTGGAACTCGGAAATGGCCTATTAGCCGGTCGCATTGCTGGCGGTGAAATAAAAAGCCGAGAGGAAATGGAATAAATTAAAGCTATTTAGGAGCGTTTGGAAGGACTTAGGGAAAAACCATGGAAATCTTGGAAGAGTTACGGGCGTTGTATCAGCAAGAGAAAAACGTTGAAATGCAAGTGAAAGTCGGGGATGAAGCGGACAATTTAAACAAAAGAATTGAAAGTGAAGATAACGCCACTCGTCATGTGTTGAAGTCAGTTTATTTTTCATGCAACACCTCGCCTGTGAGGACACAAGTTTATTCAATTAATTCTAACACCAGCTTGACAAAAAATTGTCGACAGACTGGTTTAGTACCCCGAGAGGGGTGGGGGGGGACTCCGCATATGAAAAGGGTGAGGATGCTCGTCGTCTCGCTTAGTGGTGTAAATTTCGGATTTTGGTCTCACTTAGAGTGTTCTGGGAAAAAAGGCCATCATATTTAGCCGTGAAGGTCTCGTTTAGGGTTGCAGGCGAAAAAATATAAATATATATATATTGTCTGTGTTTTAACATGGTCTCTTTTAGGGGTCAAAAAAGCTTGGGCTACGCCCAGATCGGTCTCCTTTAGGGGTTTAATTCAAAATTTCCGACGAGCATCTCCACCCCTTTCATATGCGGAGTCCCCCCCGGGGGGGGGGGGTTTAGTATCATCGTCAGATTTCGAAAGGAACTGGTTGCCCTTTTAGACGACTTAAGTCAAATGTACCATCAGTTTGCTTTAACCCTGGACGACAGACCACCACAGTATTCTGTGGAGGGATTTAGATCAGAGCCAGAAGTTTACGAATTCATGAGACATGTGTTTGAGGACTGTTAATGTTCCTTCTGTGGCCAGTATGTATGCCAGAAGCGTGCAGATAGCCACAAAGCAGATTACCCTCTCGCAGCGGAGGTTATTAAAGAAGAGTTGTTATATGGACGACTTCGTGGCTTCAGTGGAATCGGTTGGAATGGCAAAGGAGGTGCAAAAGCAATTAACCGAAATTGGAAATAAAGCAGGTTTTCACATGCTCAAATTGATATCTCAGAAACCTGAAGTGATCGAGGACATACCAGTGACCGATTGCGCAGCAGAAGTTGATCTGGAGAAGAAAGAGTTTCCAATCACAAAGGCTTTGGGGGTAGTGCAGATTGTTCAGGTAGACAAGTTTTCGTTTTGTCTTCAGCCTACCACTTGAGGAACTCCCATTACAAAAACGGAACGAGCTGAAGAAAAGTGCAAAAATTTAATATGATCCATTTGGATTCCTGACCCGTTGTACTAGCAAAAATGTTGATGCAAAAGGGTGATGGAAGCTCTAGGATGGGATGAAGAGTTGCTGAACCATCTCAAAGCAGACTGGAAGGAATGGTTTGACAACTTGATGCTATTCGTGTCCCACGGTGTCTGAAGGAAGACAGAAGATTTGCAATGTTACCATACACACCTTTAGTGACGATTCTGAGAAAGCCTACGCTGCTGTAACGTATGCACGACAGGAGTATGAAGATGGAACTGAACGAATAAAGTTGGTTGCAGCAAATTCAAGGTAGGCACCACTAAAGACCATGAGTATTCCACGGTTAGAATTAATGACAGCATTGATTGGTATCAGATTAACATTGCAGATAAGCAGAGCACTCGAGAATCCCATGAATAAAGCCACGTTTTAGGTGGACAGCGCAAATGTCAGCTTTTGGGTTCAAGGACATAGCCGAAACAACGAGCAGTTTGTATCCCATCGGATGAGAGAAATTCACGACGATTCAAGTCCAGATCAGTGGAGGTACATTCCAACTAAACTAAACCCTTCTGATAAAGGAACCAGGGGTGGCATGGACCCTCGTTTCTACAGAAAGGTGAAGAGCAGTGGCCAGGAAGGAAGTTTGGAAAAGCCCCAGAAGCTTATACAAGGAAGTTAAATTAGAGACAGGTCTGGACTGGTCAGAGTGGTAGACGTGACGACTGGTGGAAGTGAGAAGCGCAGACTCTCACCGTTGGAAGTTGAAGGGTTCTCAATGAGCTCGAGCCCACTGGTGACGCTACTCATTTATGCTTTCTCATAGACTTTGAACAGTTTTTGGAAACACTTGAATTGCGTTCTTTCGTTTTGGTTTCTAGTTTCAATGAACTAGCTATGGATTTCAATATATTGGAAATCCAGGAGGGGGAAATGTTTAGGATTATTTTTATCCTCCGTTTATAGTTAAGTTCGCGCTTATTTCTGTGATTGACGGTTTAACAGTCACCGGATGTTAAAAAAAAGTTTTGTCGGGTTGTTGGAAAAAATAACGTTGTCGTCACGTCACTTTATTTGTTGAATGGATTTTTTGCGGACATCGAGTGGAAACCTAAGGAAAAACAGCTATAAATTATTGGATATCAATACTTCTTTTTGTTTCTTAATTATATAACCTATTTTGACATTATAGAATGTATTTCGGCATTGCTTGTGGCCCAATTAATTTTCAGCATTTGAATCAGCCTTGACATTCCCTTTCTTAAATGAAACTTAAGTTATAATTAACACGTAGTTCAATACTTTTCTTTAAAATTTTGCGAAAAAATGTAAACCATACAAGCAAGGATTTTCATTGAATATATAGACTTAGCAATCATCTTCGATCACATTTAAGAGCCATAAATTGGCTCTTTATTTTTTGCTCTTGATCAGAGTAGATTAGGCCTGGAAAACAAATCAGGTCGAATTTTTTGCGTTCGACAGACAGACCTCGGACAGAATGCAGTATTTCACAATTCTGAAATACAAATTGCACTCATTAAATATTCAGAACGATCGAACCACGCGTGGGCTAATAGCAAAGCCGCTCAAAAAAATTCAAAATCACCGATACGGCCAGCCGGTTGCGAGCTTTGGAGTGTTTGAATGAACATTAAGAGAGTTACTCTGCAACATAATAAAGAATTTATCAGGTTTATTTTTATTTAGTGGTTTTATAACGATGTGTAATCTTCAAAAGCGTTTGATATGCGCGGCATTTTGAGTACTCCTGCAAGCGATGTTCATGAACGACTGAAAACAAACGGCACAGCGATTAAAATTGCAAGAGAGGCTACTGACAATAAATAAAAGAACTGTAATTCGGTGAAACAAATACAGAGACAAACATTTACAATTACGAAGACAAGCATTAGAGTGAGTCTTCCGGCTTAAAGCTTAAGTTTATGTTTTAAACAGGCTTCCCGGTGTTTGCTTTTTTCAAAAATGAACTCGAGGCAAGAAAATGGCTCAAAGCTTTCTTTTACAGCCAGAAGTTTAATTAAATATTCTTTGGAACGTTTTTTTTTTCTATTTGCGGTGAGAAATTGTCTAAAGCCAGGCTTTTTAAAGTTCTGTAAGCTTACATAAAACCTAATGATTCTCGGTCAGATCATTGTCTCAAATCGTACAAACGTGCATAAACTACGCTCGACTTCATCACATTAGATATAAAAACAAACATTACTCAGGCTTACCATTCAAGATGCATCCCCTGGAAGCTATCAAGTAAGGCCAGAATCGCTTAAGACTTTCCAACCCTCTTACGCATCACGCGAGGTCAAAAACGAAAACGATGCGATCCCAAATGGGATTTCCGACTTTGACAAGCGACGTATTTCTCAACCAAAAACCCATTAAACAAACTAGCCACGAATAACAGAAGACTCTTGATAGCAGCTGAATTTCATTTCTTGTACACCCAGTAGAAAAAGGCGGTTAAAAACATCACAAGTTGACACAAAACTCTGTCAGCTTCAGCTATCAAAGTAACAAGAACGCTCTTAGTAGCGTTGAGTCTCACTTGCTTGGAGATGAGTTTTGTTGTCAACGGCGCTGATGCTGTTATACTACTTTTTCGTTTGGAATACAAAACGAGTGTTGCATGTCATAATGTAAATACTCAAAAAGTAAAAATTGCAAGGAGAGACAGGCCGCACATCTTAGCCTCAAACCGGTGTGAAACCTTTGAAAACCTTCCACATATTGATATCGATCCATTGAGGAGTACTCTTTCAGGGATTTTACACTCAAAAAATTGAACGATGGTTTTTATCGGTATCAGGGGCCGATGACTCTGTCAGTATAAATATACATAGCTTCTTTGTACCGGACCAAGTTACGGACGGACGGGCAGGCGGTGTACGGTCACGTGATTACCAGATTTTCTTGGATGGTAGATTTATTTAGCTATGGGGCTCCGAGTGCGTGGAGCTCCGCTAATATAGAAGTACTTGACTTTGAAAAGAAACTCTGGCATCTTATTTAGCGAGTTAGTTTAAAGTACCTACTTTCTGTTTGTATTTTAAGACAGAGAGTTACTTAATTAGAATATCGTGTGGCAAGATAAATAACGACATCACTATAAAATTCTACTAACTAACCGAAAGATTAATTTTAGGTTAGTGTGCTCATTGTGCTGAAGTACCTTTTTATTGAATCTCGCTCGGCTGATAAAGTGATGTTATGTCCAAGGACGTACATTGAGGCTATCAGATCACTCCACTGTACCATCTCCCCTAGAGGTACTCCATCATACGCTTTTTCCAGCCATATTTTATAGTACGCAAAGGCTCCCATGAAGAGTAAAATCTAGCCATGGAACCGGTAAAATTAAAGGAGTTGGAATGAGCCTTCTGTCTTTCTTTAGAATAAAGCTTAAATAATTTTTGTAAGTCAATATCGAAACAAAATTCTGCAACCTCAAACATGGATGCTGATTTCTGTCATATTCTAATATCTTGTTACAAGCTGATCGATCCGAGGAAAATGTTTTTCGAAGAAAAAGATATTCCCAAGAGAAGCGAAAAAAATTCTACATTTCAGTGGCATTCAAGATATCTGGCTTTTTTTATATTAATTTCCGTTCGAATTTTTACATTTTCGGAAGTGAGGTTTTGCACATTCCGCTCAGCTCTGATTATGCATATTTACGTCAGATGGGCAAATTTCACCTCCAAGCCTCGTTTTGAAATTTTTAAGTTGCGTAGATTTGCATAAATAAATTCCCAAGGCAGTAGAGTTGAATAGAATAACCCACCATCCTCAAGCATGTTAAGGCATGGCTCAATTTTTGGTCTCAACCCCCCGCGAAGAAAAAGCTGTTTTTCTTCTACAGCCGTGCATTTTAATTCTAAAAGTCGCAAAAAACTTTCGAGAAACTTTCTTCCTAGGCGTTGAATTAATTAAGGTTGAAGTGATGAAGTCACGTGAAAAGTGACGTCATAATGATATTCAAAAAGAAATTCAAAATGTGGTAGGAATGGTTGATTACAAGTAAGTTTGAACCATGTGTAAAAGTTTGTTTTACCATACGAATTTTTTCCGTGGTCGGAACGGAGAGAGTTTTTAATTTCTTAAAAAGATATCCACAGGTGAAAAGTGTTACGTGACCTGTTTGCTTAATTACTAATTAAATAAAAACGTGAGTCAACCATTCCGGCCAGATTCAAGCAAGAAATAATGATACAATAACAAAACTACTATATTTAATATATACTGTGTGGCAGTATATATTAAATATATATTAAATACATACACCCCATTTTTAATTTTATTTTCTCTCCTGGACTCGACCATAAGTGGTCACGTGACAGGAAAATTAAGGTTATCGATTTTTTTGAGGTTACCAAATTTTGGAAAGTGCTGATAAATTTTCCCAAAGTTATGATCATTATTACATTTTATGCAAATTATCCTCACGCCATGCCTTAACACCCAACAAGTGCAAATGAAATTTGTTCGTATGACGAAATCATACATAAGGACATTGCTTTCAGAAAGGACCCCTAAAAGGTTCTGTTTCGAAAGGGACGGAAATGGGATTCTAGAATGAATTAAAGTGTCTTGTAATTGTAAACCTTTAAATTTCATCCAATTTTTTCCAGACAATAAGCCAAAAGAAACAGTAAACTCAAGAAAACGTTGTCCAAGATTAACCAAATGATTAAAAATCATATTTGTTCTCGCTATTGATGTATATTTAAATTACTCCATTCAGTCTGAAACATGTTTTTAAAGCAATGTAGAGAAAGCCTTCGTCTTTGCTCCTGACGTAGCGTGAGAAAGGCCCGAATTTTTTCGATCGCTATGATTTTCTGTAATGATAATGAAGATAAAGATTACTAAACTGATAAGGTTAACGATATTGAAAGCGATAATGGTAAGGGTAAGGTAATGTTCGTGATAATTATAAAGATAAAGATAATTATAATGACGAAGATAATGATGATGATGATGATGATGATGATGATGATGATGATGATGATGATGATGATGATGATGATGATGATGATGATGATGATGGTGATGATTATGATGACAAAGACGATGGTTGGGGTGTGATGGTGATGGTGATGATGAAGGTAATTATTACCAAAACCAATGTGAATCGAACACCTATTTAAATTGTGCAGTAGAAGGTTTCACTCTATTCGTCAAACATACGTTTTTTATCTGTCGATTTCCAAAGCTTGGTTTTTGCTGTTCAAGCCTCTTAGCTGAAGCCCTCCATTCTGGCCAAAGTCTTGAAATACGATCTCTCATGAACTGGTATTTACTTTCGTTCAATTTCTGCATCAATTCTGTGAGATCGTCGCGGACATCAAGCTGTGAAGTAAAGGCAATTTTTTTTTTAGTTTCTTACCTGGCCGAAGTGGAATGATAAAACACCCTAAAACACCTCAACTTTTACACCACTAAACGGGGTCTTTCGTAAAAGCAACGAAAGGTTTATTAATTTTATGTTTATTTAATTTTCTACGGCCAGTTGTCTTGAAATAAAGAAGTTTAAGATAAATTGTCCCAACTGTCATACAGTCTCTCGTCGGTACTAAGAAATAAAATATGAACTTAAAGAGCGCTCATACTGTACTGGCCCAGGTATCACTGGTAATTGTGTGTAAGGCTGAAAGAAATGATTATTAAATTTCCAAACCAGTTTATTACTGTTCTTTTTAGAAGGGTAGAGATGTCTTCGCCAAGGTAACATGGGACACCATTTCTCCACCTTAAAAAGAATCAACAAGAATTTCAAAATTAAAATTAAATAAAGCCTCCGGATCAGTCAACATATTAAGAAGCCTTTCCTTTTTAAAAATGATTTGACTGACTATGAAAGGATAGCCTAAAGTAAAGCAGATATATCTTATCTTCTAGGAGAAGCACTTGGGCGAATGTTTTTCATTTCTTTACTTCAAATTTCTTCTCAATAGAGGGAAAGAAGCAATAATGGATCCCTTCTCGTATGCAGTTCAAGTTGTCCTCGCAGTTTGGAGAACTGTAAGGCATTCTCCTTATAAGAAGGCCTCTAATCTTCGGAGAATCCACCGTACGCTCTCGAAGACTCTATAATGTCTTTTCCTGCATAACCAAAGTCTGAGCTAGGGAAGCTAGAACACGATGGTAGGCCTATGACCATTATCTTCTAAGCTTTGCAACCTGTCCTTATAGAATAATAGCCATATGTATCGTCGATGTATCGCCCACCCCATAGTAGTGTAGCCCAGCTACAAATTTTGGTGAACGGCCATTAAAGGAATGTGCGGCACAACACAATTTGGACATTATACAAATCAGTTTTACATTAAATCACCTCACTGAAATAGATCAGCATATTGCAGTTATCCCTTGGATCTACACCATGCTGGTTTACGTAACATTCTCTATCTATTGACCACATTTGTGTCATCCACTATAAATAAAGAGAAATAGAAAGTTCAGCAAGAGGAAGTTTGGTGACTCTTATATTGTAGCTTTCGCCTAGATTTGTAAATTAGATTGGTAAACCACTAACACATAAGAGGACGGCTAGATTTAGAATGTGTTGATGTCTAAGCTGGCTACAGAGCCTTCCTCATTCCGCAAACTTGCAATAGGCCATTTGTACGATGGCGTCATATATTTAAATAGCACAATCAAAGTACATTTTATTATTACGTTCATATTTAAATTGGAAATCTCAGCGAGGATTAAAACAGCAGAAGCTCTAATTTGCACAAGAAAGCAAAACACTGAAGCATTCTGGTAGAAGTAGTAAAATGCCGTCATCGAGCAAATGGCCAGTTGGACGCTTATGCACATGCTCCTGAATGTGCCTGAACAGCGTACCACTGACTGATGATGGCAGGCTGGACTCAGTAATCAAAATTGTTTCCGAGTCTTTTCGAATTATTGTAAAACTATATATATTTTAAGTGCGCATTACTTGGTTTTGGGAAAGTTATATGAACATAGTCACTTGACTAATCCAAAGTATATGCTGCCGTGACAACTTTGTACCCCTTATAAATGTACTCGTTGTGAGCCAAGGCCAGCAAGCAGCTGATGGCGTGGAACCCTAAGGACACAGGCGGAAAGAGTCAAACCTGGTGGTCATCTAATGCATCCTTCTTTATCTCCAGCCGCCTTCACCATATCTTTCCGCTTGGCCCAAGTAACTCAGGACGAGTGAGTGAGGCTGACGGCACTGCGAAACATTTCCTCGCCTTCATCCAATTCTAGAGCAAGCCAATCCATAACCCTCCCCCAATCTTTTAAGCCCTGTAGCAATGGGAGAATGACCATGTAGCAGGTGGAGATTCACTGGAAGGTGTAGTCAATAAAAAAAATATACGACGGCTTACAAGGCATCGTTGAAGGCCTACCAAAAGGAAACAAGCTCATTGTTCTCGGAGACGTCTTCAGTAATATAGAATGTGCCGAAGACAAGACCTCTAAAAGAATCATCCGGAGGAATGGCGTTCGAAAATACAACAGCAAAAGACTGTTACTTTTGAAGACCTGTTTATCTCACGACCTTTTGATAATCAACATAGTTTACCGTCTGCCCAACTGCAACACAGCAAGCACTGACATCTAATCGATTATGTTATAGTCAGCAGAAGTGATAGGCTGTGCAGCGCAGACTGCTGGATTGACCAAAACTCAACATGCATATCCTGCCCAGGCGGCGCCCCCATGCGAAAACGACTAACAAGGGGCTTTTTGTCAGAAAGTCAGAAAGGCATTGTCTTCGACAGAGTGAACAGCAATCAAAGACTTGATAACTTTCAAAGTAGATACGGTGTACCATGCTGCATTCCCTCAACTCGGCAGAAATACACGCTCACATAAAAACTGGTTTGATGAGAACGATGAGGAAATCCGAAAGGTGCTTGACGAGAAGTGCGAAATTCTTGGAACACATCAACAAGAAAGCAACTCTCCCTCCTATAAAGCAGCCTAATATTCCAACAAAAAAGGTGCAATCAATGCTCAGAGAGACACAGCACTCCTGGCTCAACAAAATGGCCGATGGGATTCAATAATTATGATGCTGGCAACAACAACACTTAACGCTTCTCTGATGCCCTGAAGACTTCTATTGGCCTCCGTCTCCTGGAACATAACCCTGAAGGGATAGCTCTGCTCACTGAGAAGAATACCATCCTAGAGAAATAGGTCAAGTTTTTAACAGTGTCCTAACTACACTCTTTTTTTTCTATAAGAATATATTTTATAAGAATATCGAGGCTGAAATTTGCGAAATCTTAAGAATACTTTAAGAATAAACTTCAGGCTGAGCTTTTGAAAAAGATATAATTTCGTGTGGTGAAAATCTGTAAATACAAATACAAATATACCTTTTCCATTTATTCCTTTCTTTAAAAGGCAAAACTAGCTAACTATATTTAACAAAACTATAATTGATACCTTAATATATTCTAATTCGGAAATATCATAAGCTATTATTAAGAATAATAAAAGAATATTTACAGCCTAAAATCGGCGGAAAAATAAGAATGTTCAGCCTGGCCCTGGAAAACAACATTCTTATAAAAAAAAAAAAAGAGTGTATGCCCTTTTCTATCCATTTTAAAGCCATATTTATGCTTGAATGCTTTAAGTAGAGATCACCAAATCGTTATCAGAGCCTCCAGTAAAATCGGACTTTCAGAACTTGTGATCGATTCCCTTTTCACTGGCAGGGTAGCCTGATCATATTTATCCATCCCAGCTAAAGACTTCAAGGCAGGAGGGCCAGTCTTATTACAAAAACTCGCCAAGAATTTTCAGTCCTTCTGGCAGAAGGAAGTCAAGGTTGCCTCTATTGAAATCTCGATAAGATAAGGGGAAATAGACAATAATGCGACAATCACTGAGGGATTTTGTCACGCTGCACCTAATCGTCGCTGGCAAGGTCGTTGTAAGAGTCCTCTCCAATCGCCTTATTCCAGCACTTGGAGGATGGTCACCTCCCAGAAAATCTGTGTGGTGTATGAAGGGCCATGGAATTGTGGACATGTTTTTTGCTACACGGTTACTCCGGGAACAGCGTCAAGAACAGAATAAAGATCTCTACATAACAATTGTAGACCTGACAATGGCCCGTGACACCGTTAGTTGCGAGGACCCATGGAGGATCATGGCAACGTGTGGCTGTCTAGATAAGTTCATGAGCATGGCGCGTAAGTTCCACGACGCCATGGTTGCTCGAGTACTTGATTAATTTCAGACCAGTCTGAAGCATTTTCATTCACTAACTGAGTCAAGCAAAGATGTGTCCTTGCATCCACACTCTTCAACATGATGTTCACAGCCATGTTGACGGACGTCGTCTACAAAAAAGCGATGGTAGTATCTCGTTGGAAGCCTATTCAACTTTCGCAGGCTACAGGTAGTGATCAAGGCGAACGAAGTTACAGTGCGTCACTTCCTGTTCCCAGATGACTGTGCGCTTAATACTGTCACCGAGACCTATAAGCAACTGAGCATCGATTGTTTTTCTAATTCTTGCAATAACCTTGGGCGTACAATCAGTACCAAGGAAACTGACGTTCTACACCAGCCTGCTGCGAAGAAGACGCGTGTGGTATACCATGGCCTGCCGGCACTGTCAAAGAGGAAATTCCCAAGACTGTTTGACAGGTTAACGTACGTATTCAGCACACTTTCCAGATCTGCCAAAATGGACGACGAGGTCAATTTACGCATTGCCAAGGCCAGCTCAGTTTTCGGACGACTTCGTGATAGGGTTTGGGGAAAGAGAAGCAGCTGCCTTGGCAAAACTCAAGGTTTACAAGCCAGTGGTGCTGTCTTCATTACTGTATTGCCTGTGAAACAAGGTCAGTATACGAGCGCCACATCCAAGAGATTAACCAACTTTACCAAAACTGCCGCGGAAATCACCTGGGGTAACAAAGTCCCTGACACTGAAGTCTTCGTCTAGCTGGCATGCCAAGCATACATACTCTGCTCCACAGAGCCCAGCTTAGGTAGGCTATAATTGCCGTCGTAGCACAATGGCACAAACCCTTCCCCAAAAAGATTGTTTTATGGAGAATTAGTCAAGGAGAAACTTTCCGTAGGTGCACAGAAGAAGCGCTACGAGGACTTTCTCAAAAAGTGGCTGGGCCTTTGATATTGCTGGGAAACCTGGGAGTCTCTGGCACTTGACCTAACAAGCTGCTGTCCTATTCTAGCAGAGCAGTAGAGCAGAAGCTCAAAGGAAACTTCAGCTGTGGAAGTCTAAATTAATCTCCTTGTCACCTGGCCATGAAATTCACCAGTGTCCAGAATGCGGCAGAGCTGTCCTCTCCCGTAATGAATAGTCCAGCCACAGTTCCACGTTGCACCAGTTCTTTCTCGTCGTTATTTCCATTGCCATCGTCGATAGCAATTGATGAACAGCAACATATACCCCCAATTATGACAATTTAGGGTTCGTTGTGACGATTTCAAAGGTTATTGATAACAATTGTTTTATCATTATTCCTGGAAACAAAACTAGACTAGGCTGCTACATTTGGTTAACGAGCTCTTGCTTTCTTAATGTTATGATTATGATTGTGATGATGATTATTATAATTATATATTATGAAATTGTATATTATGGTTAGTATGATTGTGGTTATCATTTTTGGGATGGTGCAGACCAGCATATCAGATTTATCTGGAAAAGAAAGGTTGTAAGTATGTTAAGTTGAAAAGTAAGATTTCCGTAGCACTATACAGCAGCCCAATCCAGTGTATTTCTTGCACATAAATGAAAAAAAGTTGCCGGTGAAAAAGGTTGGCGTTGTAAAGCGAGATGTCGGGCTCGCTTTTTTTTCTTTACTTAATTTTGATTTGTTTTTCGCCCCCACCGTTTTAAGAACCAGTTTAGATCAATGGATCTGTAGATCGATGGATCGGTAGTAAATAACACATCCTGCTCTTAACAGACTCCTTTGCCTCTCCTAAACATTCTTTTGTTCGTTTTACAGAATTGGTTAAAGGCACCTTTTGCCATATGTAGTGTAGTTACCTCAATTTTGTATTTGCAAAGTGGATACAGCCAGTCATCAGGTATAGAGCAGTTATTTAGCGGAGCCTGTGCCCTGTTCTGAAAAAGTATTGGAAGTTTGTTTGTTCTTTCATTGGGAAGAGACTCGATTTCTGCAGACAAAGAGAATAATGACTGAGGTCTGACGGCTATATCTTTAAGAGTTCAAGCCTATTTCAATATTTATCAGTTAATGAATGAGGCTGAGTATCTTATGAAGAATTATGGAGATCAAGGAGGGTTTTATCCGGATAAAACCCTCCGAGATCTCCATAATTCTTCATATGATACGAAAGCCGAATTCAATAACCGTTTTATTATTCATTCAAAATAATTCCTAGTTTAAAAACATACTGTAAAACATGCTTACCTCCATCGATCCATCGATGTTCAGTTCGTCCTCGATAGTGTACGTTTAGGTTTGTCCAGCTCCGCAAATATTCTCCAAATAGCAGATGTCGCCCTTCAAGTTGTCTTCTTGCTGTTCTTTCCATGTTTGTAGTTATTTTTTTCGCCTAGTTCTTACTCTTGAAACGAGTGAAATGTCCGCCATTTTTTCAAGTTCACAACCAAAACAACTCAACCTCGTCCCCAGGTCTTCTCGGTTAACGGTGCCTTAACCAGCGAAAACGCTGCATTTTTGACGTCATTTCCTCGTAAAGTCAAAATTGTTCAAAATTTGGTTATCAGTAACTGGTTATGGTGAATCAAACGTGAGCTTTTAGCCAATCATAATCGGGGAAATATTTTGAATGAACAATAATCAATTTTAACACAACACGACACAAGACTGACGCTGTTTGCTCCTTCTCATCAATACATAGCTCCCTCTCGCTTTTTTTCCCTGTGCACCTCTGTTTACGCCTTACACATAATCTGAACACCCGGAAGAAGCCAACAAAGGATTTAAAAATAAACTCCGCTCTTCCTGATGTTCTTTAATTAGGGCTTCGTCGCGTGTTTCTTCCCCACGAATGATAGAAGGAACGCGTGACCAAACCGTAACAACTTCTGAGGGGGATGCTAATCCTGTTTTTTCTCAACTCGCGTCTTCGTTTTGGCGGGCATTGTCATGCTAGTTTGTGGAGTAATTGATATACAAGCTAAATCGAGAAATAATCAAATGTTGTATTTAATGGCAATATAATATCGTAAAGCCTAGGCCAAACGTCCAATGAGACGCCATGAGACGAACCACACTTAGTGAGTTATATATATTCATGAAAAGTTCGACGTGTGGCCTAGGCCTTAGTGACATTATATTGCCATTAAGTACAAAGTTTGATGATTCCTCAGTTTAGCTCAGTAATGAGTTTGGAACGTCCAACACGTTCTATCCGTCTGACGGAATGAACGTCTGAAGATCGTCTCCGAGACAGGCGTCGACGTCGATCTTCACATGCGACGAACTAAACTAATAATTCAAAATTTGTATGATAATGTATATTTAGCCACGTTTGGGAAAAAAATTTATTACTGAGCACCCGTTGGCCGGCTAAAATAATTTTTGTTCTGATAAATTTGATTGGTTGGACGCGTCCTAAGTTCGACGTTCGACCCAGCAGACGATCTTAACCTAACTGGCTTAATTGAGGTCGACCAAAATTAGAGTTTGGTCAGCTGTTTGGTTCGTCTCATAAAAAGTTAGACGTTTGGCCTACCCTGATTGATTGACTGATATGTTAAGCATATATAGATAGGGGTGGTAAAAACAGTTTAAATAGTTGCCAGAGGAAACTCGGTCACCTAGGGAATTAATTGTTTGATCATTTTGTATATTGATTAAATAGAGCTTCAATGAGAAAGGCAACAGGGAAACAAGATTTGAGATGTAAGAGACGGATAGCGAATTCACACATGCAGAGATGAATACGAACTAAAAATTAAATGTGTTTGATTATCGTTATTCGCTAGTGACATTACCTCGAATACTCAGAGACAGGTCGCACACACGATGCGGTCGGTGCATTTAATTAAATAGGCGTTAGAACTTGTCGTAAATAGAGACGAATTTTCTCGCTTTGGGGTGTTGACTGGTAAATTCGAGACTTTGCAAGATTGCAAGACCCTAGTTTCAAAATTCTAACCCGACACTTTACTTCACTCGGAACAGTAGACTCTAATAGCCGAAAATTTCGAATTCGAGATAATGGTACAAATAAAGCTATATAAATGAGTGAAAACGCCAGTGAAAGCTAGCGAAAATCCACCAGTATACTGCGGATGCTTTATCTTGTTTTACTATATTGTTCTATAAGCTGTGTACCCTTGGCTGTAACCATGAACTCTGAAAAACAAGGGCCTAGCCCAGACTCTGTTTATATTAGAAGAACAAAGGACGGACATGTTCAACAAATTTACCTGTTACCGATCTATTTTCCAGTTTGTAGACAAAAATCCCACATTGTACCACGAGGTACATGACCAAAATCCATACTGACAGTTTGGCAATCAGACCTCTTGTACTCCTCATTTTATCTTTTTAAATTTGTTGCTTACCAGAACAAGTTATTCAAATATAAAAACATCTCATTTTTTATCTATATCGCACTGTTATGGATTCAAATTTACATTTTCTGCCTAGTAGAATTCAAGGCTTCACAAAATACTTTTAAGTCATGGTTGGGTTTCCTAGATAACAACTAGAAAGAATAACAAAATACTCAGGGACGCTGGACGGCACGTCAGTAGCCGGAGTGTAAACATACGAGTTGTATGACTGTATTCTCAGTCGCTAGAACTATAGCTCAAGTAATTCTGGTTATTTACCAGTAGATGACGCTTTCTGTTTAAGAGAAGACACATATTCAGTTCAAGCTAAATAACGGATAGAAAAAAAGGAACAGAAAATGTTGTCTTTTATTTCTAAATCTGGAATTTTCAGCCGGAAAAAATTCTTCTGACGGTACGGTATCAGTCGTCGCAGCATCATGTGAACTTGTCTTAGGTGGAGGAGTTTAGTTTTCTTGACGGTAGATAGGCGCCGTCAGTCAGTCGTTTCGACTTAGTCTGTTCTGGGGTTCAGCACAGTTTAATAAGTCTTCTCCAGGTAGGTCTGCCGTTGGCACTCTCGATGTCCCTCCATTTCATGTTTCCATTTGCAACATCTTTGAACCTTAATCTGGGTCTTCCTTAATTTAACCTCTCACGCAGGCGTTTTTAGAGGTGAGGGACGAAATACGAGCTCCCCTAAAAACGAGTGCATGGGAGGCAACCCTTGATTATGCATTCCCAATGCCCAAACAGAATTGAGAGTACCACTGCACGAAAAATTGGATTTACACAAATTTACTCAGTGTAAATATGGTGCAAAAAAGTGCAAACTAGTGAGAAATTAAAAGCAAAGATGGTAAATACCGCATTTGCTTGCCAGTTTACATGGGGCTGTTAAATTTAGGGCAAACGCGGTATTTACCATCTTTGCCCTTTATTTAACCTTAGTTTGCACTTTTTTGCACCAAATTTGCATTGAGTAAATTTGGTGTAAATCTAATTTTTCGTGCAATGAGTATAGCAACAGCTGCTCTGATGATTGGACTATCCATCCTATGCATGTGACCCAGCAATCTGACATGTCTGAGATTTTTCTCAATGAGAATATCAGCCATTGATGGTAGTGCTGCCCTGCAGAGAATTTCCACATTCGTGATCTTGTTCTTCCTGGATACGTCCATTCGCTGCGTTCATTTTGACTCATCATATAAGCATGGAGCTTCTTCACTTAACTCTGATACATAGTCCATGTTTCCAGCACCATACAGCAGGTAAGAAAGGACAAGTCAGCTTCATAGACACATGCCGGTTTTTCCATAGCCTGTCCAGTAGTTTTCCAAAAGCAGCACTTGCATTTCCCATCCCATATCTGAGGTCACTGTCTAGGCCACAATCGGGACTTTAAGATCCAACGGTGCGACGGCGACAAGAACGTCGTTTAAAAAGTGAATTTGATTTTTTTCAGTCGTTATAGCGATTATTCCTACCCACTTACTTTGTCAATAGTCGGCGAACCCTCCTAAAGCTGAATTTCAAGGGACCATATTCAAGCTCAGAAAGAGAAATAAAATTTCGTCGTTGCTTGTTTACGTCCTCCATAAAACGCGAAATTAGGCATTTTCACGTCGTAGTCGTGCATAAACGGGAAAGAAATGAACAAAAAAGTGTGTTGCAAGTGCGAAGTTGTTGTTTTGCCAATTAAACTTATTGCTTTTTTGACGTTTTAGTTGTCGTCCGCGTCGTTGGATCTTAAACTCCCTAATAGCAATGTTGGAGATCAGGAGCTTCCTACGTATTTGAAGTCTCAACACTGCACCAGGGACTCTTGACTATTGATAGTTATGTTTGTTGGCTCTGGAGCTGGATCTAAAATGAGTCCAAAAACCTCTTACAGCTGAGTGTTTCTGTTCATTCTGGTCAATCCATGGGTTTATTTTTTCCATCTAACCAACACGTTTATGTTTTGTCCGGTGCACTGATGTGTTTGTGTATTCCCGGTGAGCTGATATGTTTATGTTGCTTCCGGTAGACGGATGTCTTTATTTATTTCCGACCAACCCTTGCGTCTTATTATTCCTGACTAGCCGCGGTTGCGATGTACAAATATTCATTTATTTTAGGCTTCTGGGGATGTACTTATACTGTTTGCGGTCTAAAGTGCAGTGGCTTATGGTGATTTTCTGGCGTCAAAGACTGGAAGAAAGGTCCAAATTTGGCACAGTTTCTTTTGGGTAAAAGGAACAAATTTAGAAGGGGTGCCACGTGAAACAATAATCCGGGGGAAGCATGAGATGTAATTTAATTTACCTTTATTTGCTTCAGCATAAAAGCGAGGTTCAAAGTTAAGGCAAAGCCTTTCGTGCTTTTTTTCGCGATTGAAAATAAAAAAATATATATATACATATATAGAAAAAAAGATCGTCCAAGTATATGTTTTACTCATCACGCTATTTTCGATGTTGAAAACTCCGTCACCTTGACCAAGGTGGACGGGATATTCCACAGCATTTTCGAATGTGTACCAGCTGCAGCTATGGTTCATGCCCTACCAGTCACAACCGTTTCAACGTCTGGAAAGTATGCTGACAACATCTTTATTCCATTTA